AGTGACTCAATGTTTCATCCCCTTGTGACTTTCATAGGGCTTTCCAAGACAACGCCAGTGTGCCGCTGGGTTTTCTTGTGCCGTGCGGGGGGTTTGGCGGAGCACTGCGCCGACTTCTCGTCTATCAGTCATCATGTGGAGGAGGTAAACACTTCGGTAAGCCTTGTACAGACATTGAAAAATTTCATGTTTTGCTCATTTTCGTCCCAAAATGTATTACCTATTACGGCGTCATACATGACTTTTGTGTACAGGGCACTACACAAGTGCATCATGCCATCGCCGCCTATCTCGCTGGACCAATGCGGATCGCCAACGCCAAGGTCACCAGTGTGGACCCCCGCATCGAAGCCCGTCCCTCCGGTGCGGAGGACTGCTTCCTTTACCTGTGGCAAACGCGAGGCTGGCCGTCTGGCAAAGAGCTGCTGTGGTCGTATGGTGCTTGTGGCTTTCATAGGGCTTTCCATGTTTGGGTGACGACGGAGGGCACTGCTAAGGCACTGGATGCCATGGGATACCAGGAGACTAGGCGGAAGTATCAAATCGGAAACTATGAAGAACCGAGCCGGCCAGTGACACCACCCGGCTACTGGGATCCGAGTTGGAGGAGCCCGAAGAAACCTAGGGGCCATGTCATAGAGGAGTCTCGTGTCCACTGGGACATGGACATAAGGGGGAAGTCCACTGCCGCTGGACTGATGTACGGGTGGACGAGGTAAGCGAAGATGTGCCACCTAATTTTTTCGTACCATCCATGTACAACCTGACACTCGTGATTTGGTTCCTTATCCAAGTAATCATCGAGGCCCAGGACAATGACGGCAAGGAGCCCTCCAGCTTCTTCAGGGACCAGTTTTATGGCATTAGCCATGAGAAAAGGGAGGAGCGGAAGGAGGACTTTGCCATAATGTTCCTTCAACAACTTCAATTCAGACAAGAACCTTGGAACACTGACCAGTGTAGCGAGGAGCAGCTAAGGCATCGGATGGAAGTACTTTCTGAATGCCTTGGCCAAAGCATGCTTAAGGGGTAGGTTTCGAAAGTATGACTTTGCTAGCATTGCTGAGGTTGTTGGTGACTTGGATCGGCTGTTTGATTGTGTGAATGGCCCAAGTGGTCCCGGGGACACCCGCCGAAATCGTAGGGAAAATGTCAAAGCTGGCACTTTCCACTTCGACGTGTGGGAAGAGATGATTCAGAAGGTAACAAATATGGAGTTTTAGGTATTGACAGTCTTTTCTTGATGTTCCAGAAACCAGTGAACGTCAACCCTGTTCTTAAAACAATCACCTATGAGGGTAGAAGGCGGTCTTGCCCTCCCAACGAAGCGGTGGTGCTTGCCGTGACTGCAGCCATCCAACCAGGTTTTGCTGAGGGCGCTGCTATCCTGCTGCAAGGAACACAGGCGTAACATCAACATCGCCCGTGCGCAGGGATGTACTGTAGAGAGACACTCCTAAGCGCATGTCCAGTACTGTGAGAGGTAGCAAGGCAAGGCTCTGTGTTGTGACAGTAAATGTAGATGATTTTATCACTTCCTGCAATAGTCTGATCATTATCAGTAAACTGGAAAATTCCCTCAGTGAGCCCACTGAATTCAAAAATCTGGATGAAGCCAGAGGAATGCGCAAATCTAATCAAATAAGGAAAACGTAGTGACCGTGCGAAGGAGACGCTTCTTTCTGCCGTCAGATACCGAGGAAATCAACTAGCCAAACCGCAAACCTGGGAAAGATGGAGAGACTATTGTCCTCCTGGTATGGAAACCCAGAGGAACAATGTTGGTAACCGAACGTCAGACGACATGGTACAAGGGCCTGAGAAATGCCCTGAACAAAGTGAAGAGGGGCAAATACGAGGATGTATACACGGTTCAAACGTTACCTGGTTTTCCCAGGAAGCCTATGGCAGAGGCATAGGCGATTTCCAGGGAGTTCCTGAGAAAACCACGAACTGTTTTTACTGTGTACGTGGAAACTAAAACGGGCCGGTCCTCTGGCGCCCAGTACGCCGGCGGGGCCCAGGCTGAGCCGGAGCTTAGGACTGAAGTCCAGTGCAGAAGACAGCCCGCCGAAATGAACATATACGGTGGTAGACTGCACGTGTCCATGAATTCAGTAACTCCACTGAAAAACCAAACGAGGTCTAGACCGCACCAACTGGTGTGGTCAAGTGGGTGCCGTTTTGAACGCATCAGTTGGTGTGGTCTAGACCATGTTTGGTGCGTTTGGTGTGGTCTTGACCATACCAGTTGGTGCGGTCTAGACCTCGTTTGGTTTTCCAGTGTCGGCACTGCGCTCCAAGCATTCTCCTTGGCGTACACACGAGTCCTCTCCGCTTGGTGTGTACTCAGGAGAACACTAGCACACTCTCCTGAGTACACGCTAGAGAGTATAATCGCGAGTACACTCTGAAGATAGTGTACTCAGTACGCTCACAGTTAAACGGTTACTGGCTTTCCTTGGAAACCTATGGTAAAGACATAAGCGATTTCCAGGATGTTCCCGAGAAAACCAGGAACCGTTTATAACGTGTAAGCAGTTAGCTGCACTACAAACCCAACTGTCTTCAAAGTACACACTTACAAATGCATGCTTGGCCAAGTACACACTTACAAGTGCATGCTTGCAAGTACACACAAACGCATGCTTGACGCCGTATAACTCCATACGTCAAGCATGCGTTTGGAAGTGCGTACTTGCAAGCATGCGTTTGTAAGTGTGTACTTGGCCAAGCATGCGTTTGTAAGTGTGTACTTAGTAGACAGTTAGATTTACAGTGTGAGTACACTGTCAAGAAATTACTGGCGGCCAAGTTGCTGCCAATGTCGAAACGTTACTAGGTGAGATTCATTCTCCTTTCAAATTAAAACCAGCGATTCGTCATGCTCGTTGTACCGAGAAATGCACAAAACCACGCAGAAATAAGTGCCTCATGAGAAGCAGAACAAAACCTGTATACACTTAAGTTCGTACGAACAACGTGTTTGTAGGTTACGGATACTTTTGTGCATCAATGTTACGGATTGAATTTCGTCTGTAATACGGATGTTTTTGTCCGTCACACAAAGGCTTAGGTGTGCGTAACTTACAGGCACTAAAACCTTTGTATTACGGACAAAAACATCCACAATTGAAACGAAACTCGTTCCGTAACACGGCTGCCAAAAATCAGCCCAAGCCTCCAAACTCCGTATCCGTAAGGACTATAGTGCGTACGGAAACCCACACGCTGAGTTCAGTGGGCTTCTTTATGTATAGTAACGCCTACAAAGTTACGCAGGAAAGTAGTGAAGAACATTAAACATTATTGTACATTCTACACAAAATTGCACAATGATGAATAATATTGCACACGACTAACGTGCGTAGCTCTGTACGCGTAGCAATGCATAAAAAAATCCACAAGACTTCCGTGCATGCACTTATAGAAACTCGCCGAGTACAGCTTAACGGAGAAAGACACTTTGTTGAGCTGATCGATCACCTTTGTCGGATAGGCCGAGTTTGAAAGCTACAAACAAAAATTCGCGTCCAAAAACAAAGGCTGATTGCTGCGACCTTGGATGAAGACAGGCCTCAGTTCAGTTGCCCACTTCAGAACGTGGTAGATACCCGGTTTTGGTTGAGGGCATCGGACATTGCAGCAATCGAACTAAGCCTAACGAACAAAGCAGATCAGCTCAACAAAGTATCTTATACTGTACCCCTTATTTTCGTATTCGCGATCTCCTTCGACACGTCGCGCTGTTTTCCAAGTTCTAAGGGTTCTGCTGGCACGCTACACTGTAAAGTCAAGGGAAAGACTAAGCGCCCTAGTCATGGCAAGACACAGTCGAGTCAAGTTTTTATCACACCAATAAGTCTAGCCACAAAATAGTCAGGCATTCTGACTTCCCACGGTATGGGCCGCACGGATCGCCCACACTGAAATACTACGTGCTATGTTTTTGAAAAGATTTCACACAGTTGAGCACGCGCGTGAAACGCACGAATTCATGTGCAACTACAGACACTTTCGTGCAAAGTTACCCACAAATTCGTGCACTTTGAAGCGCAAGCACAATTTTGAGCAAATCTTCCGCTCAGAAAACTACGAAGTAATATGGAAGGCATAGACTGTGATCACAATGCGAAACTAACTGTGGCGAGGCAGAATTGTCTGACTATTTTTGACTGACTCCGTCTTGGTGTGACCAAAATCTGACGAGACTTGCAGGTCTAACCATAAACTTGGCAAGACAACATACAAAATTACTTGTAATTTTTTTGTGCATAGCTTCGCACGACGTTGAGCATACACGTGAAGTCCACGAATCGCACATGGTATCACATTAAAATGAACAGTTTTGTGCGTAGCTTAGCACAAGACAGTGCATTTCAAAACGTTGGCTCAATTTCGTGAAAAGCTATGCACATGAAAACTACAAACTTGGTAGTTTAGTATGAATTTGTCTCGCCCCTGGCGAAAAGTCTTACCCTCGGATGGAGAGAATGCACAGAACACAGTGAGCCAGAAGACCGGCGCCGGCGACCGGAATTCTAGACGCATTTTGAGCTCAAGAGCAGCAAAACGGGACTTGAAGCAGACGTGTGATCCCACCAATAAATTCCTCGTTCGGAGAGCAATCCATCGGTGGGGTCAAATGTTCTGCTTCGAGTTCTTTTTAACGACTCTGGAGCTCAAAACGCGTCGAGAAATCCGGCCGACTGCACCGGTCTTCTGGCCCACTGCGACACGGGTGCTCCAAGAGGAGCGCGAGATGCGACTGACGACTGGACTTGGACTGGACAACTGAACTGACACCACCGGGCTACCGGACCGGCCGCCCGGAGGCTCTCCCTCCGGACGGCCGGTCCGGTAGTCGGGTGGTGTCAGGAGAGGAGTGCGAGTGCGTGACTCCGCCGAGTAGAGGACGCCCGAGTCGCGCGCCTTCGGCAACTTCGGCCGCCCGAACGCGCCCGAAGCGCGGTAACACCGGAGAGCACCCGACGAACCGCCGAGCCGCAGGCCGTACGGACGAACGCGCCCGGCGGAATTTCCCCGTAGGAGAGTGCATCAGCACGCTTGTTTGCCGGCCACGGACCACGGACCCCTCTTCCGAGAAATCCTATTTCAGGAAGGACATTATCTTTGCGGCGCGGAAAGGAATGCACCCGGCTCGAAGCCGCACGGCAAAAAAGACTCGCTGACGCAGCCGATAAAGTAACTACAATTTCATTAGACGCGCATTGCTACGCGGCTTAAAGAGATAAATTAGAGCACAATGTCAAAGGTTGAGCAGTAATTTGAGGAAAAAATCGCGATGAGGGTCATTCCATGTGAAATCGACAAGGTTCAAATCGACCAGTGCTCCGATTTTGATGAAACTTGCAGCGATTGTTGGTCTTATGGTCCCATTGAAGTTGCCAAAATATTTTGGTCGAAATGTCAAAGGGGTCTGAGTAGTGCACGATTCAATTTTTTTCACTTTTTGTGAATGGGTATCCGTTTTTTGCTAATATCTCCGGAACTATTCGTCGTACGACAAAAATGAGTACACCGTTGGAAAGAGGAGAAAAAACTGAATAAAATCAAAAAAAAATTATTTTTTTTGGAGAAAAAAAATTTTCTTTTATACTAAACTCAAACTTTCAAAGTTATGTTTGAAACTGTTCCCCTTCATCAAAATTGACATGCTATGGCTCAAAAAGTAGCTTTACCCTTCCCCTAAACGAAAATGTCAATCATACAAAGTACTTTTTTTCGTTTGGGAGAACGAGCGATTTCCGTGGACCTCTGCACTGGATCCGGGCCTACCCTCTGCCTGAACGGTGCACAACGGCCCGGCGCTGTGGCACCGCGGTGTCCTGCCACCCACCCCCATCCCTTTCCGCAGTTCCCAGAGCAGAAGTAGGGGCGCCTGGAGGGTAGGCCGCACCCCGCACGCCGCCCCGGGCTCCCACGGTCACCGCCCAGCAGGTAGGCAACTCATCCTACGTTACTACCCCTCTTCCCCTGTCCCCTCCCCCTACTCCATCTCCTTCTTGACCTTCAAATTTTCAGTATGGCCCTAGGCGAGAGTTTGTGTTGCACATTGTCAAATGTTTGTTACCAGACTGAGATTTCTTTCAAATTGTTAGGAAATTTAAATCGAACACAAACTTTAAAATGCTGGGTGTTTATTCAAAGTTGTTTTTATACATAAAAATTATCTGACTTTCCTCTGAACCTTTAAAGTAGTATAACTGTAGCTGCAAGTTATACCTTGCTTCAAAACATATTTTTTTTCTTAGATTTTAATTTTACATCTGCTGCCTTAGCATCACTTACTCGAAGTTTCACAATTGTCCCTTTGGCTTGAAAGTACGGATTAACTAGACTTACAATGTCATGTAGACTAACAATTATAACAATATCAGTAAACTTGTAACTTCTTGGTTGTCCAGTAGCTTCCATAACTTGAACCGAAAAGTTTTCATCCTCTTCATGGAATTCAGATACGCAGCCTAGCTTCCAGGAATTTTCGTCTTCTGTAAATGTTACAAATCCTTTTACCTCACTATAGTCTAGTTCAAATTCTTTGGTACATATCTTCTTAATATTAAATTTTGTATCTTGTGAATACAACTTAAGTAAGATATCCTTTGATGGCACTCTAGGAATTAAAGCATGGTGGGATTTGATTCCATCAATGTCAAAAGCTGTCTCAAATCTCACAAGTAAAGCCTTTTCATTTTCAATAACTTCTTCTTTCGGAACCCATTTAGCAGTCACTCCTTGAATGTTTTTAGACACCCAATCATAGAAATCATATGCAATTGTTATTTGTGGGTCTTTTGCTGTTAAGCGTAGGCAATGCAACATTGTAGTATGTTTGATCATGCCGCCCACACCATCACAGGCAGTTTTTCCATGGCTCGTAGCATAAAAGTGCCATTCTGCAGGTACTCCAAAATCCCTTTCATGAAACCATACATTGGCGGCAGCTTTTTTATTTTTGTACTGAGCAGCACAACCGTCTGAAAAGTATTTGATTTTAGCCAGCTTTATCTTGAGGTCCTCAGTTATATGACGGATCAATTTTTTCTGAAATGTATGCACTGCAGCAGTACTATGATCCAAGTGATCTGATATCAAAACAAATGCTGAGTGGCATACTTTGCCCTCTGCATCTTTATAATAAATCAAACAGGGATGCAATGTCGCCTGTTTATTATTAAAGTACCACCCCTGGGAGCTATTTTGTACAACAAAAGAGAAATTTTCTGCAAAGTCAACATTAACAACAACTTCACCATCTTTTAAATTTTCAATTGATTCCTTATAGAAATTTGCTTGCACTTTGCTAATAAAATCATGGGGTATGAGACTTTCAATCTGCGATATAAACTCAGAAATAAAATCATCAGTAGATTTACTTAAAGTTACAATATTTGCCCGGTCTGTGGACTCCCACTGGTTGTAAACCACAGTGGAAATCATTTCTGAGTCAAAATAAACTTCCAATTTTTCCTGTAAAACAGTGGAATCACAACAGTCATTACATCTTCGAAAAAAACAGTCTTCACTAGGCTCTGAGCATAAAAGCAACTTTTTGCACGCTTTTATATTTTCTAATCCAGCTTCACTTAGATTTCCCGCTTCAAACATAAGTTCTGGATTCTGATGATAGGTGCACACACAAATCACATGAGTCCCGGCACTACCAGCTAATACACACTCTTTTGGTCTCAGTTCACAAAATTTAGCTAAAGAGACTTTGTGATCAGGGTGTTCTTCTTTAAACTTTTGATGCAAGCAACTGAGAGTAGACAGCACTAGTCTTTTAGTTTTCTTCACTCTCTTCCCGTCCACTAAAACACTCAGTACATCTTTAGGGTCCAGGGAGAGGCCGACTTATGTCGTCCCTGTAGTAGAATTTGGTGATCAGCTCCACTGTCTCAGGTGAAAGTTTGCGTCCCACTTTAGGACCCGGGCCACACAGAATACCCTTGTCTTGCACTAGTAGACGGCTTTTCCTCGCCATGTAGTTGGATACCCCAAATGTGCTTTCAATCCTGGAAATGCTCCAACTTTTTGGTACAACTGATAAAGCTAATAATTTTTTATCGGGCTGGGGATGACAATCAATAAATTGCTGTAGTTGGCCTATTATTTCTCTGAAGTATGCTGCATCTTCGTCCTCAGTTAGTTGTTGATCAGAAAATTTTGTCAGCGCTGCTCTTATTTTCTTCATAACTTTACGCCCATAGCTCTTCTGAGTCTTTAATTTCCTTTCATTAACAGGAGAGAATCCAAGAGAGGACAGCCAAGTATTTAATCCATCAATACTCTCCTGAAAAAACTCTTCTTTAGAAGCCTTATTATCAGCAGGTACAGTGGGAGTTGTAATATCACTGGGGGCCAAAGTAGACCCTACACTAGGTGACGAAAATATAGGAGGGTTGGAAATTGAAGCCGGGTCAGGAGCGTTGCTTGAAGATTCTTGAGCAGCCTTTTCTGCGGCAGATTTTTCAGCAGCTTTGATTTTAGCGTTCAGGTCAATCTTGCACTTGACACACACTTTCTTGCCGGGCACCAAAGCAAGTCCAATAGTTTTGGCACTGTCCCGCATTTGGAGTGTAATAACATGCAATTGAGGAGTGCCAGTTTTTTTCTTTTTGGCTGGAGGGCCATCATGAACAGATGTTGACTGATGAAGACAGCAGTTTTTCTGGTGTGCTTCAAAGCGGTGAATGAACTTAGTGAAATGTCCATCACAAACATACTGCAAACTCTTTCTGCAGCCACTTCTGATCTTGAGCAAACGAATCCTTTCTGGAGATAGGCTGGCTCTTGCAGTGAAATCCCCAGAGCAGGCACCAACATCAGGAAGATGTTGTACCTTTCTCAGGAAACACTTCTTGGTGTCTGCTCGGCCCATTGTGCAGGGGGAACCTGAACCACAAAGAAACCAAACCTCAAAATAAAACAAGAAGCGTCATCAAACCAAAGCACAATCCTATAATATCAGATTTTTTAAAAAAGAGAAAGAACTCGTACACAAGAAAAACGGACCTTTTCAGGGCATAAAATCGACTCAAAGTCAATGCTCAAAAAATATTTACTCCAACAAGTAGTCGGTGCAGAAAGTAAACAAACCAAGACAAACGAACAACAACAAGTTCGTCTTGTCGCCACAGCCCAAACACTGGCAGCACCGTCGGGGGGAATGCCGTTTTCGCATCAACTTCGGCTGCACTTCGGCTGCGCCACGAAGCAAGGCTCGGGGTGAATAGGAAGGGTTGCCTACCTGCTGGGCGGTGACCGTGGGAGCCCGGGGCGGCGTGCGGGGTGCGGCCTACCCTCCAGGCGCCCCTACTTCTGCTCTGGGAACTGCGGAAAGGGATGGGGGTGGGTGGCAGGACACCGCGGTGCCACAGCGCCGGGCCGTTGTGCACCGTTCAGGCAGAGGGTAGGCCCGGATCCAGTGCAGAGGTCCACGGAAATCGCTCGTTCTCCCAAACGAAAAAAAGTACTTTGTATGATTGACATTTTCGTTTAGGGGAAGGGTAAAGCTACTTTTTGAGCCATAGCATGTCAATTTTGATGAAGGGGAACAGTTTCAAACATAACTTTGAAAGTTTGAGTTTAGTATAAAAGAAAATTTTTTTTCTCCAAAAAAAATAATTTTTTTTTGATTTTATTCAGTTTTTTCTCCTCTTTCCAACGGTGTACTCATTTTTGTCGTACGACGAATAGTTCCGGAGATATTAGCAAAAAACGGATACCCATTCACAAAAAGTGAAAAAAATTGAATCGTGCACTACTCAGACCCCTTTGACATTTCGACCAAAATATTTTGGCAACTTCAATGGGACCATAAGACCAACAATCGCTGCAAGTTTCATCAAAATCGGAGCACTGGTCGATTTGAACCTTGTCGATTTCACATGGAATGACCCATGAGGTAAATTTTGGTATGACGTGACGCAGAGCGCGGGGTAGGCGGTCTGGCTTAGTGTTCTGCCCCGCCATAGCACGGGAGGTCGTGTTCTACTTCAGAGCACTTGATGGATGAAGGCTTGGAGGAGGAAGTATGTCCTAACTCCATCCGTAGCTTGTCCAAGGGGCGACAATTTACGCGTGTTCCTTCGGAAAAGCAGTGCGGCAGCAGGATCTGCGTTTGAATTCCTTCGTGAAAACACACTGAAAAACCAAACGTGGTCTAGACCGCACCAACTGGTGTGGTCAAATGGATGCCATTTTGACCGGTCTAGACCGCACCAAACGTGGCCAAACGTGGTCTAGACCACACCAACTGATGTGGTCAAAGTGGCACCCATCTGACCACACCAGTGGTGCGGTCTGGACCACGGTTGGTTTTTCAGTGCAGCGCATCACGTCACCACTCGGGCCATCGTGAAGTGCACCGCGTTCGTCTAGATGGTTTTCAACCGTTACTGTTTTCCGTTGGAGCGTCAAAACTGAAGCTCAAAAGGTTAGAGGTAGGTAATGAGGTATTTTGCGACAGTGAAGAAGAGCTAGAAGAAGATGCGGCGGTAGGGGTAGAACATCTCAAACCCTCATTTGTTTGGCGGTCATGATGGCCCCCACCCGCCCCCCCCCCGCCCCGCAAGCAGACAAATTGCCTAAACAAATGAGGGTTTGTTATGTTCTACCCCCACCGCCGCATCTTCTTCTTTCTCTTCTTCTCTATCGCTAAATACCTCATTGTTCGCAGCGTGACGTTACGCTGGATCAGAAAAACACACTCTCCGTGTACCGTAGCGTTACGCAGGGGAAATTCCCTCCCATGTTGCGTAACATTACGCAGGAGAGATTCCGCCCCCCCCCTTTACACAGCGTTACGCTAGAGATACCCCTTCCCTTTCCATGTAGTACCATACCGTTACGCAGGAGAGATTTCTATCCCTATGAACGTTCTATGAACGCTCCTTTAGTCGAAGCTACTTTTTGATACCCACATCGTACATCGTGTATGGTGGCGATTGAAACGCTCACCCTTTGCAGACATGTAAGTGCACTGTGGTTTCGAGCCCGTGAGTCTCGTCTAGTATCTTCTCGGAATCTTGTAAAGAGTTAGATCCATTAAATAAGGTACATCCCGGTACCCATCATTAACCACGGTTTTTGTTTTGCCGCGAACAGTTTGTCGGGGAGGGAATCAGTCCCGACTTGAAAACTGCGTCGTGTCACGGGCAATCTGTCAGTGCACACATCGTTTGTCAAAATTTCATATATAATCGTGCCGATTCGGTGGTATGAAATCTTTCACGTTTTCAAATTCTGTGAATCCTGTTTACTCGAAGAAGCGCGACTTGAAGTTCTTTCGATATTTTTATCTCTTCGCCGTCAATCAAGCCGTCGACTAGTTCGAACTGAAAGAGAATATCCAAACCGGAAATGGCACCGGCATCACAACGCGCCTGCTCTGGTGGTTTGATATTTTACAAGTGAAAGGGTAAACTACCTTGGAGAAAAGTTGGACCGGAAGTTGAGAAGAAACCAAGTGCAGCGGTTTTTCTTCTGGATTTCTTCTCTTATTTCTTATCTCCCGTTCCAGCTCTTCTCCGAAGTACCCTTCCTAGCCCGATCCGCATTTCCTTCCTTCTTGTCCAAGGAAGGGACGCATTTGCCAGCGTTTTCTCCTTCCGGGCTTCCCATTTGGCGCCATTTCCGGTTTAGTGATTCTGCTTTGTTTTGTGGTGGACGACGGGAATGGTCTATTGTATCGTAGTGGGGCATTTCAGACGTCACTGGATTAAGGAAAGGCTCGTCGTATAGCAGAATCTAGAAGACCGGGAAGAACACTATCTATAGTTTTCTAACGTATGACAATTGGTGAAATCCCTGGAAAAGGCCGGCTCATGCTATGTACTGACCCCAATCCATGCTCTTTCCCTTCCCCTTGTCCACTCCACTCCGAGCCGCTAGAAGTGCCTTTACAAATTCTAAACCATATAAACCATAACTTAACTATTGAAACGCTCATCTTTAACTTAAGATGGAAACGAACCACATTTTTTCTGGCCCAATATTAAAACCCAAGGGTCATTTTATGGGCAATTTCATGCTTTTTCAGATGCATTTTACGGATTGGTAAAAAGTTAAAAACTTTGGCTGCAATCGTGCGCGCAGCGAAACCATGTAATTTTGCAGACCATTTTTGCATATAACACAAAACATCCTAATTCAATGCTAAAACTAAATATTTTTTTTTTAAATGTTGTAAAAACTTTTATCTTTCAAATGGTGCCTGCCGTTTGCCTCTGGCATTCATACTTATCTTTATATTAACGTCTAAACAGGAGGTTCGAAAATCGTCAAAACACGTGCAAAAGACGCTACTGCCCCCGTAATCATTTAAACCACAACATGATATCACTTTATGGTTTCCGGTCCAGATTCTTCCACGCGGGTTGTGCCGGGTGCTCATGCCAACAGGGGTAGCATTTTTTCTTCAGCCCGTACTCTACAAATCGAAGAGTGTACATGGTATGCTCTAACTGGAGCATGCCTGCAAGCACGCTCTAGCTAGCGCATGCCTGCCAAGCATGCACTTACTAGCGCATACATGCCATGTACACGCTAACTGAAGCATGCATCTAGTGCATAAGGGATAGGGAGTTGTCTGCATCAGGAAGCGTGTACGTGGCATGTATGCGCTAGTAAGTGCATGCTTGGCAGGCATGCGCTAGCTAGAGCGTGCTTGCAGGCATGCTCCAGTTAGAGCATACCATGTACACTCTTCGATTTGTAGAGTAGAAGTTCTGGGGCAGGCACCGGTGTTCGGCTTTCATTCTTTTGATTCCCCGACGACTCACATAGTTGCGTGGTTTGGTTCCAGCTGACACCTAGAGTTCCGACCATCTGTATTGCTGACGTTCACTAACAAGATTTCATCATGTCGGAGAAGGACGGCAAGCGCGTTGTGACTTTTGGTAAGTACCCCGTTAAAATACTAGTCGTCTCGTCACTGCGAGAAAAGATCACGGTAAATCCTGTACTGATTACTCCGGACTTTTCCGTACTTTTTTAACAGGCAATACCGTCATTTTTTACCGGCAATGCCGTACTTTTTTTACAGGCAACACCGTACTTTTTTTTACAGGGAATCCCGTACTTTTCCCCCGGCAATACCGTACTTATGCCTATCAAAAACTGCTATTTTTTTTTTAGTCGGTTGACCCTCTTTTTTCAAGATTCTGATGTACGTAAACTGCTGAAGTCGGACTCCTGGACCCCCCTTCCGACCACTCGTTGAAAAGGTCTTGACGAGACCTATCCAAAGGTGCAATAAAATTTTTCAGTCGGTCGACCCCCTTTTTTCAAGATCCTGATGTGGACAATTCTTGGAAGCGGCCTTTGTTGGGACCAGATCTGGTCTTTCTTACGGCATGGACTGTACGGAAGAACGGTAACTACTGTTAAAAGACTACGGAATATTTTGTAAAACAAGTACGGTAAATACTGTAGACTGTACGGTGGATACTGGTTTTTGAAGTACGGTAAAGTTTGGCAAAAAAATTATCCAGGATTTACCGTCATTTTTTCTCAGAGTGGTTCCTCTGCCACTGTACTCGTTGACATGTCACTCAGTCCAAGTTCTGAATTGCTTAGGTTTCCGCTTTACTCGTGTAACTACGTGTAACTTTTGATGCTTTTATGATAAAAATCCATGTGCATGTTTCATTTGTTTGGTTCTAGTTTTCCTGAAAGGTTCTAGTTTACCTTGAAAACAGTTTTTTTGTTTGCCCTGATCATTGATGTAAATTGAGTCACCCCCTTCCTTGGCTTTATGCATGCATAAAACCTTACCAAGTATTCTGAGCTTACATACTAAAATCAAATTTACTTCGTTATACGATGAAATAGTTTGTAAATCACAAAGCATTTTCTTTGCAAGCTTTATGTATGCTCAAGATACTTTGTTATAACAAACTGCTTTTCTATATAAGGCCTGAAATAGTTTGCAAGGTTTTCAGAGTGCACGGTAAAAACGGCTCCTGGTTTTCCCAGGAACTCCCTGGAAATCGCCTATGTCTCTACCATAGGCTTCCTGGGAAAGCCAGGTACCGTTTTAACAGTGTGTGGATCAAATATCCTAACGACATCCGTCATCTGATTGGCGCAGGTCCGAAGAGCGGCGAGTGTGCTGTCTGCGACAAAGTGGGCACCCTGAAATGCAGCCGCTGCCAGGTGGACTTCTACTGCGGCAAGGATCATCAGGTTCAGGACTGGCCTCGCCATCGCCAGGTAAGCGTGTCTCCAATCGGACCTTACTGGAGAAAAGGCGAAAACCAAAAACCCATAAGGGCTCAAACAGTACTTAAGGGGAGGTTCTGGTGAAAATCTTGCCATTTTCCAAATGGATCCTACAGTCATAATTTGTTTGGAATATAAAATTTTTCATTGAGGAGACTAAAATTTGACTTTTGAAGGCACATGCCAGGCTGTAAACCCAGTCAAAGAGTCTTTTTTAGCCTATTTTGGCTGTATCTTAAAAAATCTCCTTGCGCATACTATTTTGTCGTAAAAGGTTGTTCTTGACATTTTTCACTTCTTCGACTCATTTTCAAAAGATACCGGCATGCAGAGCTCAAAACTTCCATCATATTATTAGTTATTAGCTTTTAAAGCTGAAAAGTCCCTAAAATTTGACTATTTTGTACATTTTTGATCAATTATAGTGAAATGCTTGGTAAGAAAGCTTGCGAATAAAAATGCAATTGACATTTTGAGATGTGCATGCTGGCATTTTTAAAAAATGAATCGAAGAAGTGAAAAATGTCTAAGCCAACCTTTTACGACAAAATAGTATGCGCAAGAAGATTTTTAAAGTTATAGCCTAAATGGGAGAAAAAGGCTCTGCGACTGGGTTCAGGGCATGGAATGTGCCTCCCCAATGAAAATTTTTAATAAATACTTGATAAGACATCAAATTTTTAACAAATTTTCACAGTGGGACCTATTTAGGAGAAAATAGCATTTTCACCAGAACCTCCCCTTAACGCTCTTGAAGGACGTTTATCGTTGAAGTCCTATGTAAATTCACGACCTTCCCACGGATTCACACCGTTCCAGAGGCGTAAATCGTTGACAAGTGGAAAAGGCGTAGTTTTTATGCCTCTGTTTCACCAGTGCGGCAGCGCTCTCGGAAACCAGGAGAGTCCATGGCATGCTCCACTTGGAAGTTAACGACACGCTTTGTGTAAATTCTCTGACCTGTGGACTTACGGTTGCAAAGCTCGTCTAGAATTTTGGCCGCCTCCACCGGTCTTCTGGCCCACTGAATGTTAGTTTTTAACGATGTCTTGTTTGTCCAGATTTGCGGTTGCATGGAGTTGCGTGTTAGTCCTGAGGTTGGCCGCTGCGTCGTGGCCACCAAGGACATCCCAATGGGTACCATACTCATGAGGGAAATCCCACTGGTAGCCACTCCCAATTTCGGGTCGGATGAAGATCAGGTGAGTGTTTTGTCTAACCCTGAAACAGTATTTGAAGTATTCTGACCAGTGGCTGCATTCTGGTATGAGTTTGGAATAATCATTACCGACAGAGTTTCTTCTGCGTTCTACGTCAGCATTCGTAAAACACTCAATTTCAGGTCAAAGAAGAAATTACAGGACTTATTTGTCTGCAGATTTTTTAAAATACTTGGTAATTTCAGATAAACATATTTTTTGTTTCCAAATTGGACTTACCGGTAAATAATTTTGCAGTCCCTAACTGATAAAAAATTTGTCTCAACTTACTGAAAAATTTATTGCTAGTTTATTCAGCTTAAAGATTTGTTGTGGAATGAGTGTAGTTGTATTGGATCCAAAGGATAAATTTACATCGACAAATTTGCTGTAACGCATTAACAGTCCACCTCCACAAACAAGTCGTTGACCAACAAGTGTTGTTAGTTAACGGCAAGTGTTGTTATTCCAAATAGATTTTGTAATGACTGTGACACGTATTGACTAAGTGCTTTTATGCTAAATTTATTTTACAGAGTTCCACTTTTAATGATAGTAACTTCCGTATTACTTACAATAATGAAATTGATGATTATTCATAATATATTTTATTTGAGCAGATAATCGCAAAAGATGTTCTTTGCACACCAATTGTGTCGTTAATGGTACTAACAAGAACTTTGTTCTTTTACGCACATTGTTGCACACTAGATTCATCAAAATTTGTTCCGCTTTGGTTCATGATGACATTCTATGTTTTAGAACGACTAAATTTTCACTCATCTGATGGTTTCTGTTCAACCATTTTCTGACAGTGCTGTGCGATAGTTGCGCTGACAGTCATGCATGTTTCGAGAAACATCGGCATTTTGTAACTTTGCAGCCCCTTTGCACGCGTTGGTCGCTGAGAATCGTTAATTGTTCGGAAATAAACCTCTTTTCGTGACTTTGCAGCCCCTGTGCGTGGGTTGTTTCATGCCGCCCCACCGCGTGCGTGCGTGCGCCCTGTGCGGCTGGCCGGTGTGCAGTGAGGCCTGCAGCAAGAAGGAGATCCACCAGCCCGAATGCGCTGCCTTCCAGCGCGCCAAGTTCAAGCTGCCCAAGGGTGAGTTCCCGGCAAACTGGCGAAATTATCACTTGTGGGATAAATTTTTTTTTGGTCCCAGGAATGTTGCAATTTTGAGCTTATCAGTTTGTCATCAGTAGTCTATGCTCCAAGTTTGTGTCCACCAGGTGATTCAACTTAATATCCACCAGGTACACTGAGAAAACCTTATAAACTATTTTGGGCCTTACAAAGAAAAGTAGTTTGTATAACAAAGTATTTTGAGCATACGTAAGCTTACAAAGCAAATACTTTGTAAGTTACGAACTATTTCTTCGTATAACAAAGTATTTTAGTTTGTTATTATATGTATGCTTAAAATACTTCGTAAGGTTTTAAGAGTGTAACTTGCTACTGCTTCATATTGAGAAAACAAATTTCCGCAGCAAATCACCTAGTGGATGTAAAGTTGCGGCTAATATGCTTATAATTCCATCATTCCTGGGACCAAAGAAGGTAATTTGGGACAATATTTCCTTTCTGTTCGTCTCTTGTCAGAAAGCCATCCCCACCTCTCTGGCTTCGCTCGGGTCCTGTTTTTTTTTTTTTGTACCTTTCTTCTACCATTTTGTACCTAACTTACTGCACACAATTCACACCTGCACACACGCGCCAATATTTGCTGATAAAAAATGTCCAGGAAAGTCCTGAACGTCAAAGCAGATGATTGTGTTGTTTCGTATTGTGCGGCCCGCACAATCCTGTCGCATTTATAATTTTTCTCTAAGTCGCGGAAAACACGCCATGTTCTTTAAAATAAGCTAAGGGACCTGTGTTACGTTGACCAAGAATCGCTCATGTATGTGAAGGGAGATTTAAATTTAATGAATACCCTGACAGGACGCTGGTGGTGGAGTTGCAAGAGAAAATCCAGAAGTTAAAGTTTATGCATGTTTTATGTCAGAAAGCACAAGGTAAACGAGGGCGGCTCAAAACTGCACAAAATATCACAACAGCTAATTAAAATCGACTAAATCTGTCTGACAGGTTACAGCAGAAAAAAAGACAAATACATTACAACAATTCAGAATTTGTTTGACAGATAACAACAGGAAAAGGAAAAGTGACAACAGAAAAAATGATTAGCTCACTAGATTACAATAATGCTGAACCTGATTGACAGGAGGTTCCACCACCACTTTTTCTGATGCCGCTTTCCTCCTAGGTGTGAGAGGTTCAAATATGGCTCTGTAGTGTTGTGTTTGCCTCCACTGGCTCATGTGCTCATCAGAGATGGGTGCGTGGTGTTCATCAAACACTGATGGCAAAGTTTCTTTTTTCTTCAGTTTCTTGCCTCTCCTCCCACCAGCCTGGAATTGGTCTGGAAGAAAATGCCTCTCGCAAAATTTCATGTTGCGTCTCAAATGTTTTATGGGGATTTCTAGATGTTCATTGTTGCCTGATAGTTGAACCCAAGATTCAAACCTGCACGAAATAACAGGAAAGCAATTACTTGGGGCATCACACCTGAGATTAATGCTCACATCTCCGTTCAAACAGCACGCATTCGTAGGTTAACTTACACAACAACGTTCTTGACCTTGTCGTCCGTAAAGTTTGGGACAAGAAACAAGGAGGTTCCAGGCGGTACAGGTTTCTTCGAGTACGTGCACCCTAATACTCGACATCTTGGACCCTGTTTCGGCGGCATTTTTGATGGTTTCAAATACCTTTTCAGTGATCATTAACAAAATAATGATCCGACGCCCGAACGGAATCCAAAGCAGGCTGCCACAACCACCCGCGATAACTCCGCCGCAACCTCATCACAATTTGAAACTGCATTTACACTCTAAACGTTCTACAGTGAAGATTCTCCATATTATGGTGAAAATGTTCCATATTATGGTGGTGCAGCTGACTTCGTAACATACCATCGAGAATTCACTGTACCTTATAGAGATTTTGACGAATTTCGTTGGTATTATGGAGAAAATCTCCACCATATTATGTTGGTGCAGCCTTTCACCGTAAGACATTTACTGTGTAGAAGCCCTTAACTCACAAAAGTGGACTGTATAAGACAAAAATTTGAATATTATTCATTGCTCGTGCTTACGAAGGCCGTGTATGAGGAAAATTCCCTTCATGTAACTGGCATATTTTGTCCGTAGGTTGGTACAGTTTTTACACTGACTTGGACGCTGGGGAGCCTATCTTTGTGTGAGAGTTCCTTTGTAAGCAAAATGCTCTGAGTTCATATTTAGTATTCAGTCCGTGTTTCGTAGGCGCATCAACATAACAGCAGCAAAATGACTGGCTGTTCAGCTGTTAAGTGCAAGAATAGAACAGAAGATGGAGTTGCTCTTTTCACAATAACCAAGACGAGACGCCCGGAGTGGCTGAAGATCCTGGGCTTGCCTGAATCTACACCGCTGCAGTCCCGCATTTGTGAGGTAAACATAAGCTCGTTGAATTAAAAATTGAGCGTCTATTTATGGTACCTGATTTGACTTCACTTAACTAAGTGCAACTTTAGTACTTTTCTTGTCAAGTTGTTAGGTTATGGTACCCTACAGCCCATATTAGTTTTTGCCCTCCAGGTCAACATACGCCATACGCGTCCAACATGCGTTTTAAGTTACATGTTTGTAGTAGATTTTGTTTTCCTTCTGTTAAGGTTCATTTTGAGGCCGACCAGTTCCAACTGGACAAATCAGGAAGGTTAACATTGAAACCTGGTGCTGTTCCGACATTGTTTGGCTCAAATTTAAAACACCAACTCAGGCAAGAGACAGTTTCGACCGTCACCTGCAGTCCAATTACTGAGGATGTTTGGAGCTGCTCTCATGGAACTGCAAGCATCAAATATGTTGGCGCTCAGGCTGTGCTTCGGAAGCATGTAATGAAGGATGGTGAGTTGTTGTTCCGACTAATATTTTCTTCCACACCATTTTTGTTTCTTCGTCACTAACCTCACTTTGTTTCATGTGTTTTCAGCCACAAATCTTCAGGAAAATTTACAACCGAGCCGTTCATTGCCCAGCGTCAATGCGGAGGAGATACTGATAGAAAACAAGAACTTGTTAATTGAACGTGAGGAATTGAGGAGAGAAAACAAGAACTTGTTAATTGAACGTGAGGAATTGAGGAGAAGGGTGAGTACTTTGTTATTTCCATGTAATAAGGAGGACAACGGAGCAAAGCATATTAGTTTGGAGCCGACATGTTCTGAGGTGTATTTTTTCTTCTGACACATGTGTATCTGTGATAGTTTTAATTGTATTGCATGAACACAATTGCTGTTCATTTACCCAGTCTATATTTTAGTTTGATTGCAGTCTAGTTTGTCTGCAATCTCAATAATGAGGATATTGTTTATTTTAGAAACTGTAGTGAGAGATTCTGCACATCAGTCGACTGCAGTTAGTTTTACGGCATTGTTCCTCTTTGCTGGCAGTGTAATCGTTGTCACTGCATTTGGTTGTGGAATTAGATGTTTATTATTTTTTATGATTCACTGAATAATTGCTTTGCTTATATAATTAAAATGTTGTGCAACATTGAACATCCTACGCAAATAAGTGACTGACTTTATTTCTTGACACAACTTAGCTGGGTCAAACATACAAGCATTTTTAAAAAAATGAGCAGCAATTTGTATTCATTTTATAAGAACGAGTCGTTTCTTAATATTTTTGCCCTAACAATTCTATTTCTCTTTCAGAAGGCCCATCTTTTGATGGATGTTGATTGCCTCAGTAAACTCTTGCGCAGGCTGGAGGAAAACCCGTCCCTACTGCGCCAGTGTCTCTGACAGCGCGTTCTCATTTTTGTTTTATCATAGAATTATCCGCTGAATGCAGTCCTGTGCACGCCCCTACATTGTGGCTTCGTAAGTGCAAAGTCTGGACAATTTTGTCAAATTTTTTTCCGGGATCACCTGGGCCTGATGAAAGTTGGAAGCCTATTCGAGGTGGCCACTGAAGAAGCTCTTGAATTATGGAGTGATCATGTTCTGTTGGGCCCACTGGACTACTTTCTCCCCAGCAGGCTGTTAACATCTGGGGACAAGAAAGGTCAAACCCTTTCTTCTCATTTTGAGCTCATTGTGACAAGTCTTGATATCAGAAAAGGCATTTAATAAACATTATTTTATCAGATTTTGTTTTCTATCTTGTCCTTAAACTACCCATACACACTAAGGTCAAGGTCACATGGAAGATAGGTCAGAGCAACCGAGATGCATGCATGCACACTCTCACCTCCGCCAGCTTTACTAGTTCTGTCGCACTTACTCTAAATGGCTAGTGTCTTGTATTCTCAATATTTTCTCATTACGCATATACTCCATTTTGGCTCCACTTGGAACCAGCAGCTCGAGCTGGGGACACATTTTTTTATATCTATTTTGTTTTGGGGCCTTAATGTAAAATGTGTCATCTGCTAAATAGTACAGCAAATCCAAGTGTGAGACAGTCTCACACTCGTGCAAACCATTGTGTGACGCTTACAAGCGTAAGCCACGTTTGTCGCACGCTTTCAAAACAATAACAAGTACCCTTTGGAGAGAAACCGTGTGTCACGCTTGCAAGTGTGAGATAAACGTTGTCTCTACTTGCTAGCGTGGGGTAAACGTGGCTCGCGCTTGTAAGCGTGAGACACAAGGGCTCGACTCAAATGGTGTGATACTGCCTCATACTAGTAATGGATTCGCAGTGCATCAGTATTTTAGTGAGAGATCGCACCGCACCTCAGCAGGATATGTTCTTTCTCTGTACGCAGCGAGGTACTGTGTTTAGCGAGCATCGGAAAAGTGACAACCTGTTCTTCTATTTATTGTTTGGCTGCAGGTAAACTCACCGCCTGGGAGTCGAGATTGTGGAGTTACCTGGCCGCCCTCAGGACCACCCTTGCTTTCGAAGACAAAGCGCGCCGAGATATTTTGGAGAGCCTTCAGTACGAAAACCCGCCTGTGACAAATATGGTTGAGGAAATCAACAAGGTACGTGACCACGGCTGGAACACGCTTTCCGCGGACTTAAAGTTCCTGTACACTGCAAAAAAAAAACCAACCAAAGTACACAAATTATTGGCAAATTTTTATCAGGAGATTATCATATTTTCAAAGTACAACAATTGTTGTTCGAAGTACAAGGGAATCGGCATGACGAGTGCTGGGCAGTCCAGGCCTCGTTGTGGTTTGCACAATTCTCGTTGTACTTCATGCAATCCGTGTTGTACTTTTATTGTGCAGTTTTTGTTGTGCTATTCACACTTTTTCTTGCAGTGTACGTGTGTTGTCCTTACTCAGTGGTCCTCAACCTTTTTCTGCTCGCGACCTTAAATTTCTCAACCTCTCAATTTTTTTCGAAGCTTATTCTCAAAAACGACTTAGTAATTGATCCTGGAAGCGGAAGAAGGGGTTAAGTCGAGTTGATGCAGTGACCTCTTATCAGTCTATCAAGTAAACATGAGTGAAAATTTGATCCAAAAATAAGTGTGGTGAGACAAGTCCCATCCTCTTGCATCTATTTTTAGGTGACATTCCCCACCTGTTCTCCCACCTGCAAGGTTTAGGCCTTGCAAAAGTGCACGGATTACGTTCGACTTATACCCTTCTTCCGCTTCCTGGATCAATTTCGAGTGTGCGCACGTATCTTCACGTAATTATGCATAGAAATGAATTGAATTTGGACCTTGTTGGCTTTTGTTGACAGCTGCCGCCTGCCGGCCGCATGCGCCTCATGACGAGCCATAGCGAGTTCGAGCTGGCGTGTTCGAAGGCGGCCGAGTGGGTGCGCGACGTGGCAGGCATGACCTGGCTCAGCGCCGAGAAGGTGCGTCGCGCGGCCGGCGTCTGCTACATCAACTCGACGGGCTGCGGCTCGAGCTCGGGACGGCACGTAAGTATTAGGCGCGCTCTCAGCCCCAGAGTTGCTGAATGGGACTCGAACCGAACGTGTGACCCCACCAATGGATTGCTCTTCGAACGAGGAATCCATTGGTGGGGTCACACGTTCGGTTCGAGTCCCATTTAGCGACTCTTGAGCTCAAAGCGCGTCTTGAGTCCTGGCCGCCGGCGCCGGTCTTCTGGCCCACTGTGTTGTCTTCTCCTTCTGGCGAGTCCTTTGCCTCACCCTTCTTTTCCCGTGCGCCTCCAGGTGACTGGTCTGTTTGCCGGCATGTCGTTGGTGGAGCACTCGTGCCGCCACAACGTGGAGACGCAGGTCTGGCAGCGCGTGGGGGACCCCCACCCAATGGCAGGTAGGGGTGTCATCGAAGACGTCGTTTTTGTCGACTGTTCTTATGTAGAGAAACGTCAATGCTTTATCCGAAGTCATTTTTACGACGCCATCGAAGTTCTGTAAAGACTGATGACTCAAAATCCACAAGAATTGAGTGTGTTCGTCTGTGGTTTCAGGTGTCGCCGGCAGCTTGGAGTACGTGTTGGTGGCGACGCGCGACATCGCTCGCGGGGAGCACCTGGCCCTCGGCTACCTGCCCAACTACCTCGAGGGGGCGGCCAAGCGCCGCATGGCCTTACTCTACCGGAACTTCCTCTGCCGCTGTGAACTGTGCTCGGACCCAAGCCAGCGCGGGCTGTACCTGGAGGGATGGTGCTGCCGCTCTTGCAGTGGTGGGTACACTGTTTTTCAACCTTGTGGCGTTGTTTTCGTTAAAATGTGAATTTTGCATGTTCGTCTGATTATGGCTTTCTATTCCTCCCCTCTTGATACTTCCGTTTAAGTAGGTTTTTACATTCGTGTAAAGCAATGCATCCGCTAGGGTTTCCCGCCAAAAATGTTAAGAATTAAAATGTGTCGTAATGCCTCGCGTAATGCTCTGCGCTTCGCATCAAGTTCGATAAAGCTCCAAACTCTTTTGTAAATTTTACGCAATATCTATCTCAACCTTCATGGTTTTGACCAATTCAACCATTAAATTTGCCTAATTACTCGCGACCGGCTGCTTCAAGCTTTTTTTCCTGAAACTTCTCATAGCTTTGCGATGATGTTATAGAATCTCGTAAATCCTCCTTTTCTTGGTTTAAAGACTCTCTTCGTAATATACTGGTGGATCGAAGCAAACACATCTATACTGAAGTTTCCAAAACTTGTTTGAGAATATCCTGAGTTTGTTTTTATATATTAAGGTCCATGAAAAGGCTTTGGAGAATCTATGCTTCTTTTATTATTTGTATTGAGATTGATGCAATAATGCATGCATACGTTCGTGAGGTGTGTCTCATATTATGCATCACTGTGTACATTCCATGCCGAAAGATGCATGAAATGAATTCAGCGATGCACATTACAATGAACGACGTTTCTGTGCATTTTTGTGCGTTAGAAAAGTCCACGAGAATTTAGCGTGTTGTGTCGAAAAGTCTAGTCGTTTATACTTACGTCGCAATGCCCTGCACTGAGAAAACCTTACAAACTATTTTGGGCCTTACAAAGAAAAGTAGTTTGTATAATAAAGTATTTTGAGCATACGTAAGCTTACAAAGTAAATACTTCGTAATTTACGAACTATTTCTTCGTATAACAAAGTATTTTAGTTTGTTATATGTATGCTCATAATACTTCGTAAGGTTTTAAGAGTGTGTGTTTCAGCCAAGAAGAAAAAGGCGTTCCCGGTGCTCATCCGCGACCTGGACAACAACTGGGCCTGCAGCGGCTGCGGGGACAAGGGACCGCTCGTGGCCTTCGGAGCCGGCGCCACGATGGAGATCATGGCGAACATGTTCAGATCGGTCCTCTCGGGCGGCGTCGACAGCATGAAGGCCATGGCTCAAAACCCGGCCGGCATTTTCGACTCGGTGTCCACCCCCGGAGGTGCCGACACACCGTACGACCAGTCCAGGAGTCTGGAGCGCCGCCTCAAGGCCCTGCTGGAGAGTTCCTCAAAGGTCAGGGTCAAAAAGTATTCGACACAGCAGTACAAAGTACTATTTCCTCAATACCGAGGGGGAAATCACTCTTTACCAGCGACCCCACTATTACGTCCATTACGCTCTATTACGCCTCAAATTTTAGGGATTTAGCTGAAAACTGTCCAAATAAATCGTAAAATAGATCAAATTTGGAGAATTTCGGCTATTACACTACTATTACGCACACTATGACGCGTACGCGTGCTATTACGGTCAGAGTGACCCGACTATGACGCGAGTGCTTTCCCCCTCGCTTCGAGTGTTTACTTTCGTGCCAACTTTATGCATAGAAGAAGGCACGTAGCAAATTAGTGTGAAGGAGGTTGAGTTACGGTTGAGGACTTGAGGGTGTGTGTGACACACACTTCTGTTTCCTGAGACCACTGGTCAAACTGAAGCTCAACCCTGTGCTTGAGCCAAGCCTTAAGTTACGCTTGAAATGAGGCAGAGACTAGAAGTGCCCCCATGCATTAAGATAGGGGACATCTTGGTGGATGAGCCTGGTATGCTTGATTTCAAGCGTAACCTGATAACGCTTGAAAAAAGAGGGTAACACACTCTGAATATTCGACTGAGAATTTTTTAGTGTTGCGAATAAATAGCTTAGTATTATGACTGGACAATGAAGGTAGTATAACCCACGAAGAAAGGTTCTCAGCATATTACACTCAAATTTCTCTGTATTTTGACAGATTTGTGTCGTAAAGTACTGAGAATTGCCTCAGTATTATGACTCCACGGCATTTCTCAGTAGGGTATTGGGAGTGTACTACGCTTTAGTTTTACCAGTGATATTTCCTGGGTGCGACTGCAACCTTTTCGTCTGTCTTTTACAGGTGCCGCTGAAGGAGTGGGAGCGGTTCATCAGTGACGCCCTCTGGCCCCGCGGCCCGCTGCACCCCACGCACAGCCTGGTGCTGCAGGCCAAGAACGCCATCATCGAGATGGACCAACCGGATGTGCTGGTCGCCAGGCTCACCGCAGGTGTGCTATCAAATTCGGAGGAGCTTACTTTTTATAACATGTTTCGGACTACTCGACAAGTTCTTTAACAGAATTTAAGTTTTGCTGGGGCAAGGTTAGGTTAGGGGCACTATGTACTTCTAAGATCCCTCACAGCTTTTTCTCCTTAAAACGAACAAAAAACTTGATGTTAAATCAGCGTTGCAGTAACCTTTAGTGAAGGAACTTATGATCAGTTTCTTCATAACACAATCAATTTTCTCTGTGTTATGATAGTTTTATGTCATAGAGCACTGTTTAAATAAGGTATGAAAATTACTTCCTTTAAGGCATAAATACTCTTTTATGCCCTTTAAGGGCGTAAACAAGGGGAAGTAACAGCAGCCAAATTTGCACTCCAAAATTCATCAAACATGTAAAATTTACTGAAATTTAATAAAATTCATCGAAATTCGACCGAAATTCATAGGATTTGTACACTGAAATTCACAGTGGTTTCCCCCTTGGCGTAAATCGTTTCATGCCCTTGGGAAGGGCGTGAATGGTAGTATGGGAATTTTAATCAATATTTTATAATGCCCGTCTCAAAGGCAATAACGATTCACGCCGCTCCAGGGGCGCAAATCGCTAACGCCCTTGAAGGGCGTAATTTTAATGCCTTTGTATCACCGGTAAAATGACTCTTCCACACTCTAAATGTTGTACTGTGAAGATTCTCCACATTATGGTGAAACGGTTCCATATTATGGTGGTGCAGCTGACTTCGTAACATACATTGAGAATTCACTGTAGATATTTTGACGAGTTTGTTGGTATAATGGAGAAAATCTCCACCATAATATGTTGGTGCAGCCTTTCACCGCAAGACATTAACAGTGCATTTTCAGTGAGTTGTGTGCTCTGTGTGCAGCCGAGACGAAGCGCCTGGTGGGGTACTGCCGCGACCTGCTGGCCGTGTGCGATGAGGTGTGTCCCGGTGCCAGCTCCTTCCGCGCTCAAATCCTCTGCATCCAGTCCGGACTCATCGGCGCCCAGGTGATGGCGCGGCTCAACGACACTGGACGCAGTGGCCCACGGCCAGACACGGAGGTAAATCACCGCACAGTGGGCCAGAAGACCGGTGGAGGCTGACGAAAATCCCGAACGCGTTGTGAGCTCCAGTGTCGCTCCACAGGGCGTGAACCAAACGTGTGGCCACACCAATGTATTCCTCCGTGAAACTGTGTGGCGACACTTCACGTGGAATGGAAAGACTATTATTTTTAAGTCCGAATTAAAGTTTTCGATCCTAGACATAAAATAACTTTGACTCCTCGCCAAGTTGGGGCCCGAGACCACCTACCCCGTGCTTTATTTCACAATACCTCTCTTACGTCAACTTACGCACTAGAAAAGTGATTGTTAAGTTGGTATGGCCAGAATTCAATTCCAAGAGTTTCGCTCTGTAAACGCAATAAATTAAAATTAACCTGAATATCGAGGCCCATCCTGCGTGAGAGTGACCTATTCTTGTTCATATTGTACTGGTGAACATTTGGAACACCTCCAAACCACGTCTTGAGGCTATCTTAAAAACTTAAAACTCTGACCTGACAACCATGAATATAGATTATCCGTGCAATACTACCTTAAATGCTCCTCAGGAACCCAGTTTGTTAAGCCACCCTGTTTTCTCACGTATGGTCTTGTTCAAAGCTCGGCACTGTTTGCAGGCTCTCCTGGACGAGTGGGAGGCGGTGCACAACGAGCTGCTGGTGACCGCCCTGTGCCCTAAAGGCAGGGACACGACCCTAAGGAACCTTGACCACGTCGCTCAAATCCGGAAGAACCTGGCCATGATGAAGAGGCGCTAGTTCTAGACAAGTTTGATTTTGATCGGAGTGTCGCCTGAGGTGCCCTGATTACTCAGCCGCGTCTCTCTGGTTTAAATTTGCGCTCGAAATGTCATCCTAAGTTTCCAAAAGCGTCAAATCCTGTGATTTTAAGTTAAGTTACTACAATAATCACTGTTCTTCATCAATAGTATCTTATTTTTGTGTTTTGACTGTGTCTTTAGCTGTTGTATGCTTAGTGGTAATGTCTTAATGTCTGCCAAAACTTCTTGAATCAGCCGGCTTTGTAGAGCCTTCACACGAGTATTTGGAATTTAATTTTTCTTTTTCTACCTTATTGGGTGCTGGATATGTGATTACTTCGTCTCATGACATCTGTTTTGCTTGGGTTATTAAAAAAGCTTTTGTTAATCATCTCAAGAAGGGAACCCTTCCAACAAGTGATTTTATTCTCTTGTGAACCATTATTTTTCTTGAAATTGAGGAATCAGGAGAAAGGAATAAATAAATATGTATGTCTGTTAAGTTCTCCGTTAAATCTGAATTGTAAATTTCTTATTGGTACTGGGTATAAATTTTGTCTGGTGACCACTAATGTTTTGGTTGAGTTGTTACGTTGTTAGCAATCCTATTACTAAAAACACCAATAAAATCAAATCCTTCAAACGTTTTTTTTTTAACTCTTCCTTACCCCTATGCCATTTCTTCCATTGTTGTACATTTAAATCCAAAACACAACATATTTAATTTTCAATTTAAAAAAAAATTTCTTCTGGGAAATCCAAAATTTGCCCAAAAAACAAACTTTTTTCTCCCCCAAAATTGTATTTTTAATACAACCAATAAATGCTGAAATACGATATAAAAAGAAAACCAAACTTTGTTAAAATTCACGGGGGATTTAAAATCGAACACCTCATTTTAAAACTGACCCCCCTTAAAAAAAAAAAATTTACAAATAAAATTTTTTTCTAAAAAGGGGTTAGACCGGACCGCTTTCCTTTCCCTTTCCTCCCTTTTTTTCCCCCCTTTTTTTTTTTTCTTTTTTCCCCCTCCCCCTCTCTCTTTTCCTCTCTTTTCCCCTCTCTCTCTCTCTCTCCAGCGGACCGTTTCGCAGAAGCCCTGCAATCGGTTCAGGGACGATGACGAAGGACAGTTTCGTCGCTCTGACTCTCTCGCACGCCTCCGAAACGCTCCATGAGTGCGATAGAGACAGAGCGAGGAAACTAGGGAAACTATCCTTCGGAATCAGTCTGCAGGTATACGTGGGGCCTCGGCAGCCTGAGTGGGAAAGGGGCCCGCAAGGGCGCTGCGCTTCTTGGAACGACCGCAGCAGGCAGTAGACTGATTCCGAGAGTGGTTTCGTTGCTCTGTCTCTCTCGCTCCCACTCGGGACGCCCCAGGAGAGCGAGAGAGAGAGCACGACGAACACTGAAAAACCAAACGTGGTCCAGACCGCACCACCGGTGTGGTCAGATGGGTGCCATTTTTACCACATCAGTTGGTGTGGTCTAAAAACCACGTTTTGGGCCCCGTTTGGGGCGGTCTAGACCACGTTTGGCCACGTTTGGCACTGGAAAAAAAGTACGGAAAAAATCGGCATTTTTGCCTGGGCCGCCGTACTTGCCAACTACGGAAAGTTCCGACTTTTTTTTCCCTACCCTTTACTGGGTTTTATGGAGCAAGTACGGGAACGTTCCGTACCTCCGTACTATATTTTTTTGTACCATTTCCGTACAAAAGAAAGGAATTTTTACAGTGGGGGTCGCCCCCCCAACGTGTCTAGACCACACCAACTATGCGGTCAAAATGGCATCCATTTGACCCCCCAGTTTGGGGCGGCCTAGACCACGTTTTTTTTTTTCAGTGAAAGGGGCTCTCGGAATCAGGCTACAGGCCTGCGCCGCTGAGGGGGGTGTTTGGGGGGGGCGCCGTTTGGGGGGGCCAAAAACCCCGGCGGTTGGCTCCTGGACCCCCCAGTGGGGGCTGCAGTTGGGGCCCCGGGGGGGCCCTTTTCGACCAGGCTCCGGTGCCCCGGGCGGGAAGGCCTTTTTTGAGCCTGGCCCCCGGATGCCCCCCGCTGCGCAGCCCAGATTGGGCTTCGGGGCTCCCTGGGCCGACCCGCAGTCCCTCCTGCAGGCTCACGGGCCCTCGCTGGACGCGCTGTGGCTGGGTGTGGGAGCTGAGCCTCGCCAGGAGTGGCCTGAAGGATGCAGCGACCTGGAGGCCTTCCTGCGCCAGTTCGGTCTCCGCCTCTCGCGTCTTGTGCTGTTTAGGCTCGGCTGTGACCTGCGGTCTGCCGTGCCCAGGTGGCTGCAGCCCGCCGCGTGCTTCCAGAGTGCTTCGTGAAGTGCCAACAGTGTGACCGTGTTCCATATGGAATCTACTAGCAAGGCAGTATGGATGCCTCACCCACGGCGGCGTACGGCGTACACTGCAAACCTAACTGTCTACTAAGTAGTACACACTTACAAATGCGTGCTTGCAAGTACACACTTACAAACGCATGCTTGGCCAAGTACACACTTACAAACGCATGCTTGCAAGTACACACTTACAAACGCATGCTTGGCCAAGTACACACTTACAAATGCATGCTTGCAAGTACACACTTACAAACGCATGCTTGACGCATGGAGTTATATGGCGTCAAGCATGCGTTTGTAAGTGTGTACTTGCAAGCATGCATTTGTAAGTGTGTACTTGGCCAAGCATGCGTTTGTAAGTGTTTACTTGCAAGCATGCATTTGTAAGTGTGTACTTAGTAGACAGTTAGGTTTGTAGTGTAGCCACGCTGGTCCGTCCACGTGGTCTACGGCCGCCGCACTTATCCTTCCAGTATTTATACAGTAAAAAAAAAACAATAAAAGTAAAATATAAATAATCATAGATTGAGGGTGTCGTGGAAAATAGGGTTTTTGACAAAGGTTGTCCAAATCAAACCAAATTTTATTTTAAGGTTCTCCTACACTCAAAGACATGTAAAATCTTTTTTCAAATCTTTATGTCAAGTTTTGTCCAAGGAGGAAAAAATAAATGATTTTCTCAGAAGACGCGGCAATAGATAAAGGATTTTTTTTTTTAATTTTTGGGAAGACCAATATTATAGGAAGCTTTGGTAGTTTGTTGCATGTCCTGGACTAGCTTGGTTTGGAAGAGAAAGTTTCCATATCAACGGAGCTCTGAAATAAATGCTTAAGGTGATTCAGCAATGCCACTGAAAGTGTACTGGATGATTGGACACAATAGCAAGGAGAAAACTGATCGAACGGACGGACTGCACATAATGAATGAAAATTAACACTCGACATACAAGAACCACAGTTGACTCACATGTAAAACATACATTAAATGTTATTGCACACACCATACCAGAGTTTAATTAAATCAAAAAGAACTGATGTAAGAAAGACTAATACAAAACTAAGTTCCCTGAATCATTTAGCACACATCCTGGGCTTGCCATGTGAACATGGACAGTAAGCACAGTCGTAGCGCATCAAGATTGCATTAGTGTAGTCTCGTTGTCGCTCAAAGTAGAGCCAGCCATCGGTCGCCGGCAGTTTCAAGCAAGCCTCCTTGGCTTCTGCTGTTTCAGGGACCTTGGGCAGGAGTCTTGTCTCGTGTGAGGCCATCCTCTTGTAGGAGCAGTCCACTAAACCCCCGCCACAGAGAATCCCCTGCAAATGTAGGCAAAGTCGGCATTAGTGTAATTTCATATTGCATTAGTTCTTTTATGTGTGACACCATTTAATTAAAACTTGAGTCCCGTTGTAAGAAAGGACTTTGTTCCAGAAACAATTGGTACAGTTTGAACAATTTTCATCAAGTAAGAGCTATTCAGCGGCTCTAGAAAAGAAAAACATGATTCATGGGGCATTTAAAAATATAGTCATATTATTCCAAATAGCATCACAATTGATTTTTTCTTTCACCGTGTCAACTGGCTTGCAGAGTCTTCATCATAAAATCAGTTAATTTTTTCATAATACACACAATGTTCACAAATGTCCTTTTCTAAGTCCCCACCTAGGAAAGCTTGCATAAATGTGCACAAACCAAATAGTTCTACTTAGTTAATTAAAAACTTTGTCTTCAAACGTATAAACCATTAAAAATTTGGCATTATTTAGCAACATGGTCATCGGTTATTTTTTTAGCAACACCATTTGCTCTCGAACGGATACCTTATTGCATTGTTGCAACAAAAGAATAAATCAATGAAAAACTCGTAATTATATTAACACTAAACCTTCGAAAACACGTATTAGATCAGAAACAAATGTCTTAATCAGCAACAAGTATTGTAAATCGATTTAAAAATTGCAAATGTTTGCGACACTAACTTTATTTTCATGGCAGTTCTATCACAATCATCTCAACATGACTTTAAAACCAAAATGGATCATGGTTCTAGTATTACTTATCCCTTAAGGGTCATAACAAGAATTTTGTTCTTCAACCACACATTGATACTTTCTAAATCCAACAATATTTGTTTTGCTCATGATGACATTCTATGCTTTTGGACATCCAAATTCGCATTCATTCGCTTGTATACTACAACCATTTTATGATAGTTAACATTATGACAAGTCAAAATCCATTGTAAATAATAAATGGCTTACCCTCATCCATTCCATGGTCCTAGGGCTCAGTCGGCAACTTTCTCCCCTTTCAATGAAGCCTCTATGAGGGTAAGCATAGCGGCACTCCAAGTGCCACTGCCCAAGAGACAGCGGGTTGTTGGAGCGCACCCCTTCAACGAAGACAGCAGAAGTGCAGAGGAGGGGAACTCCTTGACGTTCCAGTGCATAGTTAGCCGCCTGCGACAAGACAATTATAACAAGAGTTTGAATGTTAGAAACAGATGTCTCACGTCAAAAATGTCTACGCGAGCGAGGTGGAAGCAGCGCGTCGCGTGCTCGCCGTCGGAGGGCGCAAGGGAGGCGGGGGAGCGCCCGACGCTGCCACCACCTCACTTGCAACAAACCTAACTGTCTATTAAGTACACACTTACAAACACATGCTTGGCCAAGTACACACACCGTGAGAAAAAAGTACGGAACATGTCTGGTCAATAATTTGCCTGGAACGTCCGTACTTGCCAACTACGGAACTTCCGTCCTTTTTTCCGTGCCCATTTGCATGGGTTCATATGGAGCAAGTACTGAACGTTCCGTACTTTTCTCCGTACCTCCGTACTATATTTTTTTTGTGCCATTTCCGTACAAAAGTACGGAATTTTTTTTACAGTGCACTTACAAACGCATGCTTGTCGAAGTACACACTTACAAACGCATGCTTGGCGCCGTAAAATTCCATGCTAAGCATAGGCGTAGCATTTTAGGGGTTCGCCAGTTGTCTTCCTTGGAGTACTCTAGTCTGGGGCTCATCTAAAGCGTATATTACTCATGGAAACTGCCATTTCTTACTTCTGTTTTTGTTCTTACAGGCTAGAGCTCCTTCGAAATACCCTATTCTGAAATGTCCAGCTACTTATACTACAGCACTTACCAAAATGACAAGAAGCTCCGAGTTGGGCAACTGCTTTTCGCAGATTCCACAAGGAAAATGACCTTTGTTGTCAAGCATGCGCCCGCCGCACTGCTTCTGCAGCGCCTCGAAATCTGCGTCGAAATCGCCCGCCGGAGGAATCAGATAAACATCCGGTTGCCGTGCTGCGTTACGCAGCTCCTGCGCCATGTTGGTGAGATTTGCACTTCCTTCAAGTCTGCGAATTGGCTTCTACCCAGGGCGAACAAAAAAGACCAAATTACGTTAATATGATCTCAAAATGAGCCATCTTTGATCAAAATTTGGTCCATTTTGATGTCCAAATGACATCATTTGATGTAAGTTTGGTTTGATTTTGACTACCTGTTCTCCTTGGGTACATGTGGTGACACAGGGTGAGGACTGCGATGCAAACACGTCGGGAGATTCTTCTTCCAAATTGCCCAGGCTCAGCGTACAGCAGCCGGCTGCAAACACACTCTGTTGAGTTGACGCTGACTTCACTGACACAGCTTGTCAGCAGACTCAATCAGAAGCTGCGATGAAACTGCGTTCGGGCGACGACTGGTTCTCGGTCTCGTTCCTGCCTGCAGGGTTGGCCTGGCGTAGTCGGCCGACCAAATCACACCCAAACTTTCGTGGCCCTCGCACGAATCACGAACGCTTTGACCAAACGCGCCCCTGCAGGGGGATTCCGCACAGACGTTACCACGGCTGTAGGGCCCACTGAGAGGGCGATCGGGGAGAGAAGGGGAAGGAGAGGAAGGGGGAAGGGGAAAAGGGGGGGGGGAGCTAGCCCTGGTGATGCCTTAGCGGAATCACTCTGCAGGGGAATTTTCCGCAGACGAGCTCGCTTGCCTGCTGGTCTGCCTGCACTGCGAGAAAAAAAGGACGGGAAAAGTACGGAACATGTCTGGTGAAAAATTTGCCTGGACCGTCCGTACCTGTCCTACTACGGAACTTCCGTCCTTTTTTTTCCGTACCCGATTACATGAGTTCTTATGGCACTGCAAACCTAACTGTCTACTTAGTACACACTTACAAATGCATGCATTTGTAAGTGTGTACTTGGCTAAGCATGCGTTTGTAAGTGTGTACTTGCAAGCATGCATTTGTAAGTGTGTACTTAGTAGACAGTTAGGTTTGTAGTGTGGGACAAGTACGGACGTTCTGTACTTTTTTCCGTACTTCCCTACCATTTTCGTCAGTACATTTTCCGTACTACAAAAGTACGGAATTTTTTACAGTGTGGCATGGTCTGCAAGGGACTCTTTTCCAGGAAATCCAGTTCCAGGAGGGAGACGTGTTGCGAAATGCGACCGTTTGGGAGCCTTTGCGTTAGCGAGGGCCAAGGTTTTAGTCCACCTAGAACTCTGGAACTCCTTACTCCGGGACAAACAACGAGGGCTCACTGTGTGGGAGTTTGTCAAGAATTTTTGTAGGTTCGTTGTGGCTTTTTCTAGCAGTGTACCTTCCTGGTCCCCACGTTTTTTACTTTCACCGCGAAATCCGCAAATTTTCCTCCGCCAATTCCTCGAGAGGGGCGCCCGGCCCGACGATAGAAAAGCGACTCCGGCTTTTCCAGGGACGAATCAGGCCACTGTGGAGTCGGAAGGCCGTTCTCCGGACCGCCTGGGAGACAGCGAAATTTTCCGGTGAGTCGCCCGGTGACTCATCCAATAATACTAAGTGGCCAAACACACAGCTGATACACCCCTTCCTCGCTCCAATTTGGGTGAGGAAAATAGGGTATTGATCAAGACTCTTCCATTCTCAGTGCGAGGTTGCCAATTTCATGAACAAGCAGAAATCGTCGTGCTTCGGTCAAACTTTCGAATTTTGAGGAAAAAATTGGTACGTAATTATCACTGTGCTTGAATGTTAGTAAGCAGCACGGCCTTAGCTGACTTCCCAAACATTCATGGATGCATCATTACCCCGACTACCCCTCTGTTAGTCATACCGTGTGTGCCGCAGTTGTGCACTGGGAAAATTTGTTGTCACTTATGACAAAAACGTGGATGACATTTCCATCACTTTGAAATGATGACAATCTCGTCACAAATCGATGACATTTTCATCAAAGCTCCTATACTTATTGCATGGGCGTGACAACAATGTCATCAATTGACTTGATGACATGCTTGTAAGGAAAATTAGCCTTGAAATTGTCATCAAGTGACGACTCAAATTTTCACAGTATGCCCGCCGTTGGGCGCTTTCGGGTTCTTCCGCATTAGGCCGCGGAAAACTTTGACACGAGTGGATTCCATCGAACACCCGAAAAAGCCACCTTCCTGGGACTGGATTTCCCGGAAGAGGGGTCCGCCCGAGTGGAGACCCTCCCGTCGCAGGCCTGACTCGGGCAACCAAGCGTGCAGCAGCACGCTCGGGATCCCGGCGGCGCGTTCGGGCAACTTCGGGTCGACTTCGGGTGCACTTCGGGCGCGCGCTCGGGTCGGCCGTGTTTGGGAAGCCTGGGGTGGGGAGCCCGGGCTGAGCAGGGTACTTAGCGTGGTGCACAGTCCGTGGTGCCCGTGTTCCGTGCCGAGGTAGCTGGTCCAGGCTCATAGCATCTTTGACCTGCACGGTTCAGTGCTTCGTCCTGAGAGGGTTGTTCTTCGTCTGCGTTTCGCTCGCTGTCCGACGCTTAGTTCCGAAGCCGCACTGTGAGCCCAGTTGTCCAGGACCTCCCATTCAACAGCTCTGCAACCGGCGTCACCAGCTCATCAGCACTGAGGTAGGTCTAAGCACCACGTTTTGCACCCATCGGTACAAATCAGAACTGACGCATACCTCTAGTGCACAAGGGATAGGGAGTTGCCTAGTTGCCTGCATCAGGAAGCGTGTAAGTGCATGCTTGGCAGGCATGCGCCAGCTAGAGCGTGCTCGCAGGCATGCTCCAGGTAGAGCGAACCCGACCGCTCCGGCCGCGGTTTTCTGGTCATAGCGACCAAACCGTTCAATTTAGAGGGGTATAGTAAGCGAGCCGATTGTTTCTTGCACAGAGACCTACAATCGGCTCGCTTACTATACCCCTCTCAGTTAAACGGTTTAGACGCTGTGACCAGAAAAGCGCGGCCAGAGCCCGCCGGAGCGGTCGGGTTCGTTTGGCTCACATGGTACAATGTATGCCTTTGGATTTGTAGAGTACCATTGACAAGTGTTGTTACCAACTGGAAACAGCATTTCAAAAACTGTGACAAATTTGTGGCCAGTCCGAACAAAATAGGCATTGTACAGCTGGCTACAATTTTGTCACCCGTTTTGGGAAAGCACAAAATTGTTTCCAGTTGGCATAAAAAAACATCCACGGTCGTTCGTTTCGTATTCATGAATAGTCGCGGTGCTCTCGACTTTATGCACTAGTGTCTGTTGTTTTTATCGTTGCGATTCTGTAATGTAACATAGATGACTAAATAAGTTATTTATTTTTTATTGTTTCCTGTTGCAGAAAAATGGCACTTTACAAGGAGCGGCTAAATGCGTTAGTTGTGAAACTTCATGAAATCAATGTTCTGAAGTTTGGTGACTACAAAATGAAAAGCGGAATGCATTCACCAGTTTATTTTGACCTACGCATCATTGTCTCCTATCCTAAAGTTTTGGTGCGTATTCTTATTTTGTCATTCGAATTATTTGTTTAAATTTTGCACATTGTTAATTTTTTAAAATTAAATTTTCCAGGCAGAAGTCTCGAACCTGATTTGTGAGTTCGCGAAGAACTCGTTGGGAAACTGCGACCATGTTTGCGGTGTGCCGTATGCAGCATTGTCCATAGCTACTCTGGTTGCTGTCGGCGCGGACAAGTCCATGTTAATTCGACGCAAGGAGGCCAAGGACTACGGAACGAAACGAATGGTGGAAGGCTGTTACAATCCTGGAGATTCCTGCGTCATTGTCGAGGACGTCGTCACGAGTGGGCTGAGCATCGTGGAGACTGTCGGGGTAAGTTATCATTTGAGCCTACTATCATTTTCTTCCAGCACAATTAATTGTTTGTTTTTAACTAGCAATTAATCCGCTTTTTATTTTAAAAACAGGATTTAGAACGCGAAGGCTTGAAGGTAACTGAGTCTATTGTTGTTGTTGATCGCGAGCAAGGGGGAACAGAGCGCTTGGCCTCCCAGGGTCTAAAGATGCGTAGTCTGGTGACTCTTACAGAGGTGAGATTCGTACTTTGAGGGTTTCGGTCTGAAGTATCTTGGAATTTTTTGTGATGTATAATCTAAATTTTCAGATAATGCATATATTGCACGAAGCTGGAAAGGTGGATAAGGCAACTGTGACCAAGGTGAAGACCTACCTAACTGAGAGCCGAGTTCCCATTCCGTCAGACAGAGTGCCAGGCTCTCTTGGTATGTTCTCTTCCTTCCTCGGTAAAATGGTGACTGCCTATGTGATTGCTTTGATGTTCTAATTTTTGTCTCTCCTCAGCTGTAAAGCAGACAACGGATGAAAGGCTGAAGATGACCTTTGACGCCAGAGCTGAGAAGTCTACGAACATGATGTCTGCGCGATTGTTGCGGCTGATGGCAACGAAACGAACTAATTTGTGCGTCGCTGGTGATTTACGCAGTTCTGCTGCAGTTCTGCGACTAGCAGACGCTGTTGGCCCTTATATTTGTGTTTTTAAAACGCACGTTGACGCACTCGATGACTTTTCTGGTCAATTTGGACCTCAGCTATGTGAGATCGCAAAGACTCACAACTTTTTGATTATGGAAGACAGGTAAATGCTGCATTTATGTTTCAATTTTCTTCTTTTCTTCATAAGTTCTTTTGAGCATAAGTTCTGATTATGTTACCGTGTCTTTGCTTTCAGGAAATTCGGGGATATTGGGAACACAGTCAGCTTGCAGTACGGTGCCGGCAATTTCAGTGTTGCTGCTTGGGCTGATTTGGTGACAGTGCACGCTCTGCCCGGTCCTGGCATCATCGATGGTCTTGTCAGCTGCCTGGAGACTCACCGCGCGCACCTGAAGGACCGTGCCTGTTTCATCGTTGCTGAGATGAGCTGCAAGGACGCTCTGACCACAGCGTCGTACCGATCAGGTAATTACCCCAATCCAATCTGTGTTTCGAATGCTTTTCGACAGAGCACGTCTTTGAGCTCAGGTTGATCATCTTGTAAAATACTCATTTGAACACATTTTTTGTAAAGATTTGGTGTTTGGGGTGCACATTTTTTGTTTGTTACTTAAAACGCTTCTTTGTGCTGGTAACATGTTCCTGGACAGCACAGAACAGTCACTCTTCTATTGTATTAAGAAGGGCTGAAGTTTCATCTTGCGCACAAAGCTTCTTCGACAAAAGTTGAGACAAGCCTTCATAAAATTTTGGAACGCTTCACATCATCCACCTCTTTGGTCCAACCTAACATGTAGACCGGCGACTTAAAACAGCCAGAGAAAAACATTAAACGCAAAGTCTGAACAAAAGTTCATTTTTATTGTTTTGCTTTTCAAACAAAGGTAAAAATTTGCCTTTTAGTTTTTTCTTAGGCTGTTTTAAGTTTCTGATCTATATTTTAAGTTTGGGCTATAGAGGCGTTTGAAGTTGAGCATTCCAAATTATTATGAGGTCTGGTCTCAATTTTTGTCGAAGCAACTTTAAGTACAGGATGAAATTTTAGCTTTACTTAATAAAATGGAAAGGGTACCGTTCCATGCCATCCAGGAGCATCCACCAACACAAAGTTGTATTTTTAGTGACGAAAAATGCGTGCGCATACCCAAAGCACCAGAGTATTTTAATAGATGTTCAACCTAAGTGTTTAACCTAGGTATAAGACCTCAGTGGCGTGATACAGCGTTATGCCGAGTATGCTGTTCAGGAGTCCCCGAAGTGCTCCCTGATTTTGTCTTAAAAGAATGCTTGGCTGACGGTATTGTTGCTTTTCGTTGCAGAGGCCATGAAATTAGCGGAGACTCGGGTAGATTTTGTGGCTGGAGTGGTGAGTCAATCGGCCTCTGGGATACCTTCCCCAGGATTGATCCAACTGACACCGGGTGTTCGCGCCGGAGTTAACGGAACGCCACAAAGTGACTCCGATGGCTTGGGTCAGCAGTACAATTCACCTCGCCATGTTGTTCTGGAAAGAGGTGCCGATGTCGCTGTCGTCGGACGAGGAGTGACGGAAGCCCCCGACAGTGCAGAGGCCGCCAAGTTCTACCGCGACTTACTTTGGGAAGCTTACTTAGAACGCGTAAGTGAATGAATGACAGGGCTCAATTGCACTCTCAGTCCCGTGTTGACTTTTTATCTCTTTGCCACAAAGTTTTTTGTGCAACCTTAATATGTACTATTTTCTCTTCAGCTATTATGCACTATTTTGTTCGTTGTGTGTTGTATTTAGTCCATTGAACCTGGCTGTTTGATCATTTGCAATGTACTTTTTAATTTCCACATAATCTATTGTCAATTTTATCTTTAAAACGATCAAAATTGTGCATAGCTAAAGAGAGAGTAGTACAGTAATTAAACGTTTGCTCAAAAAACGTTATAAGCAAGAGAGAGAAAAGTCCATATATGTTATGAGTAGAGACTCAGAAGGGCTTATGTTCTAAGTGTAACTTGAAGGTTCGCGCCATGTGGACCAGGTTGCCACGTCATGTAGACTGTCAACTGTTGTCCTTTGTCTCCTGCTTGTGTGTGTGGACTGGTGTATTCCCCCTTGCACTCATAGAAAGTGAAGTCGTGTCAGTATACCGAGTGGTCTTTCGTACTTATTTCACCTTGAACCAAACCATGATTAGAACAAGGTCTGAGAGTGTACGGAGGCAGTTTTTCCTGCGCACAATATAATTTGTGATGTTTATCTTCTAAATATTTGTGAATATTTTACGTGAGTATCCAGTTCCTTCATGCAAATTACTGTCACAGTTGTGTACGTATTAGTCTTTAAATATCTTAAGAATATATTTGTTTTGTAAACCTCCTTTGTCATTAAAGAAATCCCGTACTAAATTTCGTTTTATCAATGTGACCTCGACCTCCATCCCTCTGAATAAAAAACGGCACGAGTTTTATTCGATTAAGTAGGCCATAAACGTCAAAAGGGAAAAAAGACCTCTTGTGTGATTTCTTTGAAACCAAGTAATTGCATGTTTTTCGTTCTTAAGGGGGCAGTAGCGTCATTTGCACGTGTTTTGACGATTTTCGAACCTCCTGTTTAGACGTTAATATAAAGATAAGTATGAATGCCAGAGACAAACGGCAGGCACCATTTGAAAGATAAAAGTTTTTACAACATTTTCAAAAAAAAATATTTTGTTTTAGCATTGAATTAGGATGTTTTGTGTTCTATGCAAAAATGGTCTGCAAAATTACATGGTGTCACTGCGCGCACGATTGCAGCCAAAGTTTTTAACTTTTTACCAATCGGTAAAATGCATCTGAAAAAGCATGAAATTGCCCATAAAATGACCCTTGGGTTTCAATATTGGGCAAGAAAAACTATTGAAACGCTCATCTTCAACTTAAGATGGAAACGAACCACATTTTTTCTGGCCCAATATTAAAACCCAAGGGTCATTTTATGGGCAATTTCATGCTTTTTCAGATGCATTTTACCGATTGGTAAAAAGTTAAAAACTTTGGCTGCAATCGTGCGCGCAGTGAAACCATGTAATTTTGCAGACCATTTTTGCATATAACACAAAACATCCTAATTCAATGCTAAAACAAAATATTTTTTTTTGAAAATGTTGTAAAAACTTTTATCTTTCAAATGGTGCCTGCCGTTTGCCTCTGGCATTTATACTTATCTTTATATTAACGTCTAAACAGGAGGTTCGAAAATCGACAAAACACGTGCAAAAGACGCTACTGCCCCCTTAACACGGCTTGAGTGCATAAATATACCATTAAGCCCAAGAATGTAGTCATCCGCTTGTCAGGCAGCAGATCAGTTGCAAATCTAAGTTTTCTCAATAGTTGAACTAGCGGAACCGGCTCGGTCAGCAAAATTGAAGATATACGACTGTTTGCGTCAAAATGAACTTTAAAGAGGAGCCTAATGGAATGTACTGCCACCACTAACAGCGATCGATTCGTAGTACCAACGTTTTCGCAAAACACGTACTCTGCAAACTCTACAATGTGCTCAGTACATACACTCTGTTCGGCGTGTACTCATAAGCACACTCCTACGAGATTGTGCTCAGCTAAGTGCACTCTATCGAGAGTGTGCTTAGCTGAGTACACTGCAACGAGAGTGTGCTTAGCTGAGTACACTGCAGCCAGAGTGTGCTTAGGTCGGCACAATATATGCAGCTGAGTACACGTTCGTGGGACAATGTTTGCAGGATACTAACCAAAAAAGTCATCCTGCTGCAAAAATCCCCATTGGTACAGCTGGGTCTCCCACGCGGGCATGGCCTGTGCCTGAGCCCAAGGGGGCAGGACATGCCACCACGGGGGCCACAATGGGCACTGAACTCCGGCGGATAGACAACAGGCCCTTACGCTCTGACAAGTTCGTGAATCCGACCAATGAGGAGCCGCGTCCGGCCGCGTCGAGCGTACAAGCGGAAGGACCAGTAAATGGTCCATAATTGTGCCGTAGCGTAAGACCATCCGCGTAGAGAAAGGAAAACTCAGTTAAAACCCGACTTTGTGACGCACTTAACTTTATTTCCATAAAATGTTAAAACAACGTTCTTTTTTTAAAACAAAATGTTGTCGAATATCTAAAACGGACTCTGTATTTTTATAGTTGATGAAGACACTGAAATGAAATTCTAATAAACTAGAAGAACACCGCACCTGTCGGGTAGTCAAAGAGGTTGAATTGATTTCAACACAAACAAATACAAACGTCTCCTCAATGAAAATGATTACAAAATAAGTTAAAAACGACAATTCATCAGATCTGCACTGAGATCACACAGGCCCCGGACTGTGACCTGAAGTTACATCTACCAAAACAATTACCAATAGAATTAACACAAACAGCAGGAATAGTAAAATTTTCTTGATTAATGAATAAAATTTTCTCAACGAAGTAAATAGAATTTCCTGACAAAGTAAATTTAATTTTCCTTCCATGTAAAAGTACATGAACACAGAATTTGTAATGATAATAAACTGCGTTTAACTAATTCATGAGGTCTGCGCTGTTTGGGGAGCAATAGAGTTTTTAAAACAGCTGGAATTAATATTATTTTCTTGACTTTGAAAATTCAGTTAATTTTCTTGATTTACTGCATAAGGCTAACTTTTTAATTAAGCCTGTGAAGATCAAATATTCTTAAACTACATAAAGAAAGCATAAGGTATGAGAGAACAACCGGCTACGTTATTCGCTACTGGTGTCGATGTAAATTTCGAAGGCAGGCAAGTCCGGGAATAGTTTGTCGACCACGTGACTCACATCGCAGCCAGTACCCCTGTGGCTGCGCAGCAGGCAGGGCAGTCCGTCTGGCATGTCTGCATGGCAGGAGTTGGACTTGCAGAAGCCGCAGTCCCCTTCCCTGCAGGTGCTCTTGTCGACGGTCTGGATGAAGACGTGCAGGCGCGGGTACCTCTTCATGACTCGCCGCATCCGCTCCTCCTCGACGTGGAGCCAGGAGTGGTGGCAGGCGCAGTCGCGTGGCATGCGGATGTCCAGCCGCTCCAGTTTGGGCACCACCTGCACAGTGGGCCAGAAAACCAGAGGAGGCGGTCAAAATCCAAGGGAAAATAACTCCAGCCAGATTTGTATACCGAAATGCATCAAACTAATTCACTGAAATTCGTTAATATTCATCGAAATTCATCGAATTTTGACTAAAATTCATCGAAGTTCAACTGAAATTCATTGGATTTGTACACCAAAATTCTCAGTGATTTCCCCGGATTTCCCCTTGTCAAAATCCCAGACGCCTTTAGAGCTCCAGAGCAACCCCAGGCGACTCAATGCTTTGCCTCTGTTCCTTAAATTTCTGTGACGTCAGACGCGGCTTCCGATACAGGAAACATACCACGAGAAATTTCCCTCAGCAGAAAACCAAATTTCCCGCACTCCCGATCAGAAGGTAAATAAACATTGGGGGACACTTTATATCCAAATTCTATCACCCCACTTTCCGCCCGGGATCGAACCCGGGACCTCCGCTTCGGGAGGCAAGCTCTCTACCACTTCGCCACGGTGGCTGCTGGGTACCCAGCAGAGTTCACCTGTCTCTTGGAGTCGTTTTCCTGCAGTTGATACCAACCTTCCCGGCTCGGCGCATCAAAATACGGGACGAAATTAAAAAAGTTGTGTTTCTATGAAGACACTAAATCCGGCATGACCTGCAAGTGACTTGTTCTTTTGAATGGTTAAAATTGTTTGCGAGCTCAAAAACACGATTTAATGCTTAATCTGGACGTCCCAAAGAGGTAGCTATGCGCCTTCTGTGAAGGTGGCAGTACGGGAAGCCGCACCGCTCTAGGGTCCGGGTGCTGCCATTGGAGTCGCCTGGGGTTGCTCCAGAGTCGCTTAAAAAGGACTCGGACCGAACGTGTGACCCCACCAATGGATTGCTCTCCGAACGAGGAATCCATTGGTGGGGTCACACGCTCGGTTCGAGCCCTGATTAGCGACTCTGGAGCTCAAAACGTGTCTAGAGTTTTGGCCGCCTCCACCGTCCTTCCGGCCCACTGACCTGTCCGTCCAGCGCGTCCAGGAAGGCGTCCGAGGCCTCGCTGTCGATGTCCAGCCTGGTGAGAAGCGGCAGCCTCGGCAGGATGGCGGCCAGAGGCACCAGCTGCGGCGGAGGGCTCTCGGACTCGTCCTCGTCGAAGGACTCACTGTCACGGATCTCCGGGCCCCACCGCATGATCATGAACCTGAGGCTACGCAGCGCTGTTACGCCGGACCGCCTGCCGATGCTGAGCAGCAGGTCCACGACGTCCGGGGACGAGTACGGCGCGTAGGTGATCTTGAGGTGCTCTAGGCGCGCGGCCGCCGAGCGCAGCAAGAGCCGCGCCCCCGGCAGGCCAGCCTCCACCGCCTCCGCGTCGTCGAAGACAGTGAGGTTGAGCTTCAGGTACGTCAAGGACCGGCACTGCCGAAGCAACTGCATGTCCGTCAGCATGGGGCAGGACAGCTTGCGCAGGCGCGGCATGGCGGCGAGCAGGGACGTCGTTCGCGGCCCGTCGAAGGAGAGGCTCACGTCCTGCAACGAGGAACGGGTACATTCAAACAACTGCCCCACAGTGGGCCAGAAGACCGGTGGGGGCGGCCAATATTCCCACACGCGTTTCAAGCTCCTGAGCCACTAAGCAGGACTCGAACCGATCGTGTGACCCCACCAATGGATCCCTCGTTTCGAGAGCATTCCACTGAAGGGGTCACACGTTCGGTTCGAGTCCTATTCAGCGACTTAGGATTTTGAAACGCGTCCGGGATTTTGACCGCCTCGACGGGTCTTCTGGCCCACTGTATGCATGGGAAATTCTGCAGGAGCGTGCACAACGCGTTCACACTGTGAAAATTTGGGTTGTCACTTAAAGACCAATCCGAGGCTAATTTTCCTTGCAAACGTCATGAAGACATTTGATACCATCGTTTGGACGCTCTTGCAGTAAATTGCTGAAGCTTCGATGACAAAGTTTGCAAGTGCAGAAAATGTCATACACACAATTTTGTCATGAAGTGGCAGCAAATTTTTACAGTGTAACAGACCGTTCACACTTAATGACTATGTATGGTTTTATGGAGCATAGCTGTACACAAAATTGAGCATACGCGGAGAGAAACGAATTGGAGCGCACCACCGAACACAGAGCAACATAAAATTTCACAGTTTCATAAACAGGCATGAAATGGTGTATCCCAAGACGTATTCTCAATCATGTGCCAAGCTATGCACAAAAACAGTAATTACTTAAGGTGTTGAATGACATATCTCTCATAGATAAATGTGTGAAATTTAGCCCCGCTTTCCTAGAAAAATAAGTAAAGGGGATCAGTCAGGAAAGACAGACAGCTTACCTCAAGGGTCTCCGCGTGCCAGTTCAACAGCAGGCCCAGGTAAGGCTCCAAGAGGTCCCGGCACTTGAGTCGCTTGAGGGACGCCGGCACCGGAACCTTCCCTGCGAGGACGTCCAGAACACCCTCATCGTCCACGTACAATTTCAAGTCCACTGATTGCAGTCCTGCACAACAGAAAAAAAACACTGTCAAATATTATTTCGTGACCTTTTTCTGAAACATAGCACACAAACAGCTTGAATCCGTACAAAGCATCAGTCTGGCCTAATATATTGGCAAAGTCGAGTAAACAATTCAATCTTAAGAGCAGATGAACTTACAAGGTTGCCACAATTATGAAATTTTCATTTTCCCTCACTTTTCCCTGACTTCCAGACCCTTATTTTTCGTTTTCCCTTGACTTTATCGGGTGCCCTTTCCAGCAGTCGGGATCATAAATTGCAGTTGCCTACCCCCCCCCCCCAAAAAAAAAAAAAAAAAAAAAAAAAACGCGCCTGTATAAAACAACTACTACTCACCGGGAGTCTGGCAAATCTGCAGGAGCAATGCACGAGGCCCCCGGTCCAAGCGCCTGGGAAGGAGATCGCGCCATAAGGTGCCATTACGCCTCAGGCGCAACGTCACTCTCTTCAGCCGTCCAAGCGCGGCCTGCCTGCAACACGTGACGACATAAAAACGTGGCAGCGAAGGTGACGTCATAAACGTTTTAATGTGAATTTTGTCACGTTCGTTTCCATATTGCGCCACATTCGTTGCGACCGTGACATTATCGTCTGGTTAGAGTTTCGCATGCGTCTGAACGTGGATGACCATTGCAAGCAATGTGACAGGTTCAAACGGAAGTAACAAAATACACATTCTAGCGAATACTACGTCACGTTCGTTAAACAGCAATGTTGCGGAGCGCAAACGAGTCGTCGGGTCGCTTCAGAGAGTGACGTTCGTACTGCAACAACCAGTCCGTATGTTGCAATAAAAATTTTGTGGCAAAATTTAGCAATGAGAGTACTACAACAACTTTGCAAAAACTATAACCTAAGAAAGATGTGATTAAAAAGGAAACAAAACTCTAGACGATTTTTCAGCTCCCGAGTCGCAAAACAGGACATGAACCGAACCGATGGATCCCTCGTTCGGAGAGCAATCCATTGGTGGGGCCACACGTTTGGTTCTAGTCCTACAATTAGTGACTCTGGAGCTCAAAACGCGTCTGAAATTTTGGCCACCTCCACGGGTCTTCTGGCCCACTGCGTTGTGTACCTTGCAAGTATCAGCGCAACAAGCATGGCGTCCTTCCTATCGAACAAGAGCGTGATGTCGGCAATGGCCGTCGGAGTGGCTAGAAGAATGTCCCAAACATCGCCGTGGCAAGTAAGGTCCATCAGAAGACACCGTAATCGTGGGACGAGACGGAGAGCGATGGCGATGTAGTCGGAACTGCAAATTTCAAACATAATTAGTTGAGGGAAGTTGTTTCTTAAACAGCATATTTAGCATGGGCACATATAGCCTAAACTATGGATTCAAATAGTTTTCAAGCCATGGGAGTTCTGAGGTACATGACTGAAGGAACCATTCCTCTCCTTCTACGTAACAATTATTTTGTTACCATGTAGCTTTAAGTAGCTGACATGGTCAGGGATCCCCAACTTACCTCGAAAGGGCTTAATAACGTTATCGTACACTGCAAACCTAACTGTCTACTTAGCACGCAAGTAAAATGCATGCTTGCAAGTACACACTTACAAACGCATGAACAGTCACAGTCACGCCGAAAAGCAGCAAAATCACGAGCGAACAGAAGTTCTCTGAAGCCTGTGAGTTCATGAGGAGAATGTGTACAATCTCAGCCTGATAGAATTTCGTTCTTAAATGATTAAAAATTTCTTTATAATACACTTGGAAAAAGATAATTTCAGTACAGTGACTGGCAATTGGTAACTAATACTGACAAAAAATACGAAGTGTTATGGTCGCTTACAGAAATGCGTCCGCTTATGAGAAATAGTCAGGAAAAGGCTGAAAGAGTGGACTTACCTCGCGAAGAAGTAGATGGACTTGTTCTGCCAGATCATTGGATGCAGCGCCAGGTCCCTCCACCGGCGGCAAACGCCGCGACTCTCCAGCAGATCATCCTCATCCAGATGACTCATCACTTGGAGAAGCACGTGGTCTGGTAGGCAGTTGAGCTCCATCTGCAACTCGCTCAGATAGACGTCATTTACACGCCAAAGGAAACACAGAAAAAAGGTCTGCACTTTAAAACCCTTGCGAAGTATTCTCCGGCATAGCATTGCAGACTCACTTTAGATACTACTATTCTCTCTGATATGCGAAATTTAACTTTCCGAACTTGTAAAGAAAATGCTTTACAACGTACAAAACCCGACAAAACCACTTTATCTTTTTATCAGCTTTTTCTTCGAAACTTACTATTTAAGTGACACGAAGAAAACAGTACGCAAGGGTGTGTCTGTAATAAACAGCCAGAGGATACATCTTACTTCGAAGAATTTTTCTTTGCAAGCGTTCTAGAGTAGCGTTACGTGTCTGTGCATGTGCATATTTACTTCAAAAAATCCGTAAGAATTTCGTGTGAAGACCCCCAAACTCTCCTCCCACAGCGTAACGCTATGAAAATGTATCAACCTTTATCGATGTTGAAACGTCGTAGCGTCTGTACTTCTGAGAAGTGCTCTCATGATGATAATGTTCGCCTTGCGTAACGTTACGCTGGCTCCGGCCCCCCGCCCCTATGAGTGTATATATTATCGCTTTAGCGATTTAATTTACTTGAAGCATGATCCAGCGAGGCAGTCAACTGAACACTCACCTCGGACTTAGCGGGAGCGACGGTAGGGGGATGAGCTTCAGCCTTCTTTACCGAAGAGCAATAGGGTACTTTCGTAGATCCCTGAACCGGAAGCACACAGACGCCATGTTGGCGGAAGTAGATCCAAACATGACATGGGAAAGAGACGTTCGTCAAAGGTATCGGCCACACTTGAATATAAACAGTCGTTTGATACTTGTTTGCAGTGCATATGTGTTTCGCGAGCAATATTTGTACAGCTCTGCTATAGTTTTGGATCCGAAGAGAGGTTAGTTTCCGGCCAATTTGGCGTCTGCAGGTCTGCTTGCTTCCGGTTCAGTATTCTACGAAAGTACCCTATGCTCACACCATGCAAATCGGTTGCTTCAAGATGGGATGGCATGAAGACAAAACTGTCGGGATCCAGCTGGCACGTTACTTCCTGAAATAGAAAGCGGAAGTGTATCAGTTACGTCACAATAGGGTACTTTCGTAGATCCCTGAACCGGAAGCACACAGACGCCATGTTGGCGGAAGTAGATCCAAACATGACATGGGAAAGAGACGTTCGTCAAAGGTATCGGCCACACTTGAATATAAACAGTCGTTTGATACTTGTTTGCAGTGCATATGTGTTTCGCGAGCAATATTTGTACAGCTCTGCTATAGTTTTGGATCCGAAGAGAGGTTAGTTTCCGGCCAATTTGGCGTCTGCAGGTCTGCTTGCTTCCGGTTCAGTATTATACGAAAGTACCCTATTTGCGTAACGGGTTGGAGCGGGGGCGGGGCAGTGCCAGCGTAACGTTATGCCAATTTTTCATAGTTTCTCATGCACATTTCAGAGGAAGGAAGAGCGAACAAAGGTAAAATCCGCGTTCAGAGAATAAATCTCGCGGAACGTTGCGCTGGACCTGCGCTGAACGAGGGGTTGGGGTCCAAAGCTAGCGTAACCCCGTGGTGCGAAGGGGGACAGGGGGAGGGGGCAATCAAGAAAAAGAACCGGCCTTAACTGTGTGACGTCATCAGTGGTCAGCCCTACAGTGTCGTGCGCCCCCCTTTCCCCTTCGGGCAGTAGGCAGAGGACATAAGGGAGGCCAATAAATTTTGCCACGGAAGAAGAATTCTCACGAATTCTGAGGTAAGATTTTTAAAGTAAGATAGACCTTCTTTCTAAGCCTGCCGACGAGCCAGCGCATTTGTTAAGTTTGGAGAATATGTGACATTTTGGCCACGGCGTTCCATTTCTATCAACATTCTTCATGGAACACCGTGGCCATAATGTAAAATATTGCCCGCACTGTATTCTATCAACATTCTTCATGGAACACCGTGGCCATAATGTAAAATATTGCCCGCACTGCAAATATCTTACGGTGACAGGCTGCACCAACATTTTATGGTGGAGATTTTCTCCATATTACCAACGAAATTCATCAAAATATGTTACGAAGTCAGCTGCAGCACCATAATATGGAACATTTTCGCCATAATATGGAGAATCTTCACTGTACAACATTTAGAGTGCGCTCAAACGCGCTGGCTCGTCAGCAGTATACGTAAACAAAGTTGGGAAAAAAGGTCTATGCTAGATCTAAACTATTATTATCTGAAGTTTCTTATTATAACGTAGTCTATACGGCACTCTAACACTACCTCTCACATTTCGCTCGTCTACTATTTTAAAGCCAATAACATTTTCAAGGCTTCACTCACTAGTATGTAAAAATGTATCTTGGTTAAATACGTTGATGCGTTTCTGACATGTGGAAGTTTCAAGGTGTGCTGAACTGGCGTGAAATTGTTAACGGGAAATAACCACTCTTACATCGTGGACGTTGGTTTTAATGGAAGAGGCAGTACATAGACGATAAATTAGACAATACGAAGTAGACAACTTAAAAGAATCAAGTCAAATGATACAAGTTAAATTAGGAATGATGAGTAGGACAAGTGCAGATCTCGTCACTTCCGGCAGACGCAGACGGCGTTCTGGCAGCGGCCGCCCTTGAAGCCCTTGAACATGGCGATGCAGTGTGCCGCGCAGGCGGAGTGGTTCGGCGTCACCCACTTGGACGAGAAGCTCAGCAGGTCGCAGGTGGCGCGGGCGTGGCGGTCGGCACGGCCTGCAAGGGACGGTGAAATAAGTTAAGCAATTGAAGGAAGTTAAGATCAGTTGATTGTTTTCGCCAGATTTTTAAAACCACGAGTATCACCTTTCGGCAACTTATTCGTCTGAGAGTCATGGTCAGTCACCGAGAAAGGGATCAAATGAAGATCAATCGTTTTTCCGTCCAATGCCCAATTTTGGTCGATCACCACTGGGGAGGATTATTTAACGGCCCAAATTCGGCTGGGGGGGGGGGCTTTCTTACCGAATTTTGAGTAGTAAAATATGTATTAGTCACCTTTTAAGCTAAAGAGTCATCACAAAAATTTGGATGAGGAAACTTTCCCCACTTTTTTTTTGTGTGTGTGTGTGGAAGGGGGGCGGGGGGGAATGATCCTCACCGAAGTTAGGCGGTAGGGTCAGTTGGGGTAATTATGGCACACGGGGTAAAAATGGGACAGCTGATTTTTAGTTAAGAATCGAGATTTTAGAACTTTTGCCGTAGCAAATGTTATTTTTTCAATAAAAACATCACATTTGGTATGTCATGCGTTCAAAAATGTGAAATCTTGACCAAGATTCAGCTGTCCCATTTTTACCCCGTGTCCCATAATTACCCCAACTGACCCTAAGGAGTACCTCACCCAAAATTTTAGTCTTTATTGTGACTCTTCATGCTCAGCGTTCAAGGCCATTCACGCTCAAAACATTACAAAGTGTTTTGAGCATACATGAAACAATCTAATTTGCTTTGTTATACGAAGAAACAGCTCTTCAATTACGAAGTATTGTCTTTGTAAGCTTACGTATGCTCAAAATACTTTGTCATACGAACTGCTTTTCTTTGTAAGCCCTAAAATAGCTTGTAAGGTTTTCTCAGTGTTGTTCCGTACCTTCCGCGTAGGGCTCGGGCACCAGCTGGGCCTCGTCGTCCGCCACTGGATCGGCGTTGTCCTGCATCGGCGCGACGGGGCTGGCCTGGACGGAGGGCGTCAGGCTGGCCACCACGACGGCCACGGCGAACACGGCGAGGCTGCAGCAGGGACGCAGGGACTCGTAAGTGGCGGAAAATTCGTCTTCGGCAATTCAATTTTACTGCTTCTATTTGCGCGACACATCTGGAGTCTTAAGACCATTTCCAGTGACGGGTCGCCAGGGATCAATTGAAAAGGTGAATTCTTAAACATGTGCATTTAGATCCGATTGTTGTCTGGAAAAGACGACGGCGTCTACCCACACCGCCTGCAGAAGAGCAGTACCGCTCAACGTGCGCGGCGGCGCGATGGGTTGCCGAGCGGCACGGCGCACCCACCAAGGCCACGGGCTTGGGCATTGACACTGCGTGGTTCGTTGCGCACCCCAGCAAGATTTACACACATCCTCAAGCGGCACACAGTGGGCTACACTGTGCGAAAAAAACACAGTAAATCCCGTTAATTTTTTTGCCGGGATTTACTGTAGTTCAGGACACAGTATTTACTGTGCCTGGTTACAGCCATTACTGTACCTGGTACAGGATATTCCGTACTCCACTCCAGTGGTAACAGTAAATCCCGTACAAAGTACAGTAGATCCTGTAAAAAAAGTACAGTAAATCCTGTACTCTGAACTACAGTGACAGCTGTACTAATCGCTACAGGATTTACTGTGATTTTTTCCCACAGTGTAGACGACCGGCGGAGGCGGCCAAAATTCTAGACGCGTGTTGAGGTCCAGAGTCATTTAACGGGACTCGAACCGGACGTGTGGCCCCGCCAATGGATGAATTCCTCTCCGAAAGAGGAATCCATTGGTGGGGTCACGCGCTCGGGTCGAGTCGCCTTAAGTGACTCTAACTCTAAACGCGTCTAGAGTTTTGGCCGCCTCCGCCGGTCTTCTGGCCCACTGTGGTGGAGAAACAAGCTCTAGTTAGGTCAGTACTCACACGGCGAAGCTCTTCATGGTGCTGACGGTGAGTGCTGCTGCGACGCTGAATGCCGCCCGATCGGACCATGCCAACTTATAGGGTCTCGGCTGATCGCCCCTCCCCTTCTCGTTGTTCTCGGAAGCACGGCGTCGGTCGCGCGGACGGCGAGAGGGAGTTCCCCGTCTCCGCACAGTGGGCCAGAAGACCGGTGGAGGCGGCCAAAACTCCAGACGCGTTTTGAGCTCCAGAGTGCGACTAATCAGGTCTCCAACCAAACGTGTGACCCCCCACCAATGGATTCCTCGTTTGAAGAGCAATCCATTGGTGGGGTCGGCCACACGGTCGGTTTGAGGCCTATTTAGCAACTGTGGAGCTCAAAACGCGTCTGGAGTTTTGGCCGCCTCCACCGGTCTTCTGGCCGCTTCTGGCCCACTGTGCTGCATCCAGCGGACCGCACGTGCTGGCGTGGCGTCGAAGCACGGGGTGCATTTAAACTATGTGGCTCTACACACTTAAATGTTTCAGTACAAATTTTTGTACGAGACATCACAGTTTTTTGTGCACGAAATTTTCGTACAACTTTGTAAGCGACTTTGCACCAAAAAAGGGAAATATGTGCAGTTTTTCGTACGCAATGTGTACGAAAAGTTCGAGTGCACCAAAAACTGTGATGTCTCGTCCAAATTGTACATAACATCTAGTGTTTACACTTAAAGTGGAAATCAGAATAGACCTTTCCAGGCGAAGCTCTTGGGGCAATAACCCGAATCTTTGCACCGCCACATATTAAGATCCAGCTTATTTGCAGCCTACCAGGGGCGTCGGAAGCACTTTTCGGTGCTTCCATTATTTGAGTTCCATTGCAGCTCAGCTTAATGTGGTTGAGGTCTGAAGTCTTCAAAAAGTTTAATAAAGTCATGTTAATTTTTTTATTTAATTACAGTTGTCATTTCATTTCCCTTCTCAAAGTATACAACTTTTACCATCCTTCAGTACACTTGCGAATCACACCCACTTAGCCAATGTATTTGATAAGTGCTGGTTCTGAAGAATATTCATAGACTTGCCCACAAACTGGACTCAAGTGGAACCTACTCTTGCTCGGGATCCAGTACACAACAAATTCAGAGTAACTAGACAGAGATATACAAGAAAATTGAAATCTAGAGAAAGTAGAGATGATTTTTTTTGTCCGCCATGAATCCTCAGCCTCTCCTAACATATTTTCTATTTTTTGCAAAACTACCTTTTCATCCATTTTCTGTTCTATTTAGCCCTCAGTTCGTACCCTTTTCTCCTCCCGCCAGTCCTCCATCCCCCTCTCTTTCTGTCTCGCGTGTTAACGTCCTAGTGGTTTGGTGTTTCCAGTCAGACGCTTGCGTCAAAGCGCTTCAAGATTTGAGTTCAAGTGCTTCGGAATCGCAGCTCTTTATTGCGAATGCACCGTGCGAGAAAGGCGGAGTTTTGCGCCACCCTGTCTGCCCACAACTTTCTTCGCCCTTTTCGAGCTCGCCGGTGTGTACAGTCGTGGTACAGTGCTTCATGGCGCCGTGACTGAAATAGACATCAGTGATAACAACATCGTAATAGTTGCTGATTTAGCTGGGACTTCCCTGTGGGGATGCAAGCTCCCAAGGAGAACACTAAGTCAACGTGATGTCGCCATGAGCTCAAAATGAGAGGAAAAGGTCACGGCTAGGTACCATTTAGAGGTCATAATGATTTTGATCTAGGTCAAAATGACCTCAGCGTGACTTAGTGTTCTCCTTGGGAGGGAGTCATTTGGATGTGAGTTTTCTGATATTTAGGCATGAAGTAGCCTTGTTGCCACCCCAGGATTTATATATATTTTTTTTTTTGGGGGGGGGGCATAAAGTAACCTTAGTTTGTTTCACCGCGATTGGGGTTCATGCCTTGACAACGTGTTCACACTATATTCACACTATATTCACACTATTCACACTATATTCACACTATTCGAACTATATTCACATTATATTCACACTATTCACACTATATTCACACTATTCACACTATATTCACACTATTCACACTTTTTCCTGCAGTGTGGAGTGCAATGGACCCTTCTCGCGAGCAGGCCTGGCGCGATGGGTGGCGGAGACGGGGAACTCCGAGGGGAAGTCCCTCCCGCGGTCCACCGACGCTGCGACCCACGCGTGCTTCTGAGAACAGCGAGGAGGGGAGGGGGCGGCCGTGCACCGAGACCCTATAAATCGGAATGGTCCCATCGGGCGGCATTCAGCGTCGCAGCAGCACTCGCAGTCGACACCATGAAGAGCTTCGCCGTGTGAGTACTGCCCTACTAGGGCTTGCTTCTCCACCACAGTAGGCCAGAAGACCGGTGGAGGCGGTCAAAACTCTAAACGCGTTTTCAGCTCCAGAGTCGCTAAATGGGACTCGAACCGAACGTGTGACCCCACCAATGGATTGCTCTCCGAACGAGGAATCCATTGGTGGGGTCACATGTTCGGTTCGAGTCCCGTTTAGCGACTCTGGAGCTCAAAACGCGTCCGCGATTTGGACCGCCTCCGGCCCACTGTGCGGCGTTGCCTGGTGCGCCGTGCGGCTAGGCAACCCTTCCGGCCGCCGCGTGCGTTGGGAGGCACTAGTCTGCTTCGGGCGCTGTGCTGGCGTCTGCTTCTCCACTCGTAAAACTGAAGTGTATTGTACGCTTCAAGCGTTCTGAAGTCAAGCGTGGAGAAGATACTCGTATTTAGATCGGCGGCAGAGGGGAGAATCCGCCGGCGAATCGGAGAACTACGCACGAAGAAATGCATGAAACTAGGACTGGGTTGGTTCTACCAGTGTCACTTACGAGTCCCTCCGTCCCTGCTGCAGCCTTGCCGTGTTCGCCGTGGCCGTCGTGGTGGCCAGCCTGACGCCCTCCGTCCAGGCCAGCCCCGTCGCGCCGATGCAGGACAACGCCGACCCAGTGGCGGACGACGAGGCCCAGCTGGTGCCCGAGCCCTACGCAGAAGGTACGCCGAGAAAACCACCTCACGAAGGCGCCCTTGGAAACAGCACCTTAACCCGCCCCAAGGAGAACAGAATTGTCACGAAAAGCTCATCGTGAGCTGATTTCGGGTCACATGTGACCTCATATGTGCTCAAATCGTGACGAAAATCCATCACCTGCAGCTCACGGTGACCTTTTCGTGACGATTCCGTTCTCCTGGGGGCACTGCTTTTCAATACGAATAGTTACTTTTGTGAATTTTATCGCATTCGTTTAAACGTGGAGTGAGTTCAAAAGGTGTTCAAAAGTCCGTTCTTGAACATTGGACGAGGGGTCAACCACTCTGGTAATCGTGTGTGCACTTCGTCCAGTAATGGTTGATAATCACACGCCAAAACTGGCTGTTTTCGCTGTTTTTTTTTATCGGATTTTGGTGGTTATTCTTATGGAAATAGGTAAAAAATGCTCTTAGCTGGCCAAAACTATAGTTTTTTTTTTCAGTATTTTTGTAGGTAATTACTGGTTATCAGTAATCCTGTGTACACTCCTGAGCTGAGTGGTGGACCCCTCGACCGTGAACCCGTTCTAGACGCGTTTTGAGCTCCAGAGTTGCTAAATGGGACTCAAACCGGCCGTGTGACCCCACCAATGGACTCCTCGTTCGGAGAGCAATCCATTGGTGGGGTCACACGTTCCGTTCGAGTCCCATTTAGCGACTCTGGAGCTCAAAACGCGTCCGGGGTTTCGGCCGCTTACGCCGGTCTTCTGGCCCACTGTGCACTCACTGCATCGTCCCTTGCAGACCGTGCCGACCGCCACGCCCGCGCCACCTGCGACCTGCTGAGCTTCTCGTCCAAGTGGGTGACGCCGAACCACTCCGCCTGCGCGGCACACTGCCTCGCCATGAGGAAGGGCTTCAAGGGCGGCCGCTGCGAGAACGCAGTCTGCGTCTGCCGGAAGTGACGGGACCCGCCCCCGGCCCATTCATTTTATTTATTCCATGTTTCTGCTGTGACCTTTTAATTTAAAAATATACTTTTGATCAAGTCTGATTTGCCCTCGTTCGATATACCCTTTGGTTCATCATGATCATGACTAAACTTTTGGGTGAGGAATTCTTTATTGCCCAAATTTGGGTCATAATACTGTGGAGCCGTATAGGTAGCTGATGCACTGCACCCCGCCTTGCCCAAATTTAGGTGGTAAAGTATACCTCGCCCAAAATAAGGTATTGATCAAGAGTTTTTCATTGTCAGTACATGGTATCGTTGCGGAGTTTCCGTGACAAACCTCTGGTTCAATATCCTTTGTTTCTCTGGTATAGGCCCTTCGCATGTTTTTTTTTTTTCAAGACAAATCTGTTTTGGTGTTCGGTATTCTTTTCCTCTCAACTTGTAGAGCATTTCAAAGTCGACATTTCACAGTTTCGGTAAGAGATCAGAAAGTCGCGGTTCCTTTCGTCAAGTTACCCGACTGGCAACTGCAGGATTTGCATAGTTTTACAAAACTCTTTACGCGTTTTGAGCTCCAGAGTAGCTGAATAGTACTCAAACCGGGCGTGTGACCCCACCAGGATTGCTCTCCGAACGAGGAATCCATTGGTGGGGTCATACACTCATAAGACCCATTCAGCGACCCTGGAGCTCAAAACGCGTCGAGGTTTTAGCCGCCTCGACCGGTCTTCTGGCCCACTGTGAACCGCGCCGGCCCGCTGGCCACCACTGTGCTGTCAGAGCGGGAAACACGACATGTGCGTCCGCGGCATTTTTCCTTTTCGCGGCTGTGACGACATACGGCGGGGAAGCCCGTCCCCGCCCACATTGGGAGGCGAGGAGAAAGGATTGGTCTCGGCGCGAGTTCGCATTAGACCGTGCAGAATTGTGGTTTTCGACACAATCGTGCGATTAATAAAAACAAAACTGGTCTGTTCCACTACAGATCATCAATTACTTATCTCTGAGCAGGGCCTGCACGTGCACCAGTATATTTTAGGCAGTGAAGCCATTTAGTTGGCTTTGAGTCTGTCTGTCAGTCAGTCTGTCTGTCTCTCTCTCTCTCTCTCTCTCTCTCTCTCTCTCTCTCTCTCTCTCTCTCTTGCATTTAGGGTTAGGTGTGTTGACGCAAAGGGAAAAAAATTGATGCTTGAACTTGCTTTTATCGTAGGCTATTTACGGAATTTTCATCAAAACTGCTTAAAATTTCGAAACTTTTATAACAAGGAGATCTTTATTTTTAAAATAAACATCAATCAATTAATGGACATTGTCTTAGTTGTAGTAGTTCCGATGGAGCGGTTTGCGAGGTCCTCCGAGGGGCCCTCCGTCTGACGAAACTGGATCAGAATCACGAGATAGCTGACAGCTGCAGCAGCAATCTTACCGAACAAAAAGAAACGCGTTCTGTTAGATGCTTTGCTGCAAAAAAAAAATTGATTAACAGTAATTGATCCAGGAAGCGGAAGAAGGGAATAACTTGACTTATCCCCAAATTGAGTTTTTATTTTATTATTGTGCCTTAGAATGGTTTACATCATTACACCAAATTATTTGACTGAATTCCAAGCAGTTTAGGAGAAAATCCACATGGAAAAAGGGTATAACTCAACTTAACTCCTTTTACAATCTAAATTTCATTGGAAAATGGAGATAACTCAACCTTAGTCTACATGAGTCCGTTTGACAAATTGGCAAAAGGATATAACTCAACTTGTGTTTTAATGAATCTAGTGTAAAAAGAATCAACTCAACTTAACCCCTCCTTAATTTTAAATTTCAATTTGGAAAAAAGAGCTAAGTCCAAAAAATACACCAGAGTAACATACACTTTATGCAGACTATTGTTCCACTTGACTTGTCTCCAAATTCCACTTTGTTTAGGAAATATAAGGTGAGCTGACTCTGTTTTCCATTTCAACGGAAAGTGATAAGTTGCAGAAATCCTCTACAGAGTGACCTTACACTTTTGATTTTTTCCCAAATTTTACTAATGCTTTTTGAAATTATTAACATCTGCAACATTCATTTGTTTTGTTTTAGTTTTCCCTGCTAACAGTTTTTTGTTTCTCCTGAAAAATGGCCAAAATTGAGTTATCCCCTTCTTCCGCTTCCTGGATCAATTGTCACAGTTCATACCGAGCTTACTGTTCCTCTATTAATGACCCAAAATCCAGCGACTGATACGGTTATCTCGTTCGAAGCCACGATTTCCCGGAAAATGTTTATCTGCGGAAATATCAATGGGTGGTTTCATGTTTGTATTTCATTTTTCTCATTGTATGAATGGAAGTGTCACTTCGCAGCTGGCTCGCACTTCTTCCATGGCCGCTTCTCCAATAAGAGCGCTTCCGCTAAATCCCTCCAAGGGCCTAAGGAAGTTTTCACCGACCTACAAGCAAATAAACAAAACACTAAGTGATTTGAGAAAACTTCTGTAAATATCACTGGTTGCTCTCTGTGTGTACTGGGTACACACTTAGGTTTTCAGTGTGAGCAAGTATGGCACATGTTGAAACAAACCGCAGCCGCTGCGCGATGCGTTGAATCACAGAGGAGGAGAAGAAGGCAGAAGAAGTGAGAGCCGAGGATCATCAACAGCATTCCCTGTCCCACCTTTCCGACGGCAAAATTTCAAATATTTCAAGCATTTCTGATACGGAGTCCAAATGCCGAATTCGTTGTGAACATGAATTATTGCTTAGTTCTCTGCTAGATATGACAATCGATCACAACAATTCCATGCCGACAAGTCTTCATACCGAGGGGTGAATCACTCAGCGTTCTGGTGTACACATGAGTACATGAGTACGGGTGAGTACACCTTGGTTAACTCATAAATTTCACAATTTGAAACGTTTTAAGGCTTTATTTAGCGTTTTTAACGGCACTCAACGTTAAATCGGTCGAAAAAACTTCGCCCTTTTTAAACTGGTGAGTACACTGAGTACGGGCAAATTTGTACACATGAGTACACTAGTGATTTACCCCTCGCTTCATACTGTGATTCCAAGTGGGGGAAAGGCAAGCACTAGATAACGTATGGGACGAAAACTGTCCCACATTCCCACACTTTCATTTGCAGTGTTTCCGCAAAGGCATTTCATTTGAACTCCTCCAATTTTAAGTAATTCGAAATAGTAAACTGCTTTCACCATTTTTACTCGTTCTTTACACACCACACACTAACATACAAAAAGCTATGTGAAGAGAACGAGTATTGTGTTCAAAAATGAGTTTTGGGGGGACATTAGGCCTATTCATCTCAGATCTTACTACATGTGGGAAAATGAGAGTGGTACCATTTGAAAGATGGAATGTCTGTCGCTTGATCGTTAAGTTCCTGGGAAAAACAGGAACCGTTTTTACCGTGCACACCTAAGCAACTCTGCAATCTGAAGTGTGTACATAGTACACTCTTATTAGAGCATGCTTCCAAGTACACTCTTACTTACAGCATACTTGCTAGGCACACGCCAAAATTGAGTGTGCCTGGCAAATACACGCTTAATAAGTGTGTACCTTGTAAGCACACACTAAAATATACTAGATTAGTCCTATCTAAAAGCATGGGCCAGTTTAAGTGTACTTGCCAGGTACTCTCTTATTTAGCGTGTACATGCAATGTACACTCTAGTTTAGCATGTGCCTAGCAAGTATGCTGTAAATAAGAGTGTACTTGGAAGCATGCTCTTATAAGAGTGAAACTAAGTACACACTTCAATTTGCAGAGAATATGAGCATTTTTGATGCATTACTACTGCTTGGACCCCAATACCTGTCGCTCGAAGAAGCACACAAGACAGAGGTACGCTCCTAAGGTTGTCAAGAGCAGGTTGAACAGCAGCACGTAGAGTCCGGTGAGCGGCATCGTAACCAAGCCTTGAGTCAGGTCCCGCAGCTGCAGCCAGGCACGGCGGTACTTCAATAGCTTCCGAGGGGACGGATGCTGAAGAGAGAGTTCCTAGAGGGCTCAAAAAATGTTAAAGAGCTTCATTTGAGCCTGAAACAAAGATCGACGAACTTTTCTGGGAGTTGACCAGACGGCACCCACGGATATATCCCCTTACCCCTATAGGGGTAAAGATCAAGTCAAATCAATAATTCACTCTCATTCCAGGAAGGTGACACCACGTTGAAACGAACGTGACAAAATGTCATGTTCGTTTGAGCATTGTGTCACATTCGTTTGGGTGTGAATTGACCAAAAATCAGCTGGTTCACTTTCAAACGAACGTGACACAATACGAACGTGATATTTCGTCGCGTTCGTTTCGACGCGATGTCACGTTCCTGGAATGAGAGTGTTGACTTGAAAAGTCCTTCGATTATCTTCAGCACACGATACATTTATTTCACTGAAACCAATAGACAAGCAGTAAATAAAATTTACTCTACATAAATTACACAAATTTGGGCGAAACTGCAACAAAGATAAAGCATCCTTAATAGGAAGAACAGGCTTGCGCCCTTTCCTTCGTATTGTGGGAAATATCCTCGCAAGACATTTTGAATCTAAACTCCCAAGATCCTGCTCATCTTATTCTCTTGACATCAGATTACTGACAGCGTAGCGAAAGTAGCTACCTATGGTGAGGAGTCAGTGGCTTGTGAGTAATTCTCGGTAATTCTTCCACAGTGAGAAAAAAGTACGGAAAAAGTACGGAACACGTCTGGTCAATAATTTGCCTGGACCGTCCGTACTTGCCAACTAGGGAACCTCCGTACTTTTTTTCCGTACCCATTTACATGGGTTCATAGGGAGCAAGTACGGAACGTTCCGTACTTTTCTCCGTACCTCCGTTCTATATTTTTCTGTACCATTTCCGTACAAAAGTACGGAATTTTTTACAGTGTCATATTACGAACAAATATGTCTGTATTCTGGTAGATATGTGTCGTAAAGTACTGAGATTCAGCTTGGTATGATCACTGCACGGTATTTCTCAGTAGGAAACTAGCCTGGATGAGGTACTGCCGAAGTCCGTTGGCGAAGTCCTTGACACAGTGCGGGTGCGTAGAGAACATCAAACAAATGTAGAAGTTGAGCAGCACGACTTGGCAGTGCATGAATATGTGCGAGTAGAAGCCCCCCTCCTCGGCGATGACGCGGACGTACACGGTGGCGAGGAAAGGTGCCGCCGCTATGAGGGAAATCGCCGCCGTCCAGACGAGGGCCGCGAACCAGCGGTTTCTGGAGCGGGCGGCGCCGGGCACGGTCTCCTGCACGTAAGCCAAAGCTACGCTCCATAAGAAGTTTTTTTTTTAACATTTAAGATAAGGACAGTAAGCTTCCCGCCAGCGGAATCTGGAGGGCACAGTAAGAATTTGAGTTTAGCGTCACGTTACATGCATGTCACATTCGTTGGAATGTGACGACATTTCTGGACCCTTCGCAGTGGGCCAGGAAGACCGATGGAGGAGGTCAAAATCCCAGACGCGTTTAGAGCGCCAGAGTTGCTAAATGGGACTCGAACAGAACGTGTCACCCCACTAATGGATTGTTCTCCGGACGAGGAATCCATTGGTGGGGCCACACGTTCCGTTTGAGTTCCATTCAGCGACTCTGGAGCTCTAAACGCGTCCGGAATTTTGACGGCCGCCATCGCACAGGCACAGTGCGGCACAGTGGGCCAGAAGACCGGTGGAGGCGGCCAAAACTCTGGACGCGTTTTGAGCTCCAGAGTCGCTAAATGGGACTGGAAACGAACGTGTGACCCCACCAAATGGACGGAGAGCAATTCATTGGTAGGGTCACACTTTTGGTTCGAGTCCCATTTAGCGACTCTGGAGCTCAAAACGCGTCTCGAGTTTTGGCCGCCGCCACCGGTCTTCTGGCCCACTGTGCACCGGTTTTCTGGTCTTCTGGAGTATGCTCACCATGAGGCTGGTGCAGAGCGCCTCGTTATACTTCATGTGGGAGGCCTCGATCCACAGCAAAGGCTGCAGCACGAAGCCAGCCGCGTGGGTGATGCAGATGACTGAGTTGAAGCGGGCCTTCAGCGAGGCGCCGGGGCTCACGAGCATGGCGTAGCGGTCCTGCAGCATGATGTACCCGGACCAGAGGGCCAGCACCGCCACGGCCAGGCAGTACACGAGCGTGGAGCGCAGCGGGTGGAAGGAAATGCGGACTGCAAACCCAAGTGTGAGGTAGTCTAACACTTTTTCTGGTGCGAAACACGATGTCCCACGCTTGCTACTAGTGTGAGACCCATGGGTCTTGTGGCATTGAACCTCTTGGAACCATAGGCAGCAAGTGTGGGACAAACGTGGCTCACCCTTGTAATCGCGAGGCACCGTGGTTCGCACAAAATAGTGGGAGGCAGTATCACACTTAGATTTGCAGTGCGGACTGTACCCACCAAAAATGAATTTTTGGATCAAGAAGGTAAAGTCTTCTTTTTTTTTCCACAAGCCCTTTTTCGATCCAGACTTTCTTACACAATGAAGAAGTTTCTTGGATCAAGATTTAATTTTCTCAAAAAGTAATCAAGTAAATTCCAAAATGTGTGTATACATCCTTGCTTTAAGAGGTTGTTTCATTGAACACAGTTCATCCCTCGCGAATGAAGGTGCTGCACAATGGACCAGAAGACCGGTGGAGGCGGCCAAAACTCCAGACGCGTTTGGAACTACAGAGTCGCTAAATGGGACTCGAACCGAACGTGTGACGCCACCAATGGATTCCTCGTTCGGAGAGCAATCCATTGGTGGGGTCGCACGTTCAGTTCGAGTCCCATTTAACGACTCTGGGGCTCAAAACGCGTCTTGGGTTTCGGCCGCCTCCACCGGTCTTCTGGCCCACTGTGTGCTGTGACTCACTGGGACTGCAGGTCACCGGCAGCAGGCCGACGGCGGCCATGGCACACCCAATCGGCCACAACGGGGCGAACATGCCATGCCCGCCAAACATGTCCCGGTCGGGTGAACTTGGCGACTTGTCCTTGTTCCCAGACCGTTCGGGCGAACATGACGACTTGTCTTTGTTCCTAGACGCGAAAGCGGATGTTGTTTCGATCACAGGGATCCTCGCTGGGTACGCCAGTGGGTCTGACGGCGGACTCATCCAAGCGCCTTTCTTCCGGAAGTCCTGTTAGCAGACAAGAGTCACACTAAAAGTAAACAATTTTGTACGTGGTACGTCGACGTCTCGCACAATTTTAAACGTGCGCACTTTTCCCTACAAATCTGTACGCAGAATCGCCTACACTTTTGTACAAAAAGAACGTTGACGCAACCTCACTATATGAGTTGTTGACGAGTTATCAACGTAAATTTTAAACTTAAATTTCCCCCTGCATTTATGTATGTGAAAAGAAGCACGTGAAACCTTGCACGCTTCAAGAAGGACGTGCACGGTAAAAACGAAACCTGGGATTCCCAGGAGCCCTATGTTACAAGGTATAGGAGTTTCCAGGAGATTCCTGGGATTCCCGGGAAGCGTTTTTACCGTGTGCTAACTGTGCCCTTCAGGAAAGGCGCAATGTCACGCCTCAGTTATACCAGTGCTTGGTCTACGAGTTGGTCTACTATTCACAAGGGAACTATGCCTCGGCCGCTCAACTGGTCCCCAATGGGCCTAAAGACCGAAGGCGGTCAAAATCCCGGACGCCTTTTGAGCTCCAGAGTCGCTAAATGGGACTCGAACCGAACGTGTGACCTCAACAATGGATTGCTCTCCGAACGAGGAATCCATTGGTGGGGTCACACGTTCGGTTCGAGTCCCATTTGGCGACTGGAGCTCAAAACGCGTCTTGAGTTTCGGCCGCCGGCGCCGGTCTTCTGGCCCACTGTGTGGTCCCTACTCACCTTCTCCATGCCTATTGTCGCCCGCTGGGCTCGGCCCATGATGCCTGGGCCTGGGCCCGCACTGTCAGCCCACGATCGAGCGTGAGTTACACGACCCGTCATAACTGTCAACAGAGAGGGCTGCGCTTTTACCGCCTGCTCCATATAAGCCTCATTACCCGTTTAGAAAGGTCGCCTGGGAGCTATTAGTCGATCGACCCGGTCATACACTCGACATTAGCGTGCTGCCGAGAACATAATGGAGGTTTGGAAGAGGAAAAGAAAGCCACAAGGGCCTTCGCGATACACTCGAAGTACCCTTGCACTGCTCTTTTTGTGCTTTTGAAACTTTTTAAAGTCTTGTCTGAAAGAGCCGTTCCTTTAACCCCATTTTCATTTACCTGGTTTCCTTTCCCATTGTGCGCACAAAATAAAATTAATGAGTGTAAATTTACTTTAAGGTGTCTAACTGGGAACGAGACTCGATCAGAGCGTGGTACCCTACCAATGGATTCTTCGTTCGGAGAGCAATCGATTGGTGGGGTCAAACGTTCGGTTCGGTTCTAGCTCCAGTGTCGCTAACTGGGACTTGAACCGAACGTTTGACCCCACCAATTGATTGCTCCGAACGAACGAAGAATCCATTGGTGGAGTACCACGCTCTGTTCGAGGTTCGAGTCTTGTTAAGCGGCTCTGGAGCTCATAACGCGTCTAGAATTTTGGTCACTGAGCGCCTGTGAACGTCAGGTACTCTACAAATCGAAGAGTGTACATGGTATGCTCTAACTAGAGCATGCCTGCAAGCACGCTCTAACTAGCGCATGCCTGCCAAGCATGCACTTACTAGCGCATACATGCCATGTACACGCTTCTGATGCAGACAACTCCCTATCCCTTATGCACTAGATGCATGCTTCAGTTAGCGTGTACATGGCATGTATGCACTAGTTAGTGCATGCCTGGCAGGCATGCGCTAGCTAGAGCGTGCTTGCAGGCATGCTCCAGTTAAAGCATACCATGTACACTCTTCGATTTGTAGAGTAGGCAAGCCCGCAACACATCCGAGTTTTACTGACCAGCCTATCCCAAGTTCGCAGGCGCCTCGAATGGCAAGACTGCTTACTCAGTACATACTAAGTTTCCATTGTTGATTTGTACACGTCTAAAGGAATAAGTGCACAGGTCTAAGTACACACAAATGATTTTTGTTGCAGGATTCCATACCGCTGCGCGTTCGTTTGCTCAAAATTGTGGCTTTTCAATGTCAAGGCAGGCGGTGTGTGGTGTAGCCACCTCGTCAAAGTGACGTTCCTCGGGAGATAAAAGAACGCCGCATGTTTGAACGGTCGGTTCATCGCTCTTGTGGCGCGGATCGGGTTCGCGTGAGCAGACCCCTCCCGTCAGTCAACGGACCGACGCGCCTTCAACGGCACGCGGCACCTGTCAGGCACTGACTGCATCTTGATCGGCTGTCAACCATGCAGCAAGGTGAGCAGAGCAGCGATGTCGAAACAGGCAACAAGGTACAATTTTGTACAGTTCTTGTAATCCTTGTAACTTTTTTGTATTTTTTTTTTACATTTTTGAAAAAGTTTGGTACAATTTTTGTTAAAATTTTGTACAATTTTTGTACAATTTTTGAACGAAATGTGCAGGTTTGCACAAAATTAAGCATGCCTTTTAAAATGCACAGATTTGTGCGTAACTATTGTAACTAAGCTCTAAATTTTACGCTGTAGCGCTTGAATTCGTGCGTTTCACGCGCGTATTCTTAAATTGATCAAAAGGGACATAGCGGGACATAGGCGATTTGCAGGCAGTTCCTGGGAAAACCAGAAACCGTTTTCACCGTGTAAAAACTAGTGCTGTTTTATCACCTTATTCTGAAACATGTTTTTTTATTTGACCCACAGCAGGAGAGGAGCAAGTCCTCGCGGACGTGGAGTGGTCGGGGCGCAAGCCCCTCACTCTGCACGTGTGGGAGGCCCTGTGCGTGGCTTCCATGCTCTTCGTGTGGGCCTGCGTGCCCCTGCTGGTGGTCGTCGTGGGCCCCCTTCTCCTGCTGTGCCCCTCCACCTACTGGCTGGTGCTGCCACTCCTCGCGTGGACGTTCTTCGACAGACACGCCGGCTACACTGGAGGCCGGAGGTATGTACAGTACCACACACTGAATGTGTTTTCACAATTTTTATACAGCTTTTAGACACACTGCCAAGTCAAGTGTGGGACAGTCTCACACTTGTAGGTTTGGGACATTTTTCTCACGTTTACAAGTGTGAAACACAGCTTGTCCCACACTTGCTGCCTATGCTAGCTCTGTGGTTCAATGCCACGGGTCCCACGCCTGCAAGTGTAGGACAAACCGTGTCTCACCCTTGCAAGTGTGAGGCATCGATGTCTCACACTTATGCAAGCGTGAGACAAATGTGGCTTACACATGTAAGCGTGAGACGAAATGTCCCACACCTACAAGTGCTAATTTTTCTCGTACAGATTTGTACGCAGGATTGCCCAAATTCGTGCAAAATTGCGTTTAAATTTGTACAAAAAGCTCTTACGCGTAAAATTGTGTGAGAACACATACAAAAATTGTTCTATGGAATTTAGTGCGCATTTTTCCTTCGTAATGTGAATCTGTATATTTTCTGTATGTTTGTACCTTGAAAAGGAAGGCCGGAACAGATTCGGATAATGAACAAATTTACTTCGTATTATGTCAGCGCAAGTTTCTCCGTACACTACCGACAAAGTCACTGTGAGAAATTTCGAGAGCAGTTCTGAATAAGTACCTCTGCGTCGGGCAGTGCCAGAAGACAGCGGCGGAGGCGGCCAAAACTCCAGTCGCTGTTTGAGCTCCAGAGTCGCTTAACAGGACTCAAACCAAACGTGTGACCCTACCAATGGATTCCTCGTTCGTAGGGCAGTCCATTGATAGGATCACACGTTCGTTTCGAGTCCCATTCTGCGACGCTGGAGCTCAAAACGCGTCCGGGGTTTTGACCGCCTCCACCGGTCTTCTAGCCCACTGTGCCCACCAGGCCGCTCGGGTTGCGCGGCACGCGCTTCGCACGCGGCATCCTGGGGTACTACCCCCTCCGCGTGGTGCGAGCCGCTGGCTGCGAGTTGGACCCCCGCCGCAACTACATCCTGGACGCGCACCCCCACGGCTTCATGCAGCTGGCCACCCTGGGCGCCGTCCTGCTCAGCGAGAAGGTGCCCGCGGCCTTCCCGGGCATGACCTTCCGAGCAGCCGGAGCGAGCTACCTGGTGCACCTGCCCATCGTGCGGGAGGTCGCGCTGAGCTTAGGTGAGAGCTTCAGCTGCTCAGTGCACTGAAAAACCAAACGTGGTCTAGACCGTACCAACTGGTGTGGTCTGGGTGCCATTTTCACCGCATCAGTTGGTGTGGTCTAGACCACGTTTGGTGCGTTCGGTGTGGTCATTGCATGGAAAGACAACACCAAACATGGTCTAGACCGCACCAAACGTGTCCAAACGTGGTCTAGACTACGCCAACTGATGCAGTCAAAATGGCACCCATTTGACCACGTTGGGCAAACCGGTGGAGGCGGTCAAAATCCCGGACGCGTTTTGAGCTCCAGAGTCGCTGAATGGGACTCGAACCGAACGTGTGACCCCACCAATAGATTGCTCTCCGAACCAGGAATCTATTGGTGGGGTCACACGTGCGATTCGAGCCCTCGTATTATTTTTGAAGTATTTTGTGCTGGAAAACTTGAAGGTACGATCAGCAGTTCGGAGCGCAGCATTCGGCATGCACTGCAGCACCCCGGCCACGGTCTGGCCCTCTTGGTCATGAGCGGTGCAAAGGAGGAGACTTTGCGCCTCTCCGATGACAGCTACAACTTGTACCTGAAGCGGAGGGGCTTCTGTCGGGTCGCCCTTCTAGAGGGGTAAGTACGTTGTTGAACAATGTAAGGGGCAATATCGAGATAATATTTGAAACTCGTGGAGAAAAAGCTCTTCAACTATCTGACAATGAAAATTGACAGGATTTAAGTCACAAACCGAAATTTCCCCACGAATCTTTTTTTTGGATTTTAAAAGTGACAGACTAAGCAATAACCCTCGTTACGATACCAACTAAGTTCATGTTCAGCTTGGACAATTTTTTCTATCTAATTGGAAATTTCTCCGACACAGATATTTAGAGTGTGGGCTATTGCGCCGGTGATTGCTTTGACGCACGAAATACTCAGGGAAATTATCCACTGGGATAACCACGCATTGTTGAAACATGACTAAACATTTTCAGGGGCATATCGCCTCTTTTCGTGCTGACTTTTTTCCTCCTTTTACAAATTTTCTTATCAGAATTTTGTTTTGATCTTAGCGCTTCGCTTGTTCCTGTCCTGATATTTGGGAAGATCCATGCCTACCGGCAGCCATTCAAAAACTTGAGCTCCTGGTTTCATCAAAAGACTGGTTGGAGACTTGTACTGCCCTTTGGAAGAGGAATCTTCCAACCTTACCTCGGACCACTTCCTCATCGGGTGCCTCACACCTACGTCAGTAAGTGAAGGAAAAATTGGCATTGGATGCAGTTTCGCTTTTCCCTTGATAATGCCTTTTGTGGCTCACACGAAGACAGCGCTTTAATGATCCCGCCGCTGATGCCCCGACAAGCATGCACGTCGCATTCCTGTTAATCTCACAAATTCTCTTAACAAAAAATGTGCGGAGAAGTGGCTTCTCACGTAACAACACACTTTCGAAACTCTCTGTATGTTATTTTCTTCACATAATCCGAGAGGCTAATGTTTCTCACTTGTTTCTTACTTACTCAAAAGAAAAGTTCTCTCTTTAATAACGTTCGAATTCAAAACACTTCTGGTAGAGTGCTGTAAGGATTTTGACCGCAAAGTCGGAGTGATCATTGTAAAGGGCCTTTTATATTTTCAGTCGGAGCACCACTGTTAGTCGACAGAACGGAGAATCCAACGAAGGAACAAATTGAAGACCTGCATGAACGATACGTGGAGAAGTTGAAGCAACTGTATGAAGAGTACAGCCCGAAACTGCACTCGGGAAATGTGCCATTAAACAAGGGGAGTCTGCTCCTCAGTCTGTGCCAAAAACATAGTAGGGTCAAGCGGCACTCACGTAAATTTTGTCAGAATGTTAGAACTATGCCCGAATTCCTGATCAAAATCCGTGCACTTCTGAAAGTTGTGATCCTGAGAACTTATTTTGTTATTGATTGCCTGAGTTCTACAGAATGTCAGAATAAGTTTTCAGCTCTCAGAGGTACGTGAATTTTGATCTGGATTTCTGACATTCCCTCAAAATTTACGCGAGTGGGATGGGCAGGGCAATATGATGTCGGAAAACGAGTGAAAGTCGCATCAAGTGTATTTCTGATGTATGACTCATCAACATGTCGAAGTCGTCTAACCGTGCGACTGGACGTGTCCGCGTGGCCTTCTGTACGACGCAAGGCCAAGCGACCACTAACGAAACAAGTTGGCCTGCTGTGCGGGATGATCTGGCTAGATAATTAAAAATAGATTCAGTGGAAAAGGAGGTGTGTACTTCGTTATACATGTATTTTTTTAATTGCAGCGTGGAATTTAAAAATAAATATATTCTTTTGACATAATTTCTTCCAGTCTCTGGTTTCTTGGCGTTAATTGCTTCTACCGTTTACACTGTTACCGTATACATGTGCAAACTCTGTAGAGAGCATGGTGAAAATTTTGGTTGTCACCTGATGACAATATCAAGGCCAACTTTCCTTACAAGGATGTCTTCAAAACATTTGTTGACATAGTTGTCACGCGAGAGCTTTGATGAAAATATATTATCCACGATTTTGTCATAAAGTGTCAACAAGGTGTACCACTACCACTTCGGCGCGAAAGGTGCATGTTTTCTCGATGAAAAGTGAAAAGTCTGTCGCCGGGCACTGAACTGACTTGGCAGTGTAGGCCGTGGGAGCGTTTTGATACTAAAGTCGGCAGCTAAATTACACCAGTCGCTGCTGGACGCACATGTTGTTTGTATCCCACAAATGACCGGCTCCTCGAGTACCTCCTCACAGTGGGCCAGAAGACCGGTGGACGCGGTCAAAATCCCGGACGCGTTTTGAGCTCCAGAGTCGCTAAATGGGACCGAACCGAACGTGTGACCCCACCAATGGATTGCTCTTTGAACGAGGAATCCTATGGTGGGGGTCACACGTTCGGTCCGAGTCCCATTAGCGACTCCGGAGCTCAAAACGCGTCTGGAGTTTTGGCCGCCTCCGCCGGTCTTCTGGCCCACTGTGCTCCCCCCCCCCTCCTCTTTTTCCAGAGGATCCACGCATTGCCCCCCTCTCCCGGATTGATGCACAGCGGTACTCTCTACGCAAACACGTGCGAACCTTCTGACTGATTCCGCGAGTCGTTTTCGTCGCTCCGTCTCCGTCGCCCTCAAGCGGCGTGCCGTGTAGGTGCGCGGGGGACAGAGCGACGAAAACGACGCTCTCGGAATCTGAGCGGCGGCTCGCGAAGCCGGTTCGTCCCCTTGGCGGCAAAAGCAGACCGTCCTGGCCGCCTCGGCAGACGCGGAGTAGCCGGCGGCGAGGCTGGACGATCTAGCCGGCGTGAGGCGCGGACTGAGACTGTGGCCGCTGAGGCAACCGTGCGTCCGAGTGCCATCGAGTGTGTTACAATCGCGGGAATGACAATTGGATGACGCGGCCGCAACAACTATTGAAGACACCCGAGACATGAACTGTGTTTGGTGATTCGATTCGGAGCACAGTGCTCAAGTTGGCACGGGTCCAGTCCACCATGTCGTTTCCCTCCGTGGCCGCCTTGGCCGCCGCAGCCGTGCTGCTGTGGGCTGGAAGCTGCACTGCCGGTGAGTACCCCGGATCATGTTGGAGAAAATGTCGCAGCGGGCTGGGGTTTCCCAGTGGGCCGGGACACCGGTGGAGGCGGCCGAAATTCCAGACGCGTTTAGAGTTCTTGAGCTCTAGGGTCGGTCAGTGGGACTTGAACGGATCGTGTCCGGGATATGCACTCTGAAAACCTTACGATGTATTTTGAGCATACATAACAAACTGATATGCTTTGTTATATATACGAAGTAATAGTTTGTAAATTACGAAGTGTTTTCTTTGTAAGCTTATGTATGCTCAAAATACTTTGTTATACAAACTACTTTTCTTTGTAAGGTCCAAAACAGTTTGTAGGGTTTTCTCAGTGTGTAAATTAATTGGGTCGCGGATTGGGTACAATTTGCACAAATACTTCAGCACAATACATCGAAATTTCAAAACAGAACAAGAAAATTACATGTCTTTGGGTTGAGGAGAACCCACAACCAAAGTTTGATTTGAATTGGACAACCTTCGTCGAAAACCCTGCTCTTCTCTCATAGACAGCTCAGATAGTCAAGTTTTTTTTTCACATCCTTTTTTTTCGGGGGAGGGGGGAGGGGAGTTCAACATCGTTCACGTCTTGCAGTTCTACTGGTCTGCATCTTTTTAAAACAGGTGAGGGGATTGGAGAGGGGGGGGTAGTGTTCTAAATTTCTTCCAAATGAACTGAGCGCATGACGAAAAGTATATCCAAGGGATATTGAAACGCTCTCCTCTGGTTTGAAACTATTCCGTTAGAAAGTCGGAAACCTCCAAACCCCGTTCCTCTCGCAAGGCTAACGCGGGCGCACTTGGCATGCTTTGCTTTGCATTTGCCGGCGTTACCCTGTGTTGGCCTCCCGCGTCGTCTCCGCTCGACTTGAGCCGTCCTGCAGACCGATTCCGAACAGTCGTTTCGTCGCTCTGTCTCTCTCGCACTTGAGGGGCGGTCCGTGCGGGTGTGAGAGAGACAGAGAATCTGCTGGCGCCACTGCAATTATCCAGCTCGCACGTGACGCACACTGGGAAACGTGCCGGCGCTCGTGACCAACAAGCAAGCGTGGTGTTCTGACGTCAAATCATTTGAACTAGACTCACGTCTATTCAATCATGCGCTCGGGAGTCAAAGTAGTCATGCTCTCCCTCTTCGGCCACCGCCGAGGTATTTTGTTTTCGTGTCCGTTGCTCTGTCTGTTTTCCAATTTTCAACATCTACTCTGCAAATTCAACACGCTCAGTCCAGAAACGTGTGACATCACGTTGAAACGAATGCGACAAAATGGCACGTTCCTTTGAGCATTGTGTCACATTCGTTTGAATGTGAACAAGCTAATTTATGGCTGAGTCACATCTTAACGAACGTGACACAATGCCCAAAGGAACGTGACATTCTTGCACATTTGTTTCAACGTGACGTCATGTCCCTGGAATGAGAGGAGGACAGTCTCACACTGTTATGGGTGAACCAAAATATCTCACGCTTTAAGGCCTTGACGACGATTCTGGTGTATAGGGTGCTTCGGAGGAAACCCAGACCGGAAGTAAGTGACAGAACGGGAGAAACAGAAGAGCGTCGCGCGGCTGTGCTGAGCGGTGGTGGGGGCCGGAATCGGCGGAGTGGGGGTAGCATGCGCGCGCCGCCTTCACCCCCACTCCGCCGATTTCGACCCCCACCACCGCTCAGCACAGCCGCGCGACGCTCTTCTGTTTCTCCCGTTCTGTCACTTACTTCCGGTCTGGGTTTCCTCCGAAGTACCCTATTACACTTGATGGTGTGGGTGTCGTGATACTGAATCAAACCGTGTGTCGCACTTGCAAGTGTGGGACAAAAGTGGATCATTTTTGTGAGCGTGTGACACGTTGGTTCACGCCTAATGTAGTGTGAGACTGCCCCGATCCTTGGATTTGCCGTGTACACTGGATTTGCGATCAGAGCACTTTCAGATTATTTAGAGAACGGTTTCCCGCATTAGTCACGTCTCTGTGCAATGTCTGCTGAAAAAATGTCACTTTGCAAAAAAATGGTAAAATTAATCTTTTTAAGGAAAGAGGCACCACGGGCATCTCAAACACTCATCTTGATAACGTTTTGTGAGATGTGTCAAGGATTTTCGAATGAAGTAATTTGGACATAAAATTGAGATTGTATTGAAGAAAACGATAGACTTGGTGCACCTCATGCACAGTGCTAGCTGCGTATCTACGCGAGAACGAAAAGCGGCGTCATTAATCACCGCTCTGGTCCCTCCCAAGTATCCAACCATTTTCACCACAGAGAGAGAGAGAGAGAGAGAGAGAGAGAGAGAGAGAGAGAGAGAGAGAGAGAGACAGAGACAGAGAGAGAGAGAAAGAAAGAGAGAGAAAGAAAAAGAAAGAGAGGGAGAGAGAGGGGGGACTTTTCAAGCCTCATAGGAGCCGTGTCTCTTGGCTCTGACGTCTCCGGGAAAGTCGCGACAGAAATTGGTGGATTACCCGGCCGCCGCGAATAGGTCAGCACGTGAGGAACATCTCAATTTGGCGAACCTGTTTTGCTCACGTGCGGCTCGTAGGCGTGGCGGCCGGGTCCCCCACTGACTCAGTCGTAGATGCGGCTTGAGCGGCACACAGTGGGCCAGAAGACCGGTGGAGGCGGTCAAAATCCCAGACGCGTTTTGAGCTGCAGAGCAGGGTGTGCAAACTTTACATTATCATTACCTTAACGTTAACTAAGGAATTAACGTTATTACTATGACTTTTATTTTGTTAGCTAATGTTAATATCACAAATATTATATGTTGAGTTTATTAACGTTAATTCTTTGGGGCGGCCATTAACGTTATTGAATTATCGATAATAGGTTATACCGAAAAAACCACGTCTTCAAACATTATTGTTAAGTGCTATAACAGTTATGAAGAAATAACGTTAATATTTTATAACGTTAATGTGCACATAACAATTGTGGACTTAAACATAAAATTCGTGGTAAGCAAATAACGTTAACTATTTTAACTAAAATCATTCGTGGATTTCGTGGCACGCAAATAACGTTAATTGCTACAGTTAAAATAGAGAATATAATTGCCACCCCGCACTTTGCAAACGCAATTGTGCATGGCACGCTGTCCTGAACAGTGTGCTTGTCAGGCACACAACAACAGTGTGTCCGACTGAGACTGCATGGGTCCTAGGCACAAAGAAACCCCCCGTCTCATGTCGCGAGGCACGGCCGGCACAGGAAATGGCTTCCACTGAATTAACGTTAATAATCGTTATGGTTCCGAACATTTAATATTGGTACATGTGCTAATAGTTACAGCTAATTAACGTTATGACACGATATCATAAAATAAAAAATAAACAATAAAATGCTACAAATAAAAACCTTTATTCTTTTAACATAAGTTGCTCTGAAACTGGATTACCGTCTGGAGTTTTGGCCGCCTCCACCGGTCTTCTGGCCCACTGTACGGCGTGGGAATGCAGGAGGCGCGACTCCGAACAGTTCGTTTTTCGCTCGGTCTCTCTCGCACCTTTGCGGTACGGCCCATGAGTGCGAGAGAGACAGAGCGACGAAAGCACGGTTCGGAATCAACCTGAAGAAATACGCAGCCGCACTGGGAAGGAGTGCCCCGCTAGGGACACTGACGTCAGACGTACCAATGAGAAAACTGTCTCATTTCCATACACAATTAATTTACTGAACTGTTCAAAATAACTGCGATGCATGTTTAAACGTTTACGAGACAAGTACGTATTAGGTTGAAATTTCTGTGGAGTTCCTCCAAGGAGAAATAGTCACCGAATCTGACATAAAATTTTAAAAACCAAATGCACTAGATACGGACTGATATTCTTTTCGTATGAAAGCGGATGTTCTCACGCAACAAAGCGACGCTGTCCCGCTCTAATTTCGGAGCCTCTTCCCAAGGCGTTTAGTTTGTTTTTCTAGTTCAAAGAGACTAGTGACGTCAGCTGTACCACATTCCTTGTGGCGTCGTGGTTCGCACTGTTTTTCGCAACTGTCTTACTAACAAATTGACATTGCAAATTTTTTCGGGTGGCCAAGAGTTTTCAAGCCTTGTCGAATTTTGTCGCAGTATATCCGCAAAATGCACCGTTGGCAGTTTCTTTTTTTTACTGAAGGTTACGTTATAAATTTCACAGAATTGATTAAAATTTTGTTGTTGTTTTTTTTTTAAATTGCAATATTTTGGTAAACCATGACTATGCACTCGCACAGTGGACCAGAAGACCGGGGGTTTTACCGCCTCCACCGGTCTCCTGGCCCTCTGTGCCTCGTTGTCCAGCCGAAACCGGTAACCAAAACACATTCGTCTGATTTCTCGTGACTTCTTGCAAAAGTACTGTGCCAATCGCTGTTGTGCCAAGCGCGTTACAATAACAATAATAATAATTCGACCACACATCAATTTGGGACGAAAGGAACACAATATTGGCTCCGAACATGCGTTACTTTGAGACCCCAATAATTTCTTAGCATTTGCTAAGTCCTTCACTGTCGTTTCTTGTTCGTAAGAATTTCACCAAACCAACAGCTCACAACGAAAATGCAAAGGATTCTGTTTCTTAACATTAACCCTCCGGAACCCTCATTTTAACATCCGTACCGTTCTGGGAAGCTGAGAGGGAAGGTGGCTTTGCCAAATTTGCCAAATTCCGCGTGCAAATGCGTCGCCGAAGTTGGAAACAAAACATCATTACGGCGGCGCGGCAGGGCACAGCTTGGCACGGCACGACACGGCAGGGCACGGCACGGCAAGGCGAGGGTCGCTGCCACCGATTACTGTCATTACCCGCCTTGGGTCGCTGCATCGTCCAGCGCTAATAGCATTGTTGTCCAGGCAGGATTGTTATCGTCCGTTGTGGCCGGTCGGTGCCTCTTCGGCTGCCGGGCCGCAGGGGGCCAGAAGACCGGCGCTGGCGGTTTAAACCTCCGGACGCGTTTTGAGCTCCAGAGTCGCTAAATGGGACTCGGACCGAACGTGTGACCCCACCTATGGATTCCTCGTTCGGAGAGCAATCCATTGGTGGGGTCACACGTAAGGTTCGAGTCCTGTTTAGCGACTCTGGAGCTCAAAACGCGTCTAGAATTTTTGCCGCCTCCACCGGTCTGTCTCGCCCACTGTGCCGGCCTTTCTCCCTCTGGAGGCGGGCGTCGTGCCAACTGGGCAGCAAATTACGCCGCGCACGACACACCAAATGTTATGTACAATACGGAATGTTACAGGTTTTGGAGGCAATGAACTTTGCGTACCATTTTCGTTCAAAAAAATTCAGAAGTTTTTTAATTAACGTGGAAAATTCCGTACAAATTTGTACGAAAAGTTCATTTGAACAAAGGACTCGTTCAAAATTTGGACAAACTCATAATTGTGATGCTGGCTGAGCAGCTGTCCTTTAAGAAGGGAAACATGTAATAAAAATTTGCAATTCGAAATTTACGAACACTCTTAAATTTGAGTCGAAACGACCTGTCCAAAATGCACGGACCTCCAAACACACTCTTTGAAGTTCTTCGAAATTCGTCTGAAAACACGTCGATATTTGACAGCAAATTATCAAAACTAACTCATCCAAAATTCAAGTGAAATGTAAACATTTTGAGCACCTCGTTCGGGGAGCAATCCTTTGGTGGGGTCACACGTTCGGTTCGAATCCTATTAAGCGACTCTGGAGCTCAAAACGCGTCCAGAGTTTAGGCCGCCTCCGCCGGTCTTGTGGCGCGCTGTGCCGGCGCGGCGGTGGAGCGCCTGCGCGCCGCCGCATAGGCTAGCCCGCAAGGCACGCATGAGTGGATGCGTCATGGTTGCCTATCCTCCATTACCGTTACCATTAGAGGCTAGACCACACTGATAGGCGCTTGGCGCTCTACGCGGCTCTACGTGTTGCCACTTAAGCGTATGTCAGCCTTTCCATATTTTCATATAGAATTAATACACGAGGGAACCATTGGTGGGGTCACATGTTCGTTTCGAGTCCTTTATCGACTCTGGAGCTCAAAACGCGTGTAGACTTTCGGCCGCCTCCACCGGTCTTCTGGCCCACTGTGCGGAGTTTCTGTGATGATGACTTCTAACAAGTGGTTCTTTTCCCCTACAGCCAACTGCCCGCCGCTGAGCTTCAAGACGGTGGACGCAGAGTGCCGCTGGGTCATGGGCCGGCCAGTGGCGTGCAACGCCTCGTGCGCCCCCGGCACCAGGGCCTTCTTCTCCTGCAAGCCGCTCTACCGGCTGCCCCTGTCCGTGCGAGCGGTGAGTACTCTGTTAAAAAATCTGAACACTGTGGCGAAAAGCTACGGAAAATTCTGTAAACAGCTTGTGGTAGTTCTCCGTAGCCCCCTTGTCAATTTTCTCCGTTGGACCTTACAGCATTCTCCGGAGGACCTGACAGTCTTCCAGGCCTTACGGAGAAGACTGTGTGGTCAGACTGTAAGATCCTAACGGAGGGTATTGATAAGAGGGCTACGGAGAATCCGGGCAAAAAATTGACTGAATTTTCTGTGTAGGTTTCTCTTAGAACGAGAAATCCACACTGGCAAAACTAAACCGTAGTTGTACGCTTCATTCATGCATTTAGATAGGAAGAAACACTGTTAAAAAATGGTTGTATAGAAACAATCAGATGAGTGAAAATTTAGTCGTTCCAAAACAAAGAATTTTATCATGAACCAAAGCGAAAGAAATGTCGTTGAATCTTGTAAGCGACAATTTGTCGTTGAAGAACAAAATTCTTGTTATCATCCTTAACGATACTATTTGTATGGAAACAAAATCTTTTGCAATTATCTGCTCAATTAAAGCAAATTATGAATTATCAACTATTGGCCTTCTTTAGTCATAGCAACATTACTTTTATTTAAAAAAGATCTAGGCAAAATAAATTTAGCCACAAAAGTACTCCATGAATACTTGTCCCAGACATTACAAAATCTTTTTCGACTTACAACACTTGTCGTTGACCAACATCATTTGTTGTTGGTCAACGACTTGTATTTGAAAGTAGACTGCTAATGTGTTATTACAAGTTAGTCGTTGTGAAATTATCCTTTAGTTCCAGTACGAGTTTGGTTAAACAAGCTATTCGTTCCACAACAAATCTTGTCGCTAAAAAAATTAGCGATAAATGTTTTGCTAAGTTACGACAAAATTTTTGTCAGTGAAGGAGCGCATGAACTGTTGTACGCTTGAAGAAGGGCGTACTGGCTGTACGCTTCACGAAGGGCGTAATAGTACGCCTTAGTTTTACCAGCAGTGCATTGGTGGGGTCACACGTTCGGTTCGAGTCCCATTTAGCGACTCTGGAGCTCAAAACGCGTGCACAGTTTTGGCCACCGGCGCCGGTGTTCTGGCCCACTGTGCTCTGGATCCGCGTCTTATTTGCAATGGGATGTTGCAGGCCGCAGCGTCCGCCGCATCGGCCGCCTCGGCTGCTTCGGATACTCGGATCAGCTTGGACGTGGACGACAACGGCATGGAGTCCTCCATGTGTCGAGAGAATGGCAACTGGGCCCCACTGCCGTTCACCTGTGTCCCTGGTAAGATATGCGCAGTTTAAGTCTAGCTCGTACAAGGAAAGTGATTAAAAATTACACTCTCAGCACTGCAAATCCGGTGGTAAGTTTACTTGCCACAAATTTGGCAAGCCGTTTTGAATGCCAAAATTTGGCAAGCTTTGGTCGAAAATCTTTATTAGCTCGCCAAATTTTGGCAAGCTGGTGGGTATTTCCGGGCCAAGCTTGCCAAATTTTGGCATTCAAAACGGCTTGCCAAATTTGTGGCAAGTAAACTTACCACCGGATTTGCTGTAAGGTTATTGACTTTGCATTTTTTTTTCATTAAGTACGTATGAGTTTAGACCAGGACAATACTTAGTATTATTTAAAGCACTTATGGCTTTTATCCTTTGCAAAATAACTGACGAAAACAAACTGTCAGCACACTATTTAACAATTCCTAAGAATCTGTGTACTGCAAAACTTTGAGTGCACAGTGAAAACTCAACGAAGAATCGATTCGTGATACGAAGAAAATGAAGGCATTGTAGAAGAAACGCTTCGTATTATGAAGCAAAATCCTTCGTAATACGAAGCATTCCTTCCTAATACGAAGCAATCATTCAATGCCTTCATTTTCTTTGTATTTATGAAGAAAATGTTTAGCAGGTTTTTAAGAGTGTGGGGGACTCCTTATGAATAACGGTGTACACGTGACCTTGCTGACACCTCTTTTGCAGAGTGCGGTCGCCTGGTCGGCAACGGTGAAACGCTCATCGTCGACGGCAAACCCGTCAACTCCCCCATCGAGTACCCGTGGCACGTGGCCGTCTACGACAAGAAGTTTAAGGGCGGCATCGCGCAGGTTTGCGGCGGCACGCTCGTCACGACCAAATTCTTCGTGTCGGGTAAGTGGCCCACTGAAGGAATACCATTCAGAAAAATTTGATCACTCTAAAAAACAATAGAATACCCACATGTACGCTCACATGACCTAGGATTTGTCACTCAGTCAATTTCCCAAGTGACTTTTCCTCAGTGACTTCCTGAATTCATTCTTATTAGTGATGTGAAAATTGCTTACACGTCACTTGTTTGTCTTCAGCTGCCCACTGCTTCACATCGAAATCCACGGACGTTGCGATGAGGCCTTCGGAAGACTTCGCTGCCGCCGTGGGCAAGCTGAACCGGGAATGGAACGCCCCGGAGGAGTCAGCCCAAAGACGAGATGCAAGTAGCCCAACAATCCTGTCCAGGATCACTAGCGCGCGAAAACTATTGCAATTATAATTGCAAAACTCCAAGGGTTTTTTCTGTATCCTCTAGGTACGTATCGGCTTGAGATGTAAAAGTTGCATAAAGATGACCCCACCTTAAATTCAATTTAGGATGGGGTGATTCACGTGAATACCTTTTCTAACTCCAGCCGATTGCGAGATGCAGAAATGACGTTAATTGCAAAAGTGTAATGTTTGCGCACCCAGCTATGTTTCCATTCTAATTGAACCTCTGCACTTTCGTTGTTTGAGTTCTGTCTTGTTCCGCTATTCAGATGTTTTGTTCTTTCATTATTCCGCTGCGAAAAATGAAAGCAAAATGACTTGAGAAGATTTTTCTTCGTACCAAAAAGAAAATCTTAAATCAAGAACATTTTTTCTTGTAAAACAAAAAAGTTTGATTCGAGGAAACTTTTCTTTGCAGTACAAAAACAAAACTCTACTGCAAAAATATTTCTGTAAAATTCTTAAACTGAAGTCAAGTCTTGGAGTGCCACAGTAAATGTACAAACACGCAGCGCATGAGTCGCACTGTAAATGGCTTACGGTAAAAACGAACTCCATTTCTATACAATACGAAGAATTTTCTGCAAACATTATTGTTTTTTTTACTTCGTAATGTTAAGCTCTTTATTTGTACTTTTCAAAAAAGAGCCGAAAATCCAAAAAGAAGATTCGCAACATAAACTAATTTATTTGTGCTATGTTTGCACTCATTTCTTCGTACACATCTGCCAAACTAACAGTAAGAAATTTAGAGTGTAGGACAGTGAATTGACGGCGTTTCGCTCTGCCAGGTGCTCCACATCCACATCAACGGCTACGGCGGCTCGCGACTCAACTTCGTCCGCGACCTCGCGCTCGTGGAGCTGACGAGGCCGGTGACGCTGACGGCGTCCACGCTGCCCGCGTGTGTGGACTGGGGCCACCAGGAGAAGCTTCGCAGCGGCGACGTGGGTGCGGTAAGTACAGAATCGAGAACTACACGGTAAAAACGGTACCTGCTTTTCCCAGGAAGCCTATGGTAAAGACATGGGCAATTTCCAGGGGGTTCCCGGGAAAACAGGAACCGTTTTTACCGTGTACCAAGTGCACAGCCTATGGCAAAGACATAGGCAATTTCCAGGGGTTTTTTATCGTGTACCAAGTGCGCAGTGGGCCAGAAGACCGACGCCGGTGGCCGAAACTCTAGACGCGTTTTGAGCACCAGAGTCGCTAAACAGGACTCGAACCGAGCGTGTGACCTCACCAGTGGATTCCTCGTCCGGAGAGCAATCCATTGGTGGGGTCCCAAGTTCGGTTCGAGTCCCATTTAGCGACTCTAAAGCACAAAACGCAGACAATTTGATTCTTCATGATTAAAGACAACTTGATTCTTTCCATGTTTAACGTCACTTTGATTCTTTATGTTTAACGGCAACTGGATTGCGTACACTCTAAATGTTGTACAGTGAAGATTCTCCATATTATGGTGAAAATGGTGGTGCAGCTGACTTCGTAACATACCATTGAGAATTCACTGTACCTTATAGAGATTTTGACGAATTTCGTTGGTATTATGGAGAAAATCACCACCATATTATGTTGGTGCAGCCTTTCACCGTGAGACATTTACTGTGTAGGTGATAGGCTGGGGCGGCTTCCTCAACGCCCCCGTGAGCCGCACGCTGCACGCGGCCGAGCTGCCCTTCGTGCCCAAGGACAAGTGCATCGAGACGATCCCCTCCAGGCTGGTGCCCTACGTCATGTCCAACGACCGATTCTGCGCCGGCGTCATCAACGGTCAGTCCGAGGGGTGACCCACTGTGAAATTTTGTATAGTACATTGATTGTGCGAATGTGCACGATGCACTTGTCACAATATATTATGTCTAGTGCTTTGATAACTTCGCAGGGACCACAGTTGCGCACGGAGACAGTGGCGGTGGACTCGTCTTCCCCAACAAACAGCGCAGGTAAGAAGCGAGTCCTCGAGCGAGTCAACACTGTAATTCAAACGGTGAGACATCTCACCAATTTTCGGCGATACAAAATATATCACCGAAAAACAGGTCGTACACGAATGTATCACCGAAAAAATGGTCGTACACGCACACGGTAAAAACGCTTCCTGGGAATCCCAGGAATCTCCTGGAAACTCCTATACATTATAACATAGGGCTCCTGGGAATCCCAGGTTTCGTTTTGACCGTGCATGTATCACCGAAAAAAAGGTCGTGCACAAATGTATCACCGAAAAAAGGTGAGACATCAGCGAGATTAGCCCTTGTTTTCCTGGGGAAGTATCACCCTTTTTTCGGTGATACATTTGTGTACGACCTTTTTTCCGGTGATACATTCGTGTACGACCTTTTTTTCGGTGATACGTGCGTGTACGACCAGTTTATCAATGATACATTTTAGTATCACCCTTTTTCGGTGAGACAGTTATGTCTCACCCCTAAGAGAGTGAGATGTATCACTATTTGATTTTCAGTGAAGTGCTTCGCTTTCAAAGTGTGAGGAAAATCCATTGGGAGTATGCATTACAAATCCAAGAAGCGTGGACCACCCTCAGTTGACACTTGGATTAAGCAGTGTGGTGGCACTGGAAATACGAAGTTGCATGCATCCCAACCAAAATGAAATATGAATTGATCAACCAGAATAAGATGACAAAATGGATAAATTGTCATGCTGATGCGTTTGCCACTGTTTTGCAGGTGGTTCTTGCAGGGTGTGGTGTCGGTCGGGATGCCCGAACTGCGTACCTACGCTGCCTTTACCAACGTGTCGACCTTTTCCCGCTGGATGGCAGACAAGATTCAAGACGAGGAGATTCGAGCGGCAGCGGCTGAGCACCATGTAAGTACCAGTGGCCAAAGGTGGCCAAAACTCTCGAGGCGAGCTCCAGAGTCGCTAAATGGGGCTCGAACCGAACGTGTGACCCCACCAATGGATTGCTCTTCAAACGAGGAATCCATTGGTGGGGCCACACGTTCGGTTCGAGTCCCATTTAGCGACTCTGGAGCTCAAAACGCGTCTAGAGTTGTGGCTGCCTCCACCGGTCTTCTGGCCCACTGTGCCTTGGTTACTCTTTCAAGTTCTCCCCTGAAACTTCCATGGAATTTCTTTCCGGTTCGCAGGTGCCGCTGGAGATCCCGCTGGAGTACACTGCCAGCGACCTGGACGAGGAGCACCGCGTGGCCTACCACCGCGAAGACGTGGGTCTGAACCTGTTCCACATGCACTGGCACTACTTCTACTACAAGTACCTCAGCCCGCCCGAGATGAGGAAGATGGACCGCCGCGGCGAGCTGCTCTTCTACATGCACGGCCAGCTCATTGCAAGGTCGGTGGTCTACACTGTCAAATAAATTAATTTATTACCGGAAATCTGGTACGGACAATAAGCAGAAGAGTCGAGTGGGGAAAAACGAAAAAAAAAGCTTGGGACGTCCGTTGCTTACTCAAATACAGAAGCAGAAAAGCTAATTTGAAGATTCCGTTCACTCTGAAAACGTTACAAACTATTCAATCCTAACGAAGTAAAGTTGCTTGATTTAAAAAAAAAAGCAGTAGTTTGAGCATACGTAAAGCTTGCTAAGAAAATCCTTCGTAATTTACGAACTATTTCTTCGTATTACATACTGAATAGATTGTACCTTCCCCTTGCTCAGAATTCTTTGTAAGGTTTTAAGCGTCTTGCAACCAAAGAAAATTTGTGTGGGAAACAAATAACTTGTTGGTTCAACTACCATATGTTACGAGAATTTCTTATCAATGTGATTTTATTGCTTCAACGTGTTTTCTTTTGGTAGCGCCAACAGATGGTTTGTAAAAGTCATCTGTCAATAAATTTTCATTTGCTCTCCCAACAATCAACAATCCAGCTGAATCCGTAAAATCATCCGTTGAAGTATAAGTAAAGGTTGTGCCACTTGTGTGCGTTGGGTTATAAACCCTTCACTGCCCATTTCAGATACAACGTCGAGAGACTGAGCAACCATTTACCCCGAGTGAAGAAGCTTGTGCTGCGTGAGCCTATCAAAGAAGGATACTACCCTAAACTTGATACCTTGGTAGCGTCCCGCGTCTGGCCCGGCCGTCCGCCCAACACTCGCCTGCAGGTTGGTTTCGTGGGTTTCTTTGAACTTGGTTTTAATTTTTCGAGCAGTAGCTGCACGCAACTTTGTAGGGAAAGTGCCTGCGATGTGGCGACTTAAATTCAACGTGGCTGAAAAGCACCAATTGTTGTTGTTGTCGTGTTGCACGCGTGGGGCGCGCCTCAAACTGTGAGCTAATCGATCTAACAGCATGCGTTGTGACTCGTCTACTGTCATGCCACTGAACCTTGTGGCACTTTTTTTCGTTTCAGGACCTCAATCGAGATGGCATGAAAATTGATATAGAGGATTTGGAACGCTGGACTGCCCGCATTTACGATGCGATAGCCATGGGATATTTGTCGAACGTAAGTTGATGGAGTGCCATTTTGGTGTAGGTTTCACCATTCGACCACCGTTTCCCTCCCAAACTTCTATTTAACCGTAATATCAATATTTGCAGTCGACGGGTGGCATCATTCCCTTGACGGAGGAAGGAGGCGCGGAGTTGCTGGCCAACACGATCGAATCGACCTCGCTGTCTCCGAACGAGAAATTGTATGGAGAACTGACAAATTTGGTACGTATTGCTCGTGCTTAAAAGGAAAAGAAGAAAAAGGAGCCCTGCTATTAATCTTGAGACGAAATAACGTACCAGTTCCAAAATAATTTCCCTTCCACTTTCCATTGTGGGCTTTCAACTGTAGGCCACACCCTCCAAAAGGACCGTGTGATGTCACAGTCACGTGATTGAATTACATTGGCCACTCCGTTAGGACTGCCATGCAACGACTGTGGCGTGACCGACCGTGCCAGTGTTACTGTAATAACTCTGGTTGTTTGTCCTTTGCAGGGCCATATCCTTATCTCTCTGGCAGCCGACCCGGAGAACCGATACCTCGAGTCCTTTGGCGTGATGGGAGACGCTGCCGTGTCGCTCAGGGACCCCGTCTTCTACCGCTGGCACACGTACATCCAGGACATCATGTACAAGTACAAGGACACCCTGCCCAGCTATTCCCAGCGCGAGGTAACCGTCACACTGTCTTCTAGACCGGCGGAGGGGGACCAAATTTTAGACTTGTTTTGCGCTTCAGAGTCGCTAAATGGAACTCAAACCGAAGTTGCGGCCCCACCAATGGATTGCTCTTTAAGTGGGGCCGCACGTTCCGATAGTCTCATTAAGCGGCTCTGGAGTTAAAAACGCGTCTAGAATTTTGACCGCCTCCTTCTGGCCTGCCTACTGTTCGTCTCTTGGGACCGAACAGGAAATGGTTAAAATATATCTTCAAACATTTGCAAGCCACAAAATGCCGAGATTAATTGTTTTCACTATTTTTCAGCTCGGCTTCGATGACATATTCATCCGCGGAGTCGACGTTTTCTCGGAAAACTCCAAAGAACCAAATCTGCTGTCGACCTACTGGCAGGTAATTGTTTCATGCCTCTTCATCCACTGGAAGTGCACAAATTGGATGAACGCTGATGTGAGGCTTTGGTTCAATGTTCGTGGACCTCGCATTTTGATCTCCAGAGTCGCTAAACAGGACTAGAACCAAACGTGTGACACCACCAATGGATTTCTCGTTCGGAGAGCAATCACTTGGTGGGATCACACGTTCGGTGTACCCCATTTAGCGACTTTGGGGCTCGAAATGTGACTGTGCTTTGGTCACCTCTACCAGTCTTCTGGCCCACTGTGAGTGAGACAGTGAAACGGGGATTTGGAACGGTCTGAGTTCAATTGTTCAAAGTAAAGCATGCTTCAGCCAATACTAAAGTACATTCTACTTGGATCAAGAAGAACCTCATCCTAACGCAATTTCCAACGCCGTCTTATGCACGTGTTGGATGTCTTCCAGGCTAGCGACCTGATGCTGTCCCGCGGCCTGGACTTTTCGCCTCGGCAGCCTGTGTACGCGCGTCTGATCCACCTGCAGCACCAAGAGTTTTCCTACAACATCCAGGTAAGATTCCCGTCCGTTTTCGGAATTTCGAGCGATGTTCCACGTTTTTTCTAGTAAAACGAAGGCATATGAACTACGTCCTTAAGGACATTAACCCTTTAAGTCACTGTGTCCTTCCAGAAGGACGTTCCCTATTATTGCCCCTAAAACCCATTCAAACCACTGTTTCCCCATCAATGTTGGTCTGAAACGCAAGCCCCGGGTGTCCTGAGTGCAATTTGAAATTTCCAGACCGGAAATGCTTAGCGCGAGTCCGTTGGGGGGCGATGCCTAGAGCCGGTCATCGCCCTCCCGGGCAGCTGAGTGCCGAGTAATGTTTGTGGGCCTGCCATTCGGGGCAGTGAGTATATTCTTGAATGGAAAGTGTCAGAATTTGTAGTCAAAGCGTCACTCTTTCAAGTAGTGGTCCAAGATACGAGAAAACTTGAATAGTTTCCGCTGTGTGATAGTTTTGTTTTTACTGTCATTCCTATAGGACACTGTGACTTAGCGTTTCTTCAGAGGCTTCTTTTGTTTTCTCTTGTGGGTGAAACAAACAAACTATAGTTGGATCAAACGGAAGAACACGCAATGCTTTTTGGTCGATTAGTTTCCGAGTCATGGATTGTCCTTCCAGAAGGACATTGTGACTTGCTGAAAAACAAGGTTTCCACTTTTGGCGTTCCAAAGGATGAATTTTTTTAAAAATTGGTTTGAATTGATGCGTCGGCCACTTTTGAAGACACTTACAAGTCACACATTCCAAAAATTCCAGCAAATGAATGATTTTCCATGTTCATCCGAAAAGTGACTTTTTGGTACATGCTTCATACAGACTAATTACACCCGATACTGTCTTGCATGGGTCAAATAGACTTGCACGGCGGAGGATGACCCCGAAACACCAGAATACCATATCAGAGTGGCACTATTGTCAGTTTGACCTCAGGACCTTGCTTTCCAGCAAGTCACAATGTCCTTCTGGAAGGACAATCCATAACTCGGGAACTAATCGACCGATTTTGATGATATTGACATTTTTGGATTCAGAAAGGCTTCAGCATGCATACTATGGCTCTGTTCATTACTTTTTAGCCCATATTCTGGGTGCGTGACAACGGCCTTCATGGGCGTGAATCGTTGCCCTTAAGGCGCGTGAAAGACTGTTTGCCTTGAAGGGTGTAGTTTTTAAGTCTTTGTTTTGCCAGTGAGAGCGGCAGGGCATGGTTTAGATGCCTTTGTTTTACCAGTGGAGGGCATTGTTTAATTGCCTTTGTTTCATCAGTGTTGATTTATTCTCACGCATCCTTCTCACAGATTGACAACAGAGGCAACTTCCGCAAGGAAGGCTACGTCCGAATCTTCCTGGCGCCCGACGTCGACGAGCACGGCAAAACCATGGCTTTCAACGACCAACGCCACTTCATGATCGAAATGGACAAGTTTGTCGTCAAGTGTAAGTGCTGCTGATTGTGTGAAACCGATAGTTGAACAGTATTACGTTTTGTCTGTCGGTCGCTGGAGGAAAACGAGTCTATTGAAAGCTATTGAAAAACACACTCTGAAAACCTGGACAATCTCAGTCCATCTTAATTTAAATATCATTTTAATGATGACATTCCCTCGAAATCTTACGATGGCAAAATTTTAATGCCCTTCCAAAAGCGTAACCCTATTACGCGAGTTATTACACCCTCTAAGACCGTTAATGTCCTTGGGCATAGTTTTTATGCATTTCCTTAACCAGGACTGATAAAACCTTACAAACTATTTTAGGCCTTACAAAGAAATGCAGTTTGTTATTACAAAGTATTTTGAGCACACAGAAGCTTACAAAGAAAATACTTCGTCTCGTATAACAAACAAAGTATACTTACTTACTTACTTACTTTACTTACTTTACTCACTTTACTCACTTTACTTACTTTACTCACTTTACTCACTTTACTTACTTTACTCGCTTTACTCACTTTACTAACTTTACTTACTTTAATCACTTTACTTACTTTACTTACTCACTTACTAGTTCGAATTATGTATATGCTCAAAATGCTTCGTACGGTTAGGGCAGTGAGTGTTAGGGCATTTCATTCTATGTGCCTGACCGCTCTTCCCCGTATTCCAGTGAAGCCGGGCATGAACGTGGTGCGGCGTCGGTCCATCGACTCGTCCCTGACGATCCCCTTCGAGCGCACCTTCCGCAACCTGGACGCCAACCGGCCCGGGCACGCGGGCAAGCGGCGCGACGAGTTCACCTTCTGCGGCTGCGGCCTGCCCCAGCACCTGCTGCTGCCCAAGGGGGACACCGACGGCGTCAAGTACAGCCTCTTCGTCATGGTCAGCGACTACGCGCAGGACAAGGTGGGTGGAATCTCCGATTCGCTTTCAAACAGTGCACAATCGATGCGCGTTTATTAGACCTGCACAGTGGGTCAGAAGACCGGTGGAGGCGGCCAAAATAGTAGACGAGGTTTGAGCTCCAGAGTCGCTATAAGTGGCACTCGAACCGAATGTGCCACCAACATAAGAAAAAGTTTTCAGACTCTCAGCTTTCAGAGGTGTGCGAATTTTCATCCTTGAGGATTTCAGACATGTTTCTGACATGCTGGTAAAATTAACACGAGTGGGGTTCATTCGACTAAAACTCATCGAAATTCGACTGAAATTCATCGAAATTCGACTGAAATTCATCGAAATTTGACTGAAATTCATCGACATTTGTCTGAAATTCATCGAAATTCGACTGAAATTCATCGACACTTGTCCGAAATTCATCGACACTTGTCCGAAATTCATCGACACTTGTCCGAAATTCATTGAATTTGTTCACTGAAATCGACAGTGATTTCCGCTAACCGCTGCCGTTTGTCCGACGCCAGGTGGAGCAGACCCTGCAGGGCTCGTGCAACAAGGCCCACAGCCTGTGCGGCGTGTTCGAGGGCCGCTACCCGGACAAGCGGCCCATCGGCTTCCCGTTCGACCGGCGGCCGCCGTCGCACGTGCGCACGCTCCGCTCGTTCCTGCGGCCCAACATGTTCGTCCAGGACGTGGTGGTGCGGTTCAAGGACACGGTGTGCTGGCGGCGCGCAACGTGACGGTCTTCGGCACCGAGACGGACATCATCAAGCTGCCCATGCCGCTGGGCGTGAGCGCCAACCGCATCCCGGACCGGCAGGCCTGGCGCGAGCAGCAGCAGCCCCAGGACGACCCGCCCGCCAGCGGGCCGCCCAAGCAGTGGCAGCAGAAGCACAAGCGCCAGGAGCAGCCCGACGAGGAGGAGGAGCAGCAGGGCCTCGAGCAGCAGCAGCAGGAGTGGGAGTACCAGCGGCAGCAGCAGCAGCCGGACCGGCGGGAGCAAGACAAGCGGCGGCAGCAACAGGTTTGGGAATAGGCTTTCCGTGCACTGGTGAAACTAAAACGTGTGTTTGGGTCAACCTCATGCTCAGTAATCCTTGACCTATCACAACACAAGGATGAAAAAAAAAAAAACAAAAAAAACTTTGAATTTCGGAGAACACATTTTTTGACTTCACCTGAATGTTTGATGAATTTAAATGAATTGCTACCAAATTTCCACGAATTTCAAGGTGAGTTTTCACTAAATTCTGAAAAATTTCCTTGCCTTTAAATTGATGAATTTTCAAGAAACTTGAGTTAAGCTCATGATTTTCAATTAATTTGGTGTGCAAATCTTTTGGAGTTGTTTCTCCTTGTCAGAACTCATAACGAATTAACTTACCTTAAGACAACGTTAGTGATGGGTTTAAAGTAAGGATTGTTACAAATCGCTCCAAAAGATTGCACGATTAAATTCCTGAAGATGGAACAATGAGTACCGTTTCTAAAGCTTTAAAAGTCACGAATTGAAACTTTAATATTTAAGATATCGTGCCCCTTATGGGGTAAGTTAAGGATCGCCTGGTTATGCTAGAATATGTGACGCTTGAAATCCTTATGTATTTGGAGAGGGGAAATCTGAGCGGATGATGTTGTACTCTAAATGTCTTACAATGAAAATTCAGCTGTCTTGCAGTTAATTCAGCGCAAGCATAGCACAAAACAATATTATCCTTTCATAAATACAATTCAGTTCAGTATTTCCATTGAAAGATACAAAAAAACTTCGTTATGCGAGGAAAAGCTGCCTTTGTGTTATGCTTGCGCCATTCCCTATCGTAAATTTCTTCGTAAAGACATTTAAAATTTACGCTCGATTTCAAGAAGCATTAACTGATTTCACTTAAAAACTGAGTATACTACGCTTTAGTTTTACCAGTAGGAAAGAAACCAGCTCGGGAAAAAGTCCATAAAAGCTGTTGCTTGCCATTGAATATGTTTTTGACTGATCGGGAACTCCCGAACTTAAGTTTTAGTAACGCACAAGGTGAAAAAAGTCCAACGGCGTGAGACACTATGTGATTTTGTGCCTTCACAAGTGAAAGACAGATCCCAGAACTACGTTTTATGTAGTGATTGCCACGGACCCGTCATGCTGAGGTGCCAATCTTTATTTTTACAAGTCATTACACTAGCGCTTTTCATGATCTTTGACATGCCTCCATTTCGAAACATGGCTTCATTAATACTTGTTGCAATTTTATCTGTCGCAATTGAACATGTTTCTTTGTAAATAAAAGCTGTATCGTTTTTAACAGTAATGTTTCTGACTGATTTATTTGACAAATATGCAACCGTAAGGACGGATCCAACCACGTTCTTTCCCCATTTTATTGGGTATCTCCCTCCCCCCGCACAATCGGCCAGAAAACCGGTGGAAGCTTTCAAAATCCCGGACGCGTTTTGAGCTCTAGAGTCGCTAAATGGACTGGAACCGAACGCGTGACCCCACCAATGGATTGCTCTCCGAACAAGGAATCCATTGGTGGGCTCACACGCTCGGTTCGAGTCCTGTTCAGCGATTCTGCAGCTCATGACGCGTCCAGAGTTTTGGCCGCCGCGCCGGTGTTCTGGCCCACTACTTTTTTCCCTACAAGAGTCGTTTTCGAAGTACTTTAACCTTTCTATTTGGCAGGACCAATTAAAGCGACAAGAGGAGCAGCAACAGAGTCAAGAGCAGCTTCGGCGAGAGCAGCTTCAGAAAGAGCAGCTTCAGAAAGAGCAGCTTCAGCAAGAGCAGCTTCAGCAAGAGCAGCTTCAGCAAGAGCAGCTTCAGAAAGAGCAGCTTCAGCAAGAGCAGCTTCAGCAAGAGCAGCTTCAGCAAGAGCAGCTTCAGCAGCAAATGTGGGAAGAACGGCAGAAACAGCGACAGCAACAAGACTGGGCCGGGCAGCAGCGGGACTGGGAGGAGTACCAGGCACGGCTGCAGGAGTGGCAAAGGCAGCAGAGGATCCAGCAGGATCGCTGGCAACAGCAGCAGCAGTGGCGGGACTCTAGTGCGCCCGATGTCGTCTACTTTGTATGATCTCGCTAGTACACTGTTAAAAATTCCGTACTTTTTTTACGGAGACGGTACAGAAAAATATGGTACGGAAGTACGGAGAAAAGTACGGAACGTCCGTACTTGCTCCATTTGAAACCATGTAAACGGGTACGGGAAAAAGGTACGGAAGTTCCGTAGTTGGCAAGTACGGACGGTCCAGGCAAATTATTGACCAGACATGTTCCGTACTTTTTCCGTACCTTTTTCTCACAGTGTGCACGACTTTTGCTTAACTCGGTAACTTCCACCCTGAGAAAATTTCGGCTGTCACGTCATGACGATTTCAAGGCTTATATTCTTGACTAGAATGTCATCAAACAAACCAATTCATGTCATTGTTGTCACGCCTTTGGAATAAGTATTGCAGTTATAGTGGAAATGTTATCAATTTGAGATGACTGTCAGCGTTTTAAAAGTGATGAAAATGACGTTAACGTCAATGAATATTTAGTCATAAAGAGAGAACAAATTTGTGAATGCGTTGAGCGTATTGAGCAACGATAGCGCAAAGAAATCTCAGGGTGCGAGGTGGCCGATCACATGTGCTTTATACGATGCAACCAAACGCTGCCCAACGCGCCTAGCACAACTAGACAATAGACACAATAGTACAAATCTGAATTAAACGCGCCACTGCGTAGTTTGCTATTGGTGTAAAGACGGTTTGGACAATCACAGGTCCTGTAAGAAGGAAATTGACAAGGAATGCTGGAAATAGATTTTAAACCGAGCACGTCAAGTGGACGATTTTGGGTTGAACCTCTCCTCTTTTTCGTTTCTTTCTTTTTACGGAAAACCATGCATCATGTCTGAGTTCTTGCCTACTCGATTGCTAAGCAATTGTAACCAATCCATTGTTCCTTTCCTTTAATCTGATTCTGAGCAGTTCTGAGCCGTCCATGATCCTCTTCCTATTTTTGTATACACTAATAAAACTTTTGGTGCTATGCTCGTAGATTATACATAGCGTAAGGCACATTTTCTTGCACAATTTATTATGTTAATATGTTTAATATTTTAATGGGCACTCATGTGATCAATTCGCGACATGATAGCGGAGTGATTTCTTCTTTATTTATGTAGAATGCACATCGAGTCGGTACTGCCGATTCGAATTGGTCTTGGGCTTTACAAAGTTCACGCGTTGAAAGGTTCAACCCTGTCAAAGATATCAAAATGTTGGTCAAACTAACCTCCTGACGCAGCGGTCAGCAGCGGCTTAAGGGGAGGTTCTGGTGAAAATCTTGCCATTTTCCAAATGGATCCTACAGTCATAATTTGTTCGGAATATAAAATTTTTCATTTAGGAGACTAAAATTTGACTTTTGAAGGCACATGCCAGGCTGTAAACCCAGTCGAATTGTCTTTTTGAGCCTATTTTGGCTGTATCTTAAAAAATCTCCTTGCGCATACTAATTTGTCGTAAAAGGTTGACCTTGACATTTTTCACTTCTTCGACTCATTTTCAAAAGATTCCGGCATGCAGAGCTCAAAACTTCCATTATATTATTAGTTATTAGCTTTTAAAGCTGAAAAGTCCCTAAAATTTGTCTATTTTGTACATTTTTGATCAATTACAGTGAAATGCTTGGTTAGAAAGCTTGCGAATAAAAATGCAATTGACATTTTGAGATGTGCATGCCGGCATTTTTAAAAAATGAATCGAAGAAGTGAAAAATGTCTAAGCCAACCTTTTACGACAAAATAGCATGCGCAAGAAGATTTTTAAAGTTATAGCCTAAATGGGAGAAAAAGGCTCTGCGACTGGGTTCAGGGCATAGAATGTGCCTCCCCAATAAAAATTTTTAATAAATACTTGATAAGACATCAAATTTTTAACAAATTTTCACAGTGGGACCTATATAGAAGAAAATAGCATTTTCACCAGAACCTCCCCTTAACAAAACCTGCTAAAATGTATTTTTTAAAGTTCAGCGAAAAATGTTAGTACTGATACCGTTTCCTAGGAGAAAACAGGCTGTAACGAAGTGAAATTGACGTCACATAGCTGGGACGCCCATCAACTGCCATCTCAGACCAGCTTATTACATTTTAATTTTTTTAACCAATTGTCATTGAATGTGCTGTTAGTTCTACATGGAACTGAAATCGGGTTAGGTGATAAACAGAAGATGGAAGAATTAGCACACGGCTGTGAAATAAATCTGTAATAAAATATGTTTAGATTTTAAATGGGTTTTCCAATCCTGAAATCCTACAATGCGTTTGCTTGTTTCTTTTTCTGCTCCAGCATCACATACTCCAATTAAGGGCATTTAAAATATCTGGTCCCGAACGTTACAACACACTTGGCTTTTTTCTAACCAAAGTGGTCGACCAACGCCGTCTAAAACACTGATACAGAACTCTGCTACGGGTCTAAGAAACAGATGACCGCTGCTCAATCACCTTTTACACATTCTGTTTGGTTTTCAATATGGCACCGCCAATGACGGAAGTTAATTTCTGGTGCGAGGAAAGGCTGTAGACGATGGGTTGCCTACCTTTCGGGCGCACGCTCAACCACAAACATCAGAATCAGTTCGGAGTCAGGGTGGCTCGGGTAAGGCGACTGCGTCGCTGAAAAGGAAGTGGATTCAAACACTCAGCAGATAATTCCTAATTTCACGACTCCAATCCGGTGTTATCTGTCTAAGTTACAGCGCAGAGGTCGCCAGAGTTCCGGTGGCTTGGTTGGTTGAGGAGATGTCTGCCGCGGGAACAGCCTGGGTTCGAATCCCAGGTGGAAAGATTGGGCGGACGTGTTAGCAATCACTGGTAAAACTAAAGCGTAGTATAACCCACTGTTTTCAAGCGTAATCAGTTTACGCTTGAAATCAAGCGTAACAGGCTCATCCGCCAAGATTTTCCCTATCTAAATGCATGGGGAAATTTCTAGCCTATGCTTGATTTCAAGCGTAACGTCTTCAAGCGTAACTTTATGTTTGACTCAAGCATAGAGTTACGCTTCAGTTTTAGCAGTGATGGCTTGGTGGCTCAGACGGTAGAGGTGTTGGCCATCAAATGTTGGCCACAAAGTCGTGGGTTCAAATCGCAGGCGGAATAACTTTTCCTTAATTCAGTTCTCAAATCCGATACCATCAGTCTAAGATTGGGCAGGTTGCCCACCAGTGTCTCGGTGGCTCGGATGGTATAGGCGGTGGCCGTCACGAGAGAGGTCTGGGTTCGAATCCCGGGCGGGTTCATCTTTTCCCGAATTCAGTTCTGAGATCCGTTACCACCACTCTAAGATTGGGCAGACCCATCAGCAGTGGCTTGGTGGCCCAGACGGTACAGGTGTTGGCCACCACGTGTCGTGGGTTCGAATCCCAGGCGGGTTCATCTTTTCCCTAATTCAGTTCTCAAATCCGCTACCATCACTCTAAGATTGGGCAGATGAGGCATCAGTGTCTCGGTGGCTCGGATGGTAGAGGCGGTGGCCATCACGAGAGAGTCCTGGGTTCGAATCCCAGCCGCAATAACATTTTGCACACGCCGCTACGCACTGAACGGCGCCGTGAGGGTAGGCCACCCATCTGACACGTCACCGCGCCCTGTTGAAAAATAAAGAGGCATGCTGGCTATAAGAAAAGCAAACTCGCGTTTTTCCCCTCCTGAAAAGGCAAAAGAGTTCCCCTCATCGGGTCCCCACCCCCCCTACCCCCCCTCCCCGGAGGGAGGGTGGAGTAGAGGCATCATAAAGGGTATATGGAAATTCAGTCCCGGGAATACTCCCAGACGAACCGACCTGGTGGCGAACCAGGGCCTCAGAGAACTGTCGTGCCGCCGCCCTGCCCACTACGCTACGGCGACACTTACCGTACGGGCACGTCCAATCTTAGAGTGATGGTACCGGATCTGAGAGGTAAATGCAGGAAAATATTCAGTTATCCCGGGATTCGAACCCTGGGTCTTCTCGTGGAAGCCACCGCCTCTGCCATCCGAGCCACTGAGACACTGATGGTGAGACCACCCAATCTTAGAGTGATGGTAACGGATCTGAGAACTGAATTCGGGAAAAGATGAACCCGCCTGGGATTCGAACCCACGGCCATCTCGTGGTGGCCAACACCTCTACCGTCTGAGCCACCGAGACACTGACAACCGGCCCGCTTTATCTTAGAATGATGGTACCGTATCCGAAAAGTAAATTGGGGAAAGGATTGACTCGCCTAGGATCTCACCCATCCTAGAATCCTAGCTACTTTTCAGATCGGGTACCACCGCTCTAAGATTGGAAATCGCCAATATATGTGTGGCGCCGCAGCCAGTATGTGTTTATTTATGTATTTATTTCATCACCGCGCTGTGACATGTCGAATGGGTGGCCTACCTTCACGGCGCCGTCCAGTGCGTAGCACCCGCGGTAGCACCGGCGGCAAAAGACGGATTCGGCGGGGAGTCGAACCCAGGACCTTCTCGTGCCCGCCGACGCCTCCACCAGTTTTCCAGAACCAAAACCAGATTCCAGCAAATTTCAAGTGTCTTTTTCTTTTTTGCATCCCTGCTGCCCTACTTGAACAATCACTATCTAGCATGGTAAATCTGTAACCTGAAACGCAAGACCATGGAAGAGCATCACGAAGAGGAACGAATGCCTGAGGCTTAGCAGTGGACGCGTGTGGACGCGTGCCTGCTGCGCCGCGAGACAAGCGCGAGGCCAGGAGGATAAGGAGGAGGGGGGAGGGAGAGAGAGAGAGAGAGAGAGAGAGAGAGAGAGAGAGAGAGAGAGAGAGAGAGAGAAAAAGAGAGGGGGGGGGAGGAGAAGAGGGTCCCCTACGCTAGCTAAGACGCTCATTCCAAAATGGAGGCGTCTCTCTCTTGCACTCATGGCACGGCCCGGCGCGGATCAAAGAGAGAAACCTGCGGGGCCCGCCGCTCGGGACCCGTCGCACAGTGGGCCGGTGGAGGCGGCCAAAACTCTAGACGCGTTTTGAGCTCCAGAGTCGCTAAATGGGACTCGAACCGAACGTGTGACCCCACCAATGGATTGCTCTCCGAACGAGGAATCTATTGGTGGGGTCACACGTTCGGTTCGAGGTCTGTTTAGCGACTCTGGAGCTCAAAACGCGTCTAGAGTTTTGGCCGCCTCCACCGGTCTTCTGGCCCACTGTGCGTCGCTGGGGACCCGCCTGCAGACACTGAGTCAGAGTCGCTCCTCGGAATCTGCTCCGCCAGTGTGCCTTCCGGTGGGCCGCGGCGCGCATCGAGGGGCCGGCCACGCCTGAGGCCGCCGCGCGTCGCCGTCGGGGAAGCCCCTTCTGGGCGTCGGCTGGCCGACGCGGTGCCATGAAGCACCCTCGCTGCCTCGAAGAACGACGGGCAGAGTCGCGGACGAGAACCTCAGCAGGACGGACGGGTGAGTGCCGCATTCGCAGTGGACATGCCGGCTGGCGGCGCGTTTCAACCGCCAGGGACTCTGCATGTTATGTAATGACTGCCACGGAGCGCTTCACAGCGGGCGCCGGCGGACAAAACTCCAGACGCGTTTTGAGCTCCAGAGTCGCTGTTTGGTACTCGAACCGAACGTGTGACCCCATCAATAGATTGAGGAATCCATTGGTAGGGTCACACGTTCAAGTACTGTAAAGCTGCTCTGAAGCTCAAAACCCGGCCTGGATTTAGACCGCCTCCACCGGTCTTCTGGCCCCCTGTGAGGCAGTGCCCGAGGTACTGCCCGCAAACTGCTAGGGAAAGCCCCAACAAACCCACAGAGATTCCAAGCAATTAATATTTATCAGGTTTCAAATACAAACGAATGCATGCGAGGGCTCGTTGTACTGTACTCTTTGTACAATTCTCTTTGAACTTCCTACAATCCTCGTTGTCCTCTTTTTTTTACAGTTTGCGTTGTACTTTTGTTGTGCTGTTCACACTTCTTCTTTGCACTGCAGGAACATGCGTGGTGCGGGGGCGGCGGCAGTCCGCATCGCAGCACGGCGCAGCGCAGCGCCCGGCCAGTCGCAGGATGCAACCAACGTGCCCAGTGGTGGGTACCAAGAGGGACATAACTTTGAATTTCAGTGTACAAATTTCTGAATTCTACGTAAATGTCCGATGAATTTCCATGAATCCGAGCGAAATCACCTTGAATTTTCGATATAATCTTCACTGGGTTTCGAAGAATTCCTATAAATTTTGAATTGAAAGTATTTCATGAATGTTGAAGAAGTGTGACAAAAATTCAAGGTGGTCCTATGAATTACGGTGTACAAATTTTTCGGAGTTGTTTGTCCTAGGTGGGTACGTGCAGTCGGCCGCGGAAGCGACAGAGAGGTCCCCGTTGATCGGCACCCAGAGCAGCTCCTACCTCGATCACCATGTACTCGTGCCTGAGGCGGACCCGGTAAGGAAATGTGCCAATGTACTAACAGACGCGTATCGTTAAGTCGCCATAACCCGTTCTTTTGTCTTTTGCTCAGAGCTTCTTCAGTTTCCGCAAGCTGTGGGCTTTCACGGGGCCTGGATTTCTTATCAGCATTGCGTACCTCGACCCTGGAAACATCGAAGCAGATCTCGAGGCGGGGTCTCTAGCCCAGTACAAGGTTTGTTTTAGCGCCAATGCAATGGTCGGCGGCCTGTTGTACATTTCTGGCCTTACGTAAAAACAATAATAATCATGAGACATTGACCGTGATAGCAGATGACAGAAACGAATAAGTTAAGTCAAATTTTTATAAATAATATTTATGCTTAAGTTATTTGTTTGAAGAAAACTGATCAAGTGACCTTTGGGCACAAATTATGGAACTCAAGGAACGCTTTATTCTCTTGTGATCATGTCCAAGAGGGACAAGGTACAAATTAAACGTTTGACGGCAGTTACGTGTCACTTAAAAGATCTCTGGTCTTAGCTCAGATTTGTGTTGCTCAGAGTTTCTTTATACACATTTAGATATACAAGGAAGAAACCTCACTGTTCCTGAATTGGTTATTTTCAGCCTTTGTAGTGATTTATAGCCCTCCAGACTAGGTATCACGATGTACACTGAAATTCCAAACGCTATGAGTATTGCACGTATGGTGCAATGCATCTGAGATATCGCACCAGACGTGCAATGCCTCAACCATATTGCACCTTACGTGCAATGCATCCCGAAAATGCCCTGTGCAAATGCATGGGAATAGGGAGGCATTGCACTTCATGTGCAATGCTTTTGCATACCAATTGACGCTATACTCATAGCGTTTGGATTCTCAGTGTATTCGCACCCATTTCGTTGTCTGCGCAGCTCCTCTGGGTCGTGCTGTGGTCCTCGGTGGCGGGGCTGCTCCTGCAGCGGCTGGCAGCCCGCCTGGGGACCGTGACGGGGCGGCACATGGCCGAACACGCGCACGGCCAGTACCCCCGGCCGGTGCGTATCCTGGTCTGGCTGATGATCGAGCTCGCCATCATCGGGAACGACATGCAGGAGGTCATTGGAACTGCCATCGCTTTCTACCTGCTCTCCAACCGCATGTGAGTTGATTGGTGTTCCGAGCACGTTTGGAAAGATTTTTGCTTGGGTTAATTTTGAAAAAGTTCCTTATGTAAAACAACGCTTTCATTCGACGAACGTGACATCACGTTGAAACAAATGTGACATAATGTGACGTTCCTTTGAGCCTAGTGTCACATTCGCGTGAATCAGGCATAAATTAGCTTATTCACATTCAAACGGATGTGATACAATGCTCAAAGGAACGTGACATTCTGTCACACTCGTGCCAACGCGATGTCACGCTCCTGAAATGAGAGTGTAATCCATAATTTTTGCCCCTAAGTGACAAGAAATGTCGCCAAATTTTGTTTGCGCTGTGGCTAACATTTTCGCGCTTTCTGTTGCAGCATCAAGGTGTGGCAGGGCGTGCTCATCACCATCTTCGACACATTCACGTTTCTCCTCATAGATAAATACGGAATGCGGAAACTGGAGCTCTTGTTCGCAACTTTCATTGGCATTATGGCCATCACTTTCGGTTACGAGGTTCGTATGCTGCTATGGTTGTAGAAATTAGAGTGAAAAAAGAAAACCTGGCGAGAGCACTAATTTGAAAGAATTGACCAAGCCCTTTATCCTGATATAGAGTAGGACGAGCTTCCAAGATGTTCTTGACTCTAAAAAAATATAGAAATTTCCCGTACTTCCCGTATACTAAATGCTATGTACAATTTTGTACGAGAAATCACAGTTTTTGTGCACACGAACTTTTCGTACAAATTTTGAACGAAAAACTGCACATATTTCCCCAATTTTAAGCAAAATCGCGTACAAATTAGTACGAAAATTTCGTGTACACACAAAATTGTGTCTCGTGCAAAAATTTGTACGAAAATATTTACTATGCGTTCTATAAGGGAATAAGACGGAAACCGCTCTAGAAAGACGAAGGCGGAAGCCACGAGGGGCACATTCTATGATGAATGAACAGAATTGCACAGCTCTACGTAGATGGCCACCCATTGTTACTAAATTACGTCAGAAAATTTTGAGAACGAGATCGTCCAAAGCGTATGCATTTTTATTTTTCAGTACGTCGTTTCAGCTCCCCCTCAAGGGGAAGTCATCAAAGGCGTGCTGTTGCCTTTGTGCGAGGGCTGCGGGACCCCGGAACTGCTTCAAGTTATATCGATAATAGGGGCCATAATAGCTCCACACAACCTGTACCTGCACTCGGCTCTAGTCAAGGTGATGATAAAATAGGCTCGCTAGTGAGCTCTAGGCCTCAACGTGTGAAGGAGAAAGGCTTACGCGCAGCATGCAGTTTTCATTGCAAAGCCGGTGGTAAGTTTGCCTGCCACAAAGCCATTTTGAGTGCCAAAAATTGGCCAGCTTATGAACATTTCCGACCAAAGCTTGCCAAATTTTGGCATTCGAAACGGCTTGCCAAATTTACGGCAAGCAAACTTACCACTGGCTTTGCAGTGATTATGGGTCAAGAATGTAGTTGTAAATGTGTACTTGCAAAGTATGCATATGTAAGTGTGAACTTGCAAAGTATGCATTTGTGTGTATTTAGTAGACGGTTACGGCAAGGGTTACGGTTAGATTGCTAGTGCACTGTCAGCAACAGCCGGTGTTCATTGCATGTCCCTTTGTTCGTCACAGACTCGTGATATAGACCAAAACAGACCAGCAGATGTTCGCGACGCAAACAAGTACTACTTCGTCGAGACCAGTATCGCAGTCTTCGTCTCTTTCATCATAAACTTGTTTGTGGTGTCCGTTTTTGGAGAAGGCCTGTATCTCAGAACGAACCAGGAAGTGGTAGGTATTTTCTGATTCAAAGTACTCACTCTACTACTGCACATCCATTCCCCTATCATATGTCATGACTATTCTGTTTTGTCTTTTTCGACAGAGAAACGTTTGCCTGGCTAGTGGCAGCACCTACGCAGATATATTTCCGGTACACACAAGAAATTTGTGCAAACATAAGACGATTTAAATTTGTTTATATTTCGATTTTTTTTCTTTTTCTTTGCTTTTCCATTGGATATCAGTTTGGGCGACACTCTAGTTTCAGGAGCGTGACGTCACATCTGCTGAAACGAATGTGACGAAATTTCACGTTCCTTGAGCAATGTGTCACATTCGTCTGGATGTGAATCAACCGTAAATAAGCCTATTCACATTCTGACGAATGTGACCCAATGCTCAAAGGGACGTGACATTCACGGTAAAAACGGTACCTGGTTTTCCCAGAAAGCCTATGGTAGAGACATAGGCGATTTCTAGGGAGCAGTTCCTGGGAAAACCAGGAACCGTTTTTATCGTGTTTTGTCACATTCGTATCAGTGTGATGTCACGTTCCTGCAGTGAGAGTGGAGTCGAAATGTTGAAAGGTAACCTTGAAACGTCCTTGTTTTTTCTCCACTACAGAACAACGGTGATATCGTCCAGGCAGACATGTTCCAAGGCGGCATTTTCCTCGGCTGCAAGTTTGGTGTCGCGGCCATGTACATCTGGGCAGTCGGTCTGTTCGCGGCGGGTCAGTCTAGCACCATGACTGGCTGCTACTCTGGCCAGTTTGTAATGGAGGTACGTTTCCAACTTTTCAGATTTGTCAGTGAGTGCACAGCAAGTTACCGTGTAGCGTGACTTGATCTGTCCCTTTCCAGGGCTTCCTTCACCTCCAGTGGAGCCGCTGGCGAAGGGTGCTGTTCACCCGGACGCTGGCCATCGTGCCCACGCTGTGGGTGGCGTACTACAGCCGAGTGGAGGAACTGTCGATCATGAACGACACTCTCAACTCGATCATGAGCGTCCAATTACCCTTCGCACTTCTGCCCCTAATCGCCTTTACATCCAATAAACACGTGATGGGAGAGTTCGTGAACTCTGTGTAAGTAGGGACCGTGGCACTGTGGAAGAACGGCCCCGGCGGTCAAAACTCTAAACGCGTTTTGAGCTCGAACCGAACGTGTGACCTCACAAACAGACTCCTCGTTCGGAGAGAAATACCTTGGTGGGGTCACAAGTTCGGTGCGAGCCCCATTTATCTTCTTTGAAGCTCAACACGCGTCCGGGATTTTGACGCCGCCCCCACCGGTCTTCTGCCCCACTGTACGTCGGCTTGTTGCACAACACGACTGAAAATTTGAAAAGATTCTGCGCCAGCCAGTGTCGCGCCAAAATTTGTTCAGACCAAAATATCACACCACAAAAGGGTGGGACTTCCATATTTGACCCCGCATGGACCGCATTGACTGGGTTCAAAATTCTAACCACATTCTTGGTCAAAACTATGCCTCACTATTTAGTGGGAGAGACACTTTTGTCCGACAAAATTTTGGCGAGACTTTCAGGTCCCTTACTATTGAGGAAATCTGACTTCATAAGTCATTTGGACATTGTAAACTCATCAACTCTGACATTAATATTACAAGGATTACGCGAGACCGCGTTATGTGAACAGCTTCCATTCTCGCTCTGTTTCGATCAAATCTGCGTGGCATATGACATTGCCTGGGCCAGCTGCTTCGACAATCGTTGTCCAAATTCGATTCCTAACTTGTTTTGACTAGAAAAGACAAACGTGTTGCTTTAATTTTTCCTATTCTACACTAAATGTCTTACATAAATAACATTATGTTGCACTTGAATCCAGCGCAACGCATAGATACTCAAGACAGAAGTTTCTTCAGAAAACTCGATCTTTCCCGCATTTTCATGTTTCGGCATAAAACCAACCAGTTGGGCAGATGTGAAACCTTCGTTGCGAAGCCAAAACATACCCAGATAACGCTTGTGCCATTCTCCCCATATTAGGGGAATGTGCTTCATGACAACATTTGCACAGTCTGCGACAAACCATTCAACAACTAGTAACCAGGCTTCAGCTATCGCTAGCCAAATGCATCATACACGTTCTCCGTCAAGAATTGAACACAGTGGCGTTTCTTTTGTTTTCCCGCCCAGGCCTTCCACGCTGCTGGCACTGTTTCTGTCTGCGGGCATCATAGCAGCCAACACATTCTACGTCATCCAGGCTCTGCCCGGCGGCACGCTGTGGATAGCCCTGTGCGCAGTGCTGGGCATTTTCTACGTCAGTCTGGTCGCCTACTTGGCCCTTCACATGCTGTTCAGCATGGGCCTTTTCGAGGGACTCAGCAGGAAGGCGGTACGTTCACTCATTTACCTAAAGGGTTCGTCATTTTGATGACCCTACCATTTTGAGCTTTTGCCTGCGTTCGTCTCAAGGAGAACAGAAAAGTCAACATTCAAAGCGAGTGATAGAATCAGTGAGACAATCCCTCACAAGAATGCACATGGAGTGGGATATATCCCGACGTGGGCCCGACGTGGGCCCGACGTGGGCCCGACGTGGGCGTGAGAAAAAGTCGAATTCGAGACATCGAACTGTGGTTTGAGAAGTCAGCAAACCATGTAAATCGGTGAAATCAAAAGTCGGATAGATTTGGGGAGCAATGAGCATCGATATTATAACCCGTAGAATGACTTTGCCTTTGTTTCTTTTTTCAGTTTGTGAAGAAATACCTCTTCTATACGCCCCTGTTTATGGAAAATTCTCAACATCAGCCCACGGATTCTACGGAGGGCGAGAACACTTGACACGTCTGCGACGCATCGAACGCACCCCTCAATGGAGAGGGCCATTTTCTTTCATCCCGGGATGGCCTTCCTGGAAGGCCTTCCTGTTCAAAACAAGACCGGAAAAGATATTCATCTCTGGGCCGAATGAATTTAGAAGCATGCAGTGGAATTTCAAGAGCGGTATTTAAAAACGAATCTAGCGGATAAGAACGGAACAGCGGTATTAAAAAATTTTGAAACTATTTGAACCCGCCCAACGAACAAGCAGCTTGTAAGCTAATATAAACATCATGAACTAAAAAAAATAAAAAAAAAAATAAACCACAGAGGTTACAGGAAACAACTTTTATTAGGTGTTGAAAAGCGTAATTCAAAAGCATTCGAGTGTTAACGAACTACTTTTTATCCACCCAATCAAAGACACATTATCATTATTGCACAAAAACCAAAACAAAGCGTTCGCAAATCAGGAACACAATAAGAAAATACAACAGAACAGCAACTTTCATAAGACCAATAAATCACTCCATTACAACATAAGATAACCATCCCTTAAGTTAAGTTGTTTTTTTTCTTTTGTATTGCATTTTATTGTTAAGGGCCTTAACAATAAAATGCAATACAAAAGAAAAAAACAACAAAAAAACAAACAAGAAACAAATTAAGTGAGTCCGTAGAAACCTAAAACCTAACACTGTTTAAAGTGTTTTGTCCAACCAAAGGTGGAGAGCGTCAGTCACGGGCCATCACGTGAATTCAACAATACGATGGTACACAGAATTTACACCGACAGTAATATTACTGAAACGATTTTCCTAAGCGGAAACCCTTTTGCACCTAAAGAGGCGGGCCCCTTGCGCAAACGTCTCCACATACATAAAAGCTTGGTACGTATTAAACAGGCTTCTTCTTAGCGTGGGTCCTGTTGTGCCTCGCAAGATGGGACGAATCAGAGAACTTCGTTCCGCACACTTTGCACTGGAAAGGCTTCTCCCCAGTGTGGATCCTTTCGTGCGTGTTTAAAGCGGTTGACCGGGCAAACTTCTTTCCACACACATCACACTGGAAAGGCTTCTCGCCAGTGTGGATCCTTTCATGCGCCTTCAAGTCACCTGATTGGGTAAACTTCTTTCTGCACACCTTGCACTGGAAAGGCTTCTCCCCGGTGTGGGTTCTTGAATGCACTTCAAGATTGAACGCCCGGGTGAACTCCTTGCCGCAGTGTTGGCAGGCGTGCCGCTTGCCGCGCGCTGCGAGGTGCTTCTCCAGGCCCGCCTCGGCATCCAAGGCCGCTCCACGCTCCGCACACTGCGAGGCGACAGCGCGGTCCGCCCCTCCGTCCCCAGCCGTGCCGCTGGCCGCGGAGTCCTGCTTGGCGTGGCCGACTCCAGAGGCGAGCGAGAAGGTGGCGTCGATGTGCAGCCACGGCTCCTCAGCCTCCAACCCTGCAACCAAACGCCCACACCGTCAACAACGCCTCGCGGTGCCCAACTCGCCGCCGTTGGCGTGCAGTGCAAGCTGCAGGTGGCGGGGCAGTGGTCTCGCAGTGCAGCGGCCTCTCTGCCAGTACGCACCGTTAGACCAGCTCTTATTTTGCGAAAGTGAGAATTCCGCTGGGTTCCCCGACTCACAATGACCGAAATGGTTAGAAAACTCTTAATTTGAAAGCCCAAGGTCGTCAGACTTACCAAAGCCGTGCCCCAAGACCCTATATAAAGGCAAAAAGCCAATTTTTAGGCACGAAGTAGCCTTATAGTATACCCAGGACTCAGCCGGCTCGAGATTTGATTTGTGTGGCCCTTTATGCATTTCGGAAGTTTTCTATACGATTTTAATGAGATTTTGCAGACTAGTAGAACTTTGAACGCTGATTCTGATGTTGAAATCTGGTCAAAAATTTGGTGGCCAATTTTGAGAAATTTGCTGTCAAAATCGCCGTTTCCATGGCAAAACTCGACTCGTCAAAGGAAAAAAAAGGGAGTGGGGGGAGCCGAGCCGGGGCGGACCAATAGCGGAGCTTCTTTTTGGGTCTGTACAGCTTACTCCAAAAGCTGAAAAAGCAACGTTCGAAATGAAAAATTTCTTTGACTGCAGGTAGACAAGATGCAACAATAGAATTGGTGCCGGTTCGAACGCAGTTTTTCGGGTAGAACTATCCAATAATACTTCTTGATTGGAGTGTTTTTGGACATGCGCAGTGTTGTTGTTGTGATTCAGTTAGCACTAGGACCACTTCGCTCCACCTCGCGACTTGCAGTGCTCATGTTCCTCGAACAAGACTCACCCGCGTTTCGAAACCATCCCTCCCGAGTTTATGAAGTTTGTCAAACCAACCGTCGTGGTGTTGATACGTTGTAAGGGAGAACTATTACACAGAATTGAAGAAAACATGACTAGAGAACCATAGCCTTTTGAAACAAGCCAAACAATTCAACGTCCACAACGATGGAGGGGCAGTTTTAATGCGCGACTGCTGGCGCTTTCAGCTTCGCGATTTTCGCAAGGGCGCAGACGCCGAGAAAATAGTTGCCAACCCGAGAAAATTAATTTACTGACTTCTTTCTGCTAAGAACATTTTAACCATGATGGACTTCAAAGATGTTCCATTGTCAGAACACTGCGGAATACATTAGCATTGGAATTTTTTGAATTTACCAGCATTTTGATTTCTATTTATTGTCAAGTTTAAATTTCGACGGATGGCACATCGACCACATTGGTACCACTGCCATTGGTAGTCCCCTGAGCCACAACTTCACAACACCACCCACTTCTTTTCTTTCTCCACACTCTTACACAATAATCAAATTGACTTCGTGACTCCTAGGATTTCTTGAAATCGTATTTTTTTTTTTCGGATTTTCACCAAACTAAGTTTGACTTTAAAGTAAACAGGCCATAATACGACCCTTTGGGCGAAAATTTCGTCCGTTTTGCGATACCTCGACTCCTTCATGCCCAAACGGCCTACCCAACCGCGAGCATAAAAAAGACGCCGCGCGGGCGGTTGGGGAGGCCGCTTGGGCATGAAGGAGTCGAGATATCGCAAAACGGACGAAATTTTCGCCCAGAGGGTCGTATTATGGCCTGTTTACTCTAGAGTCAAACTTAGTTTGGTGAAAATCCGAAAAAAAAAATTTGGCGTTTTGCCTTTATATAGGGTCTTGGGGCACGGCTTTGGTAAGTCTGACGACCTTGGGCTTTCAAATTAAGAGTTTTCTCACCATTTCGGTCATTTTGAGTCAGGGAACCCAGCGGAATTCTCACTTTCGCAAAATAAGAGCTGGTCTAACGCACCGTCCTTGCCGCCTTGCCCCGAGGTCGCGGCGCTGCGTCCACGCCGCGGTGCTCCTGCAGGAGGGCTGCCGCAATGCTCTGCCTCCGTCTCGACGCGCCGGGCACCTGCAAGCAGCACGCCGTCAAAGTACTCACAACTAAACTAGCCACCGTGCTAATTTTGCTACTAATAGGGAACCTGACAAAACGCAGCAACAATGTGACAAGATGTCACGTTGGTTTGAGCATTGTGTCACATATTTGAAAGAGAACCAGCAGTAAAGAGTCATCTTCGATAAAAGACATTTAAGAGCACCATGGCAAACGGGTGAGAACGACAGCACACGATAAATGACAAGCATCACGGACATTTAGGGCAGGGCGATTGCAAGCCATGGATCGCAAAGGTGCAGACAGGGGCTGCAATGCTGAAGGCAGCCAGTGAATCGTTCGTCACAATCAATACGATTATCAAACGATGCATGCAGGTGTCCTGGAGAACGTGAAGTGTAGGCTCAAGTGGAAGCACTTGCATCTTCTGCGGGGACTAAAAGAGTGCTGAGTGATGTGGTCAGAATGTCACAGGTGAGATCCGAAGACTAACGTTTGGCCCCAGCCAGCAGCCACTCACCGTCCGAGTCGTCCTGTCCAGCGCCCGGGGCGCTGAGGCCACACCGCGCTCCTCCTGCTGGGGGGCTGCCGCACTCCTCTGCCTTGACGCGCCAGGCACCTGCAAGCAGCACAGCGTTGGCGCCAAAATCAACCACAGCATCAACCACTTTCCCTACTCAAAACTAACTTCAATGCACTTTAAAATACCGCACCATTAAAACAAGCGGAACGAAATTTAATAACTGCACTGCAGCGAGCAATTTATCAAGGAAACAGCCAGACCGAATTCGCAGCAAAAATTTGTAGCTCAAGCATTCTAGAATAATGACATTGACACTGCACCAGGTCACGTGACCACACACCAACACCAACCGCCGCAGGGGCATGCACAGACCAACACAGCACGGCAAGGCACGTGAATGTGAACTGGGTAACGGAAGAAAGTCGACACACAACGCACGACGGGGCTGAGCATTTTCATTCAATATGGTCGGGTCAGAACAAAAAACACATCGTAATTGCAATAAACCAAACATTTCGCGCCAAGAAAACCCTCAATCAGGGATACAATCGGAGAAGTAGAAAGTAACAAAACTTTTAATTGACAATAAATCACTCGAAAAAGGACAAAACTTTAGCATCCCAATACAATCAACAGCCAACAAAGAAAATACATCATATTCCAACCCAGCCAGTCCGTAATGAATATAATACAGGTCAAAACGTTTTCAAAGTACACGGGGCAAAAACATTTTGATTACCAAATAGAGAAAGAACAAGTAAGAAAAGAGTAGGAAAAGAACTGTTAGTCACAAGAATCAGTTAAAAGTTACAGTTTTGTCGGAAGATTAAGCAGAACACAAAACTGTTACTAGCTCGTAACAAAACAAAATTGAGAATTCAGTGTGTGTTTAAACACAGGTCAGAGGCGCAGTCAAATGACCTCTACCTGGGGTGGACAGAAATTACACCTACAATATTTGAACCGAAAAGCCTGTCCTTAAATTGAACTACAAAAAGTTTCAACACCCGAGGCAGGCCGCTTCGGCGAGCGTCCAAACGCATACAATAACTACGTGCATTAGGACTAAACTGGCTTCTTCTTAGCGTGGGTCTTGCTGTGCTTGGCAAGATCAGACCTCCGGTTGAACCGATTCTCGCACACTTGGCACTGGAAAGGCTTCTCCCTAGTGTGCAGCCTTTCATGCGTCAACAAATGGCCAGATTGGGTAAACTTCTTCCCACACACTTTGCACTGGAAAGGCTTCTCCCCAGTGTGGGTCCTTTCATGCCGGGAAAAGCTGCCCGAAAGCGCAAACTTCTTTCCACACACTTTGCACTGGAAAGGCTTCTCCCCAGTGTGGATCCTCTCATGGTTGGTCCAATTGGAGGACATCGCAAACTTCTTTCCACACACTTTGCACTCGAAAGGCTTCTCCCCGGTGTGGGTTCTTGAATGCTGTTTAAGATGGGCCGCCCACTTGAACTCCTTGCCGCAGTGTTGGCAGGCGTGCCGCTTGCCGCGCGCTGCGAGGTGCTTCTCCAGGCCCGCCTCGGCATCCAAGGCCGCTCCACGCTCCGCACACTGCGAGGCGACAGCGCGGTCTGCCCCTCCGTCCCCAGCCGTGCCGCTGGCCGCGGAGTCCTGCTTGGCGTGGCCGACTCCAGAGGCGAGCGAGAAGGTGGCGTCGATGTGCAGCCACGGCTCCTCAGCCTCCAACCCTGCAACCAAACGCCCAAACCGTCAACAACGCCTCACGGTGCCCAACTCGCCGCCGTTGGCGTGCAGTGCGTTGCGTGACGTCAAACAAATGGCTTGGAGAAACGACGGCCCATGCAGGCGGCAGATTGTAGCAGGAACGACCACCATGGCAAATGGGTTCAAACGACCGCCAACGGTACAGGGCAAGCATCGCGGAAATTTGGACCGGGGCGATTGCAGCCTAGAAGATACTGTGCTGAAGGCAGCAATTGAATTGTTCGTCACAGTCGCTGCGATTATCAACAAGAGATGCATCTGGCTCATCTGGAAAAGTTACAGTACTCGCCTGTGGCACTCGAGGCATTCTGAACTCGGAACTTGTCGACTTCATGCCTGAGACTACTTGCTGGGGTACAGCCCCACCCACTCACCGTCCGAGTCGTCCTGTCCTGGGCGGCCGGCGGTGCTGCATGCACCTGCAGGAGGGCTATCACACTGCTCTGCCTTCACCTTGACGCGCCAGGCACCTGCAAGCAACGGTTGTCACGGAGTTGGTTTCAGTTTTGATCTGATTTGACAATATCTTAGGCTAAAACTGCATTGGGGTTGATTTCAGATCTTGGCAGGAACGAGCACCATGGCAAACGGGTCAGAACGACAGCACACGATAAATGACAAGCATCACGGACATTTTAAGCAGGGCGATTGCAAGCCATGGATCGCAAAGGTGCAAACAGGGGCTGCAATTCTGAAGGCAGCCAGTGAATCGTTCGTCACAATCAACACGATTATCAAACGAAGCATGCAGGTGTCCTGGAGAACGTGAAGTGTAGGCTCAAGTGGAAGCACTTGCAACTTCTGCGGGGACTAAAAGAGTGCTGAGTGATGTGGTCAGAATGTCACAGGGGAGCTCCGAAGACTAACGTCCCCAGCCAGCAGCCACTCACCGTCCAAGTCTTCCTGTCCAGCGCCCGGGGCGCTGAGGCCACACCGCGCTCCTCCTGCTGGGGGGCTGCCACACTCCTCTGCCTCCGTCTTGACGCGCCGGGCACCTGCAAGCAGCACAGCGTTAGCGCCAAAATAAAACTGCATCAACCACTAACTACCTTTCACTGCTCAAAACTAACTTCAATGCACTTCAAAATACCGAACCATTAAAAAAAGCGGAGCGAAAAATAATAACTGCACTGCAGCAAGCAAGTTGTCAAGGAAACAGTCTGACCGGACTCGCAGCAATAATTTGTAGCTCCAGCATTCTAGAATAATGACATTGACACTGCACCAGGTCACGTGACCACACACCAACACCAACCGCCGCAGGGCCATGCACAGTATTTCAAGGCACTTGAATGTGAACTGGGTAATGGAAGAAAGTATACACACAACGCACGACGAGGCTGGGCATTTTGATTCAATATGGGCAGGTCAGAACGGAAAACACATTGTAATTGCAACGAAGCAAACATTGCGCGCCAAAAAAACCCTCAATCAGGGATACAATCGGAGAACTAAAATGTAACAAAACTTATAATTGACAATAAATCACTCGAAAAAGACAAAACTTTAGCATCCCAAAACAATCAACAGCCAACAAAGAAAATACATTATATTCCAACCCAGCCAGTCCGAAACTCACATTATACAGGTTAAAACATTTTGTAAGTATACAAGGCAAGATCATTTTGATTACCAAATACAGTCAGATAAAAAAGTCACAAAAATCAGCGAAAAGTTACAGTTTTGTGGCAAGATTAACTGTGTCTAGCTCGCAACAAAAAAGTTTTGAGGCTTCAATGTGTGTTTAAACACAAGACAAGGGCGCAATCACGTGACCCCTATGTAGCTAGGATGGACAGAATTTACACCTACAATATTTGTACCTAAAGGCTGTCCTTAAGGGGGCTCATACATGTTAAAAGCACTTTTTTAAAAAAAAATTTTGATGTAGACGGATTAAGATTTTACAATTTCTGTGTTAAAATCCTTTTAGATAATTGAGTAAGCTTCATTTTGGCTTAAGGGAAAGTGACTTTGGACATTTTTGGAGATTTAGTCGAAACTTTTAAAAATTTGCTTCTCGTAAGATTTTGTTCGCATACTTGCTCAGATCTGGGGGGAAAAAAATCGGGGAGACTCACCCCCAGTAGTGTCATAGAATTGACTAGAATGGGCTTTATATCTGCAATAGTTTTCAAGAAAAAAAATAAAAACAATTTTTTTAACAATTTTTAAACAAATTTTTCAACAAAAAATTGTTTTTATTTTTTTTTCTTGAAAACTATTGCAGATATAAAGCCCATTCTAGTCAATTCTATGACACTACTGGGGATGAGTCTCCCTGATTTTTTCCCCACAGATCTGAGCAAGTATGCGAACAAAATCTTACGAGAAGAAAAATTTTTAAACGTTTCGACTAAATCTCCAAAAAATGTCCAAAGTCACTTTCCCTTAAGCCAAAATGAAGCTTACTCAATTATCTAAAAGGATTTTAACACAGAAATTGTAAAATCTTAATCCGTCTACATCAAAAAATTTTTTTTTAAAAGTGCTTTTAACATGTATGAGCCCCCTTAACTAGAACCACGAGAAGCTTGAACTCTTCTGCCCCTTACGAGGCAGGCCGCTTTGGTGGACGTCCGAACGCGTAAAATAACACTACGTACATTAAGATTAAACTGGCTTCTTGTTGGCGTGGGTCCTGTTGTGCGCGGCAAGAGCAGACCTCTGGCTGAACCGCTTCTGGCACACTTTGCACTCGAAAGGCTTCTCCCTAATGTGAATCCTTTCGTGCCTGGTCAAGTTGCTTGATTTCGCAAACTTCTCCCCACACACTTTGCACTCGAAAGGCTTCTCCCCAGAGTGGATCCTTGTATGCTGATACAAATTGCCTGACCGCGAAAACTTCTTCCCACACACTTTGCACTGAAAAGGCTTCTCCCCGGTGTGGGCTCTTAAATGCTGGTCAAGAAACGACGCCCACTGGAACTCCTTGCCGCAGTGTTGGCAGGCGTGCCGCTTGCCGCGCGCTGCGAGGTGCTTCTCCAGGCCCGCCTCGGCATCCAAGGCCGCTCCACGCTCCGCACACTGCGAGGCGACAGCGCGGTCCGCCCCTCCGTCCCCAGCCGTGCCGCTGGCCGCGGAGTCCTGCCTGGCGTGGCCGACTCCAGAGGCGAGCGAGAAGGTGGCGTCGATGTGCAGCCACGGCTCCTCAGCCTCCAACCCTGCAACCAAACGCCCACACCGTCAACAACGCCTCACGGTGCCCAGCACGCCGCCGTTAGCGTACAGTGCGTTGCCTGACGTCAAACAAATGGCTTGGAGAAACGACGGCCCATGCAGGCGGCAGATAGTAGCAGGAACGACCACCATGGCAAATGGGTTCAAACGACCGCCAACGGTACACTGTGAAAATTTGTGTCGTCACTTGACGACAATTTCAAGGCTAAATTTCCTTATAACAATGTCATCAAATCAATTGATGACATTGTTGTCACGCCCATGCAATAAGCATAGGAGCTTTGATGAAAAGGTCATCAATTTGAGATGAGATTGTCATCATTTCAAAGTGATGAAAATATTATCCACGTTTTTGTCATCCAGTGACAACAAATTTTCACAGCGTACAGGGCAAACATCGCGGAAATTCGGACCGGGGCGATTGCAGCCTAGAAGATACTGTGCTGATGGCAGCAGTTGAATCGTTCATCACAGTCGCAGCGATTATCTAGAGATGCATCTGGCTCATCTGGGGAAGTTACAGTACTCGCCAGTGGCACTCGAGGCATTCCGAACTCCGAACTTGTCGACTTCATGGCAAGTTCATGCTCGAGACCACTCGCTGCGGTACAGCCCCACCCACTCACCGTCCGAGTCGTCCTGTCCTGGGCGGCCGGCGGTGCTGCATCCACCTGCAGGATGGCTGTCGCACTGCTCTGCCTTCACCTTAACACGCCAGGCACCTGCAAGCAACGGTTGTCACGGAGCTGGTTTCAGTTTTGATCTGATTTGACAATATCTTAGGCTAAAACTGCATTGGGGTTGATTTCAGATCTTGGCAGGAACGAGCACCATAGAAAACGGGTCAGAACGACAGCACACGAAAAATGACAAGCGTCACGGACATTTTGGGCAGGGCGATTGCAAGCCATGGATCGCAAAGGTGCAGACAGGGGCTGCAATTCTGAAGGCAGCCTGCACTGTGCAAAAAAACCACAGTGAATCCCGTTAATTTTTTTGCCAGGATTTACTGTAGGTCAGAACACAGGACTTACTGTGCCTGGCTACAGTATTTACTGTACCTGGTACAGGATATTCCGTACTCCACTCCTGTGGTACAGTAAATCCCGTACAAAGTACAGTAGATCCTGTAAAAAAGTACAGTAAATCCTGTACTCTGACACAGTGACAAAGTGACAGCTGTACTAACCACTACAGGATTTACTGTATTTTTTTCCGACAGTGTGTGAATCGTTCGTCACAATCAATACGATTATCAAACGATGCATGCAGGTGTCCTGGAGAACGTGAAGTGTAGGCTCAAGTGGAAGCACTTGCAACTTCTCCGGGGACGAAAAGAGTTCTGAGCGATGTGGTCAGAATGTCACAGGTGAGCTCCGAAGACTAACGTTTGGCCCCAGCCAGCAGCCACTCACCGTCCGAGTCGTCCTGTCCAGCGCCCGGGGCGCTGAGGCCACACCGCGCTCCTCCTGCTGGGGGGCTGCCACACTCCTCTGCCTCCGTCTTGACGCGCCAGGCATCTGCAAGCAGCACACCGTTAGCGCCAAAATCAAACTGCATCAACCACTAACTACCTTTCCCTACTCAAAATAACTACAATGCACTTCAAAATACCGAACCATTCAAAAAAGGCGGAGGGAAATATAATAACTGCACTGCAGCAAGCAATTTATCAAGGAAACAGCCAGACCGGATTCGCAGCGAAAATTTGTTGCTCAAGCATTCTAGAATAATGACACTGACGCTGCACCAGGTCACGTGACCAAACACTAACACCAACCGCCACTAGGGCATGCACAGACCGATACAGCATTTCAAGGCACTTAAATGTGAACTGGGTAATAGAAGGAAATCGACACAACGCACGACGGGGCTCGACATATCGATTCGATGTGCGATATAAAAGGCAGGTCAGAACGAAAAACATTGTAAATGCAATAAACCGACTATTGTGTGCCACGAAAACCCCCAATCAGGGATACAATCATAGAACTTGACACTAACAGAAATTTTATTTGACAATAAATCACTCAAAAAAGGAAAGAAAAACTAGAGCATCCCAATACAATCAACAGCCAACAAAAAAAAGACATAATTTTCCAACCCAGCCAGACTGTAATTAATAAAATACACGTCGGAACGTTTTGTAAGAAAACAGGGCAAAAACATTTTGATTACCAAATAGGGTAGGAGAGAAAACCCAGTGAAAAGTTACAGTTTTGACGCAAGATAAGGCAGAACACATAACTGAACTGTTTTTAGCTCGTCACAACAAAAAAAAGAGACTTCAGAGTGTGTCGAAACACAATTCAGAGGCGCAATCTCAAGACCTCTGTGTGTTTAAACACAGGTCAAAGGCGCAGTCAAATGACCTCTACCTGGGGTGGACAGAAACACCTACAATATTTGAACCGAAAAGCCTGTTCTTAAATTCAACCACAAGAAGTTAGAACACCCGAGGCAGGCCGCTTTGGCGAACGTCCAAACGCATACAATAACGACGTGCATTAGGACTAAACTGGCTTCTTCTTAGCGTGGGTCTTGCTGTGCTTGGCAAGATCAGACCTCCGGTTGAACCGCTTCGCGCACACTTGGCACTGGAAAGGCTTCTCCCTAGTGTGGATTCTTTCGTGTGCCTTCAAATGGCCCGATTGGGTAAACTTCACTTCACACACTTTGCACTGGAAAGGCTTCACCCCAGTGTGGATCCTTACATGCCGGGACAAATGGCCTGAATGCGTAAACGTCTTTTCACAAACTTTGCACTGGAAAGGCTTCTCCCCAGTATGGGTCCTTTCATGCTGGGACAAATTGCCCGAAAGCGCAAATTTCTTGCCACACACTTTGCACTGGAAAGGCTTCACCCCAGTGTGGATCCTCTCATGGTCGGTCAAATTGGAGGACACCGAAAACTTCTTCCCACACACTTTGCACTCGAAAGGCTTCTCTCCAGTGTGGATCCTTTCATGGCTGGTCAAATTGCCTAGAAGCGTAAACGTCTTCCGACACACTTTGCACTGGAAAGGCTTCTCCCCAGAGTGGATTCTTGAATGCTCTACAAGAAACGACGCCCACTGGAACTCCTTGCCGCAGTGTTGGCAGGCGTGCCGCTTGCCGCGCGCTGCGAGGTGCTTCTCCAGGCCCGCCTCGGCATCCAAGGCCGCTCCACGCTCCGCACACTGCGAGGCGACAGCGCGGTCCGCCCCTCCGTCCCCAGCCGTGCCGCTGGCCGCGGAGTCCTGCTTGGCGTGGCCGACTCCAGAGGCGAGCGAGAAGGTGGCGTCGATGTGCAGCCACGGCTCCTCAGCCTCGGACCCTGCAACCAAACGCCCACACCGTCGACAACGCCTCACGGTGCCCAGCACGCCGCCGTTAGCGTACAGTGCGTTGCCTGACGTCAAACAAATGTCTTGGAGAAACGACGGCCCATGCTGGCGGCAGATAGTAGCAGGAACGACCACCATGGCAAATGGGTTCAAACGACCGCCAACGGTACACTGTGAAAATTTGTGTCGTCACTTGATGACAATTTCAAGGCTAAATTTCCTTATAACAATGTCATCAAATCAATTGATGACATTGTTGTCACGCCCATGCAATAAGCATAGGAGCTTTGATGAAAAGGTCATCAATTTGAGATGAGATTGTCATCATTTCAAAGTGATGAAAATATTATCCACGTTTTTGTCATACAGTGACAACAACTTTTCACAGCGTACAGGGCAAACATCGCGGAAATTCGGACCGGGGCGATTGCAGCCTTGAAGATACTGTGCTGATGGCAGCAGTTGAATTGTTCATCACAGTCGCTGCGATTATCTAGAGATGCATCTGGCTCATCTGGGGAAGTTACAGTACTCGCCAGTGGCACTCGAGGCATTCCGAACTCCGAACTTGTCGACTTCATGGCAAGTTCATGCCTGAGACCACTGGCTGCGGTACAGCCCCACCCACTCACCGTCCGAGTCGTCCTGTCCTAGGGGGCCGGCGGTGCTGCATGCACCTGCAGGAGGGCTATCACACTGCTCTGCCTTCACCTTGACGCGCCAGGCACCTGCAAGCAACGGTTGTCACGGAGTTGGTTTCAGTTTTGATCTGATTTGACAATATCTTAGGCTAAAACTGCATTGGGGTTGATTTCAGATCTTGGCAGGAACGAGTACCATGGCAAACCGGTCAGAACGACAGCACACGATAAATGACAAGCATCAAGGACATTTTTGGCAGGGCGATTGCAAGCCATGGATCGCAAAGGTGCAGACAGGGGCTGCAATTCTGAAGGCAGCCTCCACTGTGCAAAAAAAAACCACAGTGAATCCCGTTAATTTTTTTGCCAGGATTTACTGTAGGTCAGAACACAGGACTTACTGTGCCTGGCTACAGTATTTACTGTACCTGGTACAGGATGTTCCGTACTCCACTCCTGTGGTACAGTAAATCCCGTACAAAGTACAGTAGATCCTGTAAAAAAGTACAGTAAATCCTGTACTCTGAACTACAGTGACAGCTGTACTAACCACTACAGGATTTACTGTATTTTTTTCCGACAGTGTGTGAATCGTTCGTCACAATCAATACGATTATCAAACGATGCATGCATGTGTCCTGGAGAACGTGAAGTGTAGGCTCAAGTGGAAGCACTTGCAACTTCTCCGGGGACTAAAAGAGTACTGAGCGATGTGGTCAGAATGTCACAGGTGAGCTCCGAAGACTAACGTTTGGCCCCAGCCAGCAGCCACTCACCGTCCGAGTCGTCCTGTCCAGCGCCCGGGGCGCTGAGGCCACACCGCGCTCCTCCTGCTGGGGGGCTGCCACACTCCTCTGCCTCCGTCTTGACGCGCCAGGCACCTGCAAGCAGCACAGCGTTAGCGCCAAAATCAAACTGCATCAACCACTAACTACCTTTCCCTACTCAAAACTAACTTCAATGCACTTCAAAATACCGAACCATTATAAAAAGCGGAGCGAAAAATAATAACTGCACTACAGCAAGCAATTTATCAAGGAAACAGTCTGACCGGACTCGCAGCAATAATTTGTAGCTCCAGCATTCTAGAATAATGACATTGACACTGCACCAGGTCACGTGACCACACACCAACACCAACCGCCGTTAGGGCATGCACAGACCAACACAGCACGACAAGGCACGTGAATGTGAACTGGGTAACGAAAGAAAGTCGACACACAACGCACGACGGGGCTGGGCATTTTCATTCAATATGGGCAGGTCAGAAGAAAAAACAAATTATAATTGCAATGAACTAAACGTTGTGCGCCACAAAAACCCTTAATCAGGGAAACAATCGGAGAACTAAACAAAACTTTTAATTCACAATAAATCACTCGAAATAGGACAAAACTTAAGCATCCCAATACAATCAACAGCCAACAAAGAAAATACATCATATTCCAACCCAGCTAGTCCGTAATGAATATACTACAGGTCAATGCGTTTTCAAAGTACACGGGGCAAAAACATTTTGATTACCATATAGAGATAGAACAAGTAAGAAAAGAGAAAGAAAAACTGTTAGTCACAAGTTACAGTTTCGTTGCAACACTAAGCAGAACACAAAACTGTTTCTAGCTCGTAACAAAAAAAAAAAAGAGAATTCAGGTCAGAGGCACAGTCAAATGACCTCTACCTGGGGTGGACAGAAACACCTACAATATTTGAACCGAAAAGCCTGTCCTTAAATTGAACCACAAGAAGTTTGAACACCCGAGGCAGGCCGCTTTGGCGAACGTCCAAACGCATACAATAACTACGTGCATTAGGACTAAACTGGCTTCTTCTTAGCGTGGGTCTTCCTGTGCTTGGCAAGATGAGACCTCTGGTTGAACCGCTTCTCGCACACTTGGCACTGGAAAGGCTTCTCCCCAGTGTGCAGCCTTTCATGCGTCAACAAATGGCCAGATTGGGTAAACTTCTTCCCACACACTTTGCACTGGAAAGGCTTCTCCCCAGTGTGGGTCCTTTCATGCTGGGACAAATTGCCCGAAAGCGCAAACTTCTTTCCACACACTTTGCACTGGAAAGGCTTCTCCCCAGTGTGGATCCTTTCGTGCGCCTTCAAATCGCCCGATAGGGTAAACTTCACTTCACACACCTTGCACTGGAAAGCCTTCACCCCAGTGTGGATCCTTTCATGACTGGTCAAATTGCAGGACACCGAGAACTTCTTCCCACACACTTTGCACTCGTAAGGCTTCTCCCCAGTGTGGGTTCTAGAATGCACTTCAAGTTTGGACGCACAGCCGAAGTCCTTGCCGCAGTGTTGGCAGGCGTGCCGCTTGCCGCGCGCTGCGAGGTGCTTCTCCAGGCCCGCCTCGGCATCCAAGGCCGCTCCACGCTCCGCACACTGCGAGGCGACAGCGCGGTCCGCCCCTCCGTCCCCAGCCGTGCCGCTGGCCGCGGAGTCCTGCTTGGCGTGGCCGACTCCAGAGGCGAGCGAGAAGGTGGCGTCGATGTGCAGCCACGGCTCCTCAGCCTCCAACCCTGCAACCAGGTTAGAAATTATCAGTAGGGTGGAGCGATGGATCGAAAATCTAACACCTTTCCATAGAAATAGGACCCTTCTAAAACTGTGAGACTCGTGCCAAAATAGTTCTGACCGGGGCCTCCCCCATCTTGACCGTCCATTAGAAGTTTCAAACATCACCCGAGGCATGTAAATGATCCTTCAAACCGAAGACTCATGCACGCAGGAGATTGTGAAAGGAAGGAACAAGCAACGTGGCAACCGGATTAAAACAGCCCATGGTACAGGGCAAGCATCATGGAAACTTGAACAGGGCGATTCCAAGCAATGGATGACTTCACTGGTAAAACTAAACCGTAACTCGATGCTTGAGTCCAGCATCAAGTTAGGCTACACCGCACCATATGTCGTCAAACGTGGTCTAGACCACACCAACTGATGTGGTCAAAATGGCATCCATCTGACCACACCAGTGGTGCGGTCTGGACCACGTTTGGTTTTTCAGTGTAGAAGACGTTACGCTTGAAATGGAGCGTACTCTGGAAATTCCCCCACGCATTTAGATAGGGGGAAACCTAGCGGATGAGCCTGTTACGCTTGATTTTAAGCGCAACCCTATGACGCTTGAAATCAGAGGGTAATACTACGCTTTAGTTATACCGCTGTATACTTCAGGCAGCCCGTGAAATGGTTCCTCACAATCGCCGCATCCAGGTACCCCAGGGAACGTAACGTGCAACGTGTTGAAACCAATTGGACTTGAGGCGTTCTGAACGCGGAAGCCCACGGCAAGCGGCCTAATGTTGCAGGGAAGCTCCGAACTAGTAGCTTTCATGCTTCGCATCACGGACTGCGGTTTGGCCCCAGCCACTCACCGTCAAAAGCCTCCTGTCCTGGGTCCTCGGCGCTGCGTCCACCTGCAGGAGGGCTGCCGCACTGCTCTGCCTCCGTCTTGACGCGCCAGGCATCTGGAAGAAACATAATGTTAAGGTACAGTCATTTGAACTCCAATTTTTACGGTCTACCTTTCCCCATTTAAAACTAATTGCATTGCCTTTCAAAACGCTTACTGAACTAAAAACCGAAATACTTCAAAGAATGCGGTAAAAACCTAGAGACCACAAATTCGACTTAAAAAAAAAAAAAAACCTTCAGGTTCATGAGGGTTAAGGACAAATACTGAAAATATCACTTTATTGCACATTAAGGCGCAGATAATCGCGGCAGTCACGGAATCGAATTAGAAGGGAAAAAAAGGGGCCTAGGTATCACAAATTGATTGGCATTGAGAATGTATCAGGCAACGTAAGCACAAACCCACACCAACACCAACCGCCACAATATCATGCACAGACCGCTAAACATGGCAAGGCACGTAAAAATGAACTGGGCGATGGGTGGAAAACAAAGCACAACAGAGCAGGGCCTTTCGGACACGTGTTCGAAATGTGATACATGAATGATCAAAATGAGAAATACACTGTTCTTGCAATTAACGATAGTTATTGAGCCACGTTGACCCGAATCAGGAAGACAATCAGAGAACAATACGAAAAGGAAACTTCCATTTAACAGTAAAACACTTAACAAGGACATAAATTCAGCATCATAAATAAATCAGCAGCAACACAAAAATGAAATGTCAAGCAGGTCCAAGAAGTATTATACAGATAAAAAGGTTTTCTTTAGGATTCAATCAAAGTACATTCGGTATCTTAAGACAAACATAAACACAATAAAGAAACGATTTCACAATGAAACTTTTTACAAAAAAGGAAATCAAAACTATCCTGGCCAAGGAAAGGAAAAAGAAGATCTTTATAAGAGAGGCCAAGCATGTAGTGCTAAAGTTTCGAATGAGTACACGGCGAAAACGGTACCCGGTTTTCCCAGGAGCCCTACGGCGAAGACATAGGCGATTTCCAGGGTGTTCCTGGGAAAACCAGGAACCGCTTTTACCGTGTAGAAACTGCAGTTAAGCTGCGAAGACTTAGAAACTTGACTCTAAATGTACACGGACTGGACTATTTTTATTACAAACTGAAACCATTATAATGCAATTCCACACACGATCAGAAATTTGTTAACAGTTAGTCAAAATTTGTCAGTGGGTGGTTGCACTTTAGTCACCAGATAAAGCAGAGCACCAATTTGATTCAAGCTGGTAAAGACAGTAGTTCCTCAACGTTAAGTGTCTTGAAACATGAGTGAGGGGCGCTATCTCATGGCTTCATGAATACTATGGTAAACAGCATTTACACCGATAATATTTGTCCATAAAGAGTTTTCCTTAGTTTGAATTAGTGAGCCTTACAAAGCAGACCGCTCGGTGGAACGTCCACACAAACACTTATTCCACATTTAGAGGCTTCTTCTCGGCGTGGGTCTTGAGGTGCTCGACAAGAAGGGACTTTCGCGAGAAGGACTTGGTACTAGACAGATGTCTACCTAGTGTGGATCCTTTCGTGCCTGGTCAAATTGCTTGAACTCGCAAACTTCTTCGCGCACACGTTGCACTCGAAAGGCTTCTCCCCAGTGTGGATCCTTTTATGCTTGGTCAAATTGCCCAAAGACGTAAACGTCATTGCACAAACTTGGCACTGAAAAGGCTTCTCCCCAGTGTGCAGCCTTTCATGCGTCATCAAATCGCCAGATTGGGTAAACTTCATTTCACACACTTTGCACTGGAAAGGCTTCTCCCCAGTGTGGATCCTTACATGCCGGGACAAATGGCCAGATTGGGTAAACTTCTTCCCACACACTTTGCACTGGAAAGGCTTCTCCCCAGTGTGGGTCCTTTCATGCTGGGACAAATTGCCCGAAAGCGCAAACTTCTTTCCACACACTTTGCACTGAAAAGCCTTCCCCCCAGTGTGGGTCCTTGAATGCGCTTCTAGATGGGACGCCCACTGGAACTCCTTGCCGCAGTGTTGGCAGGCGTGCCGCTTGCCGCGCGCTGCGAGGTGCTTCTCCAGGCCCGCCTCGGCATCCAAGGCCGCTCCACGCTCCGCACACTGCGAGGCGACAGCGCGGTCCGCCCCTCCGTCCCCAGCCGTGCCGCTGGCCGCGGAGTCCTGCTTGGCGTGGCCGACTCCAGAGGCGAGCGAGAAGGTGGCGTCGATGTGCAGCCACGGCTCCTCAGCCTCCAACCCTGCAAACAAACGAACACACCGTCAACAACGCCTCACGGTGCCCAGCACGCGGCCGTTAGCGTACAGTGCGTTGCCTGACGTCAAACAAATGGCTTGGAGAAACGACGGCCCATGCAGGCGGCACACTGCAAGAAAAAGTGTAGATAGTACAACAAAAGTACAACAGATACTGTACAATAAAAGTACAACAGGGATTGTAGAAAGTACAACGAGAATTGTACAAACCACAACGAGCCCTGGACTGCACAGCACTCCTCATGCCGCTTCCATTGTACTTTGTACAACAATTGTTGTACTTGAAAAGAACACTAAATTCCTGATAAAAAATTTGCCAGAAATGTGTGTACTTTCATTGTGGTTATTTCCTGCAGTGCAGATTGCAGCAGGAACGACCACCATGGCAAATGGGTTCAAACGACAGCCAACGGTACACTGTGAAAATTTGTGTCGTCACTTGATGACAATTTCAAGGCTAAATTTCCTTATAACAATGTCATCAAATCAATTGATGACATTGTTGTCACGCCCATGCAATAAGCATAGGAGCTTTGATGAAAAGGTCATCAATTTGAGATGAGATTGTCATCATTTCAAAGTGATGAAAATATTATCCCTTTTTTGTCATACAGCGACAACAACTTTTCACAGCGTACAGGGCAAACATCGCGGAAATTCGGACCGGGGCGATTGCAGCCTTGAAGATACTGTGCTGATGGCAGCAGTTGAATCGTTCATCACAGTCGCAGCGATTATCTAGAGATGCATCTGGCTCATCTGGGGAAGTTACAGTACTCGCCAGTGGCACTCGAGGCATTCCGAACTCCGAACTTGTCGACTTCATGGCAAGTTCATGCTCGAGACCACTGGCTGCGGTACAGCCCCACCCACTCACCGTCCGAGTCGTCCTGTCCTGGGGGGCCGGCGGTGCTGCATGCACCTGCAGGAGGGCTGTCGCACTGCTCTGCCTTCACCTTGACGCGCCAGGCACCTGCAAGCAACGGTTGTCACGGAGTTGGTTTCAGTTTTGATCTGATTTGACAATATCTTAGGCTAAAACTGCATTGGGGTTGATTTCAGATCTTGGGCAGGAACGAGCACCATAGAAAACGTGTCAGAACGACAGCACACGAAAAATGACAAGCATCACGGACATTTTGGGCAGGGCGATTGCCAGCCACGGATCGCAAAGGTGCAGACAGGGGCTGCAATTCTGAAGGCAGCCAGTGAATCGTTCGTCACAATCAATACGATTATCAAACGATGCATGCATGTGTCCTGGAGAACGTAAAGTGTAGGCTCAAATGGAAGCACTTGCAACTTCTCCGGCGACTAAAAGAGTGCTGAGTGATGTGGTCAGAATGTCACAGGTGAGCTCCGAAGACTAACGGTCTGCCCCCGCCAGCAGCCACTCACCGTCCGAGTCGTCCTGTCCAGCGCCCGGGGCGCTGAGGCCACACCGCGCTCCTCCTGCTGGGGGGCTGCCACACTCCTCTGCCTCCGTCTTGACGCGCCAGGCACCTGCAAGCAGCACAGCGTTAGCGCCAAAATCAAACTGCATCAACCACTAACTACCTTTCCCTACTCAAAACTAACTTCAATGCACTTTAAAATACCGAACCATTAAAACAAGCGGAACGAAAATTAATAACTGCACTGCAGCAAGCAATTTCTCAAGGAAACAGCCAGACCGAATTCGCAGCAAAAATTTGTAGCTCAAGCATTCTACAATAATGACATTGACACTGCACCAGGTCACGTGACCACACACCAACACCAACCGCCGCAGGGGCATGCACAGACCAACACAGCACGGCAAGGCACGTGAATGTGAACTGGGTAACGGAAGAAAGTCGACACACAACGCACGACGGGGCTGAGCATTTTCATTCAATATGGTCGGGTCAGAACAAAAAACACATCGTAATTGCAATAAACCAAACATTTCGCGCCACAAAAACCCTCAATCAGGGATACAATCGGAGAACTAAAAAGTAACAAAACTCTTAGTTGACAATAAATCACTCCAAAAAGGACAATGCTTTGGCATCCCAATACAATCCACAGCCAACAAAGAAAAGACATCATATTCCAACCCAGCCAGTCTGTAATTGATATGATACAGATCAAAACGTTTTGAAAGTACACAGGGCAAAAACATTTTGATTACCAAATAGAGACAAAAAAAAAACAGTCACAAAAATCAGTTAAAAGTTGCAGTTCTGTCGGAAGAGTAAGCAGAACACATCACTGTTTCTAGCCCGTAACAAAAGATAAATTCAGACTTCAGAGATTATTTGAACACAAAATCAGAGGCGCTATCACATGATCTCTAGGATGGACAGAATTTACGCCTACAATATTTATTACCGAAAAGTCTGTCCTTAACTTGAACCATGCGAAGCTTAAAGACTTCTGCGCATCCGAGGCAGGCCGCTTTGGCGAACGTCCGAACGCACGTACATTAAGATTAAACTGGCTTCTTGTTAGCGTGGGTCTTGCTGTGCGCGGCAAGATTAGACCTCTGGGAGAACCGCTTCTCGCACACTTGGCACTTATAAGGCTTTTCCCCAGTGTGGCTTCTTTCGTGCTTGTTCAAATGGGTTGACTGGGTAAACTTCTTTCCACACACTTCACACTGGAAAGGCTTCTCCCCACTGTGGATCCTTTCGTGCTTCTTCAAATGGGTTGACTCGGTAAACTTCTTTCCACACACTTTGCACTGGAAAGGCTTCTCCCCAGAGTGAATCCTTTCATGCGCCTTCAAGGCGCCTGATTTGGTAAACTTCACTGGTAAAACTAAAGCGTAGTATTACCCACTGTTTTCAAGCGTAATCAGGTTACGCTTGAAATGAAGCGTAACAGGCTCATCCGCCAAGATTCCCCCTATCTAAATGCATGGGAGAATTTCTAGTCTATGCTTGATTTCAAGCGTAACGTCTTCAAGAGTAACTTTATGCTTGACTCAAGCATAGAGTTACGCTTTAGTTTTACCAGTGTTCTTCCCACACACTTCACACTTAAAAGGCTTCTCCCCAGTGTGGGTTCTTAAATGCCCTTCAAGATGGGACGCCCACGGGAAGTCCTTGCCGCAGTGTTGGCAGGCGTGCCACTTGCCGCGCGCTGCGAGGTGCTTCTCCAGGCCCGCCTCGGCATCCAAGGCCGCTCCACGCTCCGCACACTGCGAGGCGACAGCGCGGTCCGCCCCTCCGTCCCCAGCCGTGCCGCTGGCCGCGGAGTCCTGCTTGGCGTGGCCGACTCCAGAGGCGAGCGAGAAGGTGGCGTCGATGTGCAGCCACGGCTCCTCAGCCTCCAACCCTGCAACTATACATTAGGAATCATCAATAGGGTATAAGGGTGGAGCGATGGATCGAAAATGGAGAGATTTTCCATAGAGAGAACATCCCAGACTAGTTGTTTGCCGGAATAATTTTGGCTAGGGCTACCCCCTTCTTGTCCATTAGAGGCCTCACCTTTACGAATATAGTGAGACAAATTTTACAACTCATTTCTCGCTTTTAATGAAGAACATATCTCCGACGGCTGTGGAATTTGTAGAAAGCCGTCAGGCAAGGCTTTTGGCCCTAGCGAAGGCCGTTTATGATACTTAAAACAAGCGTGAAAATCGTCGCTTTTCCTGTATTTTGATGCTTATCTGCATCTGGGCGGAGAATTTGACCGTAGATGGGCCCATCTCTGAATACACGTTTTTTAGTAACTGTAAGCATCCAGTATCAAAAAGTAACATCAGAATCAGCAGAACCGGAAATGGCCATGGTCGCTCCAGAAGGGGACACGACCAAACTTTTTAAACTTTATTTTTACACTGTAAATGTGTTACGGTAAAAGGCTGCACCACCATATTATGGTGGAGATTTTCTCCATAATACAAACGAAATTCGTCCAAATATCTAAACGGTGTAGTGAATTATCAGTGGTATGTTATGGAGTCAGCTGCACCACCATAATATGAAACATTTGCACCGTATTATGGAGAATCATCAATATACAACATTTAGAGTGAAGACGCGTTTCGGTTTAAAACTTTGTATTTTTTATGTTATTTTCTCAATCAAATGTACGTGATTCTCATTGAAAACTGATGGTAGGGCACTGGAAGAAAACATAGAGAACACTTTAGACAGGAATATTCAACTACCGGCTCAAATCGAGATCGATCGGTTACCTGTACATTCTGTCTAGATTTCAAGAAACTACAGACAAGGTAGGTGTACGCCAGACCGTGTCTTCACTGTCCTGTGAAGTGTGGTACAGACTATAGATAATGTGTGGCAGGCGCAAAACTGTGGTTGCACAAATTTACCACACGTGGAAATGCGGTCAATACTCCTTAAAATCAGTGGTCAGCATAGTACCACATAAAATTCAGGGTGGACACCACAGCAAATTTGTGGTCAGTCCTCTACACCTCACAAAAGGGTGGTCTTGACCACGCAATACATGAGGTAACGGCTAAATTGAAGGCTTGTACACCACTTTTGTGAAGGGGTGTAATTCCTACCCTATTTGTACGTGGGGTAGAATGAGGTAACCACATTTTTGGGGTCACCACAGCCAAATGAGGCAAATTCACCACACTTTCGGTCTCAGTCTTGTCGTAACAAGCTTCGCGATGACGTTTATAACTGCCTTGGCCTACCCAGCTAAAGTAAAGCTCGTCCAAAATTAGGTATTCATCAAGACTCTTTCATTCTCAGTGACCCTATTCCACTGAGATGAAGCTAGCCACTCACCGTCCGCGTCGTCCTGTCCTTGTCCCGCCAAGCTGCGTCCACGCCGCGGTGATCCAGCAGGAGGGCTGCCGCACTGCTCTGCCTCCCTCTTGACGCGCCAGGCACCTGCAAGCAGCACACCGTCAGCGAAAGCAGCAAGCACCAACAGGACACCACCGACGCACACGCCATCCAGAACAAGCATGCACAGACCGCTTCAATCGAAGTGTGATCCACCCACGACCAGACATGCAAATGAAAAATGGGCGCATGTCGACAATATGAAAGGCAGTGCACTGAGAAAACATTACGAACTATTTTAAGCCTTACAAAGGAAAGCAGCTTGTTGTAACAGGGTATTTAGAGCATACATAAGCTTACATAGCATATACTTCGTAATTTACAGACCATTTCTTCATATTACAAAGTAAATAAGTTTGAACTGTGCACGGTAAAAACGAAACCTGGGATTCCCAGGAGCCCTATGTTATAAGGTATAGGAGTTTCCAGGAGATTCTTGGGATGCCCAGGAAATGTTATTACTGCGTGTATGCGTTAAATACTTCGAAAGCGTGTGGACAGGACTCCAAGGGTGGACAACTCGGAAAATTTACGTGCGAAGAACACGTTCCCGCCAGGGAACATAGCGGAACATCAGAACATCAAAGAACATTAACGTAAGAACATTTTCAAGAACACACTAAATTACTATGTAGATTTTTCTGCCCGCCAATGCAAAAAAATTAAACATACACTTCATAACGTACAAATTTGTGCGCGACAATGCACGATTTCCTGCCTACACTCTCAGCCGTTTACTGACTATTTCTCATTAGCAGACGTATTTCTGTAAGCAACTATAATACTTAGTGTTAAGTTCTTAAATACTTAAAAGTTTCTTTGTAATTTACTAAGAAAACGGTAATATCAGTACAGTAATTAGCAATTGCTAAGTAATACTGACAAAAAATACTAAGTATTATGGTTGCTTACAGAAATGCGTAAGCCAATGAGAAAAAGTCAGTAAAAGGCTGAGAGTGTACATGCGCAGAAAATCGTGCATTGTCGCGCACAAATTCGTGCGTTACGACGTGCAGCTTGAATTTCTTTCATTCGCGCGCAGAATAACCTACATAGTGACACGTTTGTGACCGAAGTGTTTCTCAAAAGTGTCATTTTCCTCTCGAAAGGAGAGAGACTATCATTCTCGGACAGAAGAATCCCGGGAACATGACAGAACATCAGGGACAAAAACGTCGGGTACATTAGAGAACATTTTACTAACATCAGGGAATGTCGGAACGCTGAAACATTATCCCGGAACATCGAAGAACATGATCGAACATTGGGTTAGAATGTAATTGCGAAACACCGGAAACATCCGGGGAAATCGAACATTGGGAAAATTATCTCAGAATATCGGAGAACATCATATGATAGAGAACATTTAAAACATTGAAACACGTGTTCCTGCGTATCATTAAGTGGCAACAAACTCTCATAAATTTAAAAATTGCACAGGCAATCAAAACAACAAGCAAAATAATTCCTGAAATTGCTGGAATGTACGAGGCATACGCCTCCTAGTGTCTGATCATTCCAGCATGCGCCTTCAAGAAGCATGGGTGTCGAAGCACGTGCCGCAAGCGAACCGAGGAATGTACTGTGTCTCCAAGAGCACATCAAAATTTGGATTCCGACCCAATCGAATGTGTCACTAGGGACCGGCACTCCAAAAGGATTCCACTGCTATAGACACATCTAGCTGGGCCTGAAGTGAAGAACAAAAAGAACATGAGCCGGAAACAGCTTCCAAAGAAAGCTTGTTTACCGATGACAAGTGTTAATTCTCATCCCAAAAATTAAAATAAAAGCTCGATTTTATAGTAGAATTTTATTTAAACCTGCCTGTTTCTTCGTAGATGAAGCTTCCATCAGTTCTTCGATCCACGACGACACCCATCTGGTGTACGCCAGAGCTCGCAAGACCTTGCCTCTGCTGTCCCAATTCAACAATTCACGCCAGGCGGAAGTTACGATAGGTCAAGTGTTCGCAAGTGAAGACTGCAAAATCGCATGAGTGCGCCTTGTTTACAGTCCTCTACTGAATCTGAAATCAGAAAACAACATTGAAGTGCACAGACAAAAACGTGGATGATATTTTCTTCACCTCCGTATGATGACAAACTCATCACAAATTGGCGACAATTGCATCAAAGCTCCTAAACTTGTTACATGGGCGTGACAACAATGTCATCAATTGTTTTGATGACATTGTTGTAAGGAAAATTAGCCTTGAAATAGTCATCAAGTGAAGACTCAATTTTCACAGTGCAGAACAACTGATGGGTGCTTGAGATGATTCCAGAACGGAAGTCAACATGTCACGCTCCTTTAAAAAATTGTGTCACTTACGTCGGAATGTGAATCGGCCACATATTAGCGTTTTCACATTCAAACAAATGTGACACAATGCTCAAAGGAACGTGACAATAGGCCATTCCGCTGCTTGGAAAAGAGGAAGAAAAGAAGTACATACTTCCGTCCCCTCGCCTGCGGGGGGACGAGAGGGGCAGCGGAAGTTCCGTCCCCCCGCAGGCGAGGGGACGGAAGTATGTACTTCTTTTCTTCCTCTTTTCCAAGCAGCGGAATGGCCTATTAGTCACAGCCATACGTGACGGCACGGTTCTAGAATGAGAGCCCTGTTAGTCGCGGGAAACGAGCCCTAGCACATGATAGGCAATTTCGGGTCCGACTCGACAGATTAATAGGGTACACATCAGAGCTACGTTTCGTTAGCGAATCGAGCCAACAAGCAAACGAGCCGAACGAGCGTCAGAGTATGAGAAGTTACTCTGCGTTGACCAATCACAGCGCGTCCAAGGGTTGTCCGCTCAAACATTTTTTCATATTTCGTAGCTCGTTGGCTCACATGCTCGTTTGCTCGTTTCTTTAACGACACGTAGCTCAGAGAAGAGCTATTCCGGAAGTTGAGAAGAAATCAAGAAGAACAAAGTATGCGTATGAAGGAGCGTCTACGTCGCCGGTCTGCCGCTTTCGTAGAGTTATATTCTCATTCAAGACGGGCGCTTGTACTACTTGATTTCTTCTCAACTTCCGGTTCAGCTCTTCTCAGAAGTACCCTCTTGATCCGGACTTGTTCAGATAAAGATTATTGTGCAAGGTTGGTGTACGCCAGACCGTGTATTGCCGTAACAGGCTTCGCGATGCTGCGCCAGTTATAACAGTCCACGCGGTAAAGCTAAAGCATAGTAATACCCTCTGTTTTCAAGCGTATTCAGGTTACGCTTGAAATCAATGCATTGGGTAAATTCCAGAGTCTGCTTCATTTCAAGTGTAACGTCTTCAAGCGTAACTTTATGCTTGACTCAAGCATAGAGTTACACTAGTTTTACCAGTGTGGCATTAGGTTTAACAGCCACAACCTTCATTATTTCTCCCAGAGATCGCAGCCTGCGAGGGATTTTTTTTCTTTGAATTTCAAACCAAACCGGGTTCAAATCCCAGTGGGGTATATTTTGGACATTCTTTTTATTCAAATTTTTGCATTGTTTCTGATGTTTTTGAGGGAGCTGATGACGAAAATAACATTAATTTTGACCCCAGACTCAGGTTCAAATCCCGTCTGGGTTAAACACAGGCGAAATTCGCACATTCCCTGATGAACGGGACGGGCTAAAGTTGCCGATGTATATCCCTACTTTTCCTGTTATTGTCACTCTTTTTAAAGGTGCAAAGTCACTCTTCTACTGTTTTCAACAGCCCTGGGCGCTGGCAACCCTGTATTATGATAACAGGAGAGAAACCAGGGATAGATGTAGCTGAGCATCATTGGGAGGAACCGATTTGAAATGGTGCCCTCTCAGTGAGCCAGAGGTTCTGACTCCAAACCATGGTTAGATTTGGAGCATCATGGAGGCGGTCAAAATCCCGGACGCGTTTCGAGCTCCAGAGTCGCGAAACAGGACTCGAACCGAACGCGTGACCCAAACCACGCTCCGTGCGGCAGAGAGCGCAGCCAGGGACCGTAGCGCAAACTGGCGCCTGCCCACAGGCCAGGTGCCGAATGGGTGGCCTACCCGCAAGGCGCTCTGGTCTCGGGTGCGCAGAGTGCGCCAGACCGGCGCCGGCGGCCAAAACTCTGGACCTCGGGCAAACGCCTGGACTGTGCAGATCGACTGGAGTAACCTGGCTGGTCTAGGCTGGACACTGGGAATCAATGCGACCCAACAGGCTTTCACTTCAAAGATCACTTAAATTTGTATCCCGATAGAAGAACCAGACTTTCTAAACCTTCAAGTTTTAACTATGCTAATTGATAGCCTCTGCGGTGCACAAATTTCCTTTTCTTTGGAATAAAAACTTAAAAGATTCATAAAATGTCTGATTTTTGGGTGCAGGTGGCGTGTTGTGAAATCAAACTCAGAACACACACGGTAAAAACGATTCCTGTTTTTTTTTTTTCAGGAACTCCCTGGAAATCGCCTATGTCTCTAACATTGGCTTCCTGGGAAAAGCAGGTACCGTTTTTACCGTGCACGTTTTCATCATTTTAACAACAGAATGTTATCACTTATAATTTTTTTTATTGACAAATATAATCCATTCTCTTACACATGTACAGTACTATGACTAGCTATGTCGAAATGTCAGCTTCGCTATGCACGAATGAATATGAGGTGGGTAACGATTTCTTTACGGGCTAGGAACGTGTGAATTACGTTCATCACGTAATCCATGTACTTCTGAGAGTCGTCGTCGGGTACACGTCACAGTGGGGGCAGACGACCGTGGTGAAGCAGTCACAATTCTATAGACGCGTTTCTAGCTTCAGAGTCCGCTGAACAGGACTCGATCCGAGCGTGTGACTCCACCAATGGATTGCTCGTTCGAAAAGCAATCCATTGGTGGGGTCACACGTTCAGGTCGAGTTCCATTAAGCGACTCCGGAGCTCAAAACGCGTCCGGTCTCCTGGCCCACTGTACGCCGTAAACGTGTTCACGGCGCGAAGAGGTCGCTGACGGGCACCGCGTTGATGAGGTTCTTGATGACGGCCTCCACCACCTCGCGCGCTGCCTCCACCATGCTGGGGCCCAGCTCCCTCAGGACGTCGCGCCAGTTGTCGTTCAGGAACTTGTTCAGTTGGTCTCCTGCAAATGAGATGGGGATTGAGGCAAATGCCGGTCAGGCGCGGATACTGCAGAGGGAAGGGGTTCTTGCCCCCTCCCTTTTTGACAACTAATGGTAGCGGCGGCTGAATTCCCGAACGCGTTTTGAGCTCCAGAGTCTCTAAATGGGACTCGAACCGAACGTCCACCAATGGATTGCTCTCTGAACGAGGAATCCATTGGTGGGGTCAAACGTTCGGTTCGAGTCCTGTTTAGCGAGTCTGGAGCTCAAAACGCGTCTTGAGTTTTGGCCGCCTCCACCGGTCTTCTGGCCCACCGTGATCCGTCACGATGCCAGAACGTCGTGAAACAAGAAGCTGTTCCTCACCCAGACGACGGTCCCCGTTGAAGAGTCCATTCAGCTCGCACTTGAGTCCGTCGGCGTCGGTGATGCGAATCTTGGAGTTGACGAGCGTGGAGTACTCCTTGCCGTCCGCGCCCTTCCTCAGAGGCCAGTCAAACGAGTAGTGCAGCTTGAGATTTTCTGCGGACAACAGTGAGGGACTTTACTCTGTCTCTGTGCTAAAGGGTATCTGTCGCAAGATTTTGCAATTTTAAAGCAGCCGAAAAGTCGTTGCAAGCTTAGCGCCTGGAGGGTGGGCCTTCCCGTCACACACCAGTGCGGCGACGTTGCCTACCCAGCACTTCGCAGGCGCCAGAGCCCTGCGTCACTGTTAAAAATGTGCACTGCACTTTACGTGCAGCAGCGGGGGAAGGTGAACCATATCGTTGTGGACGGTCGGGTGAAACCTTGAGACACCACACCACACGGCAAACGAAAGTCCCACTGCAAAGCCGGTGGTAAGTTTGCTTGCCACAAATTTGACGAGCCGTTTTGAATGCCAAAAATTGCCCCCCCCCCCTCTCTCTCTCTCTCTCTCTCTCTCCCTCTCTCTCCCTCCCTCTCTCTCTCTCTCTCTCTCTCTCTCTCTCTCCTCTCTCTCCTCTCTCTTCTCTCCTTCTCTCTCTCTCTCTCTCTCTCTCTCTCTCTCTCTCTCTCTCTCTCTCTCTCTCTCTCTCTAGCCTAGGCATACGTACGGAAGGTGAAGTTGGAGGGCCCGCTGCCCGTCATGGGCAGCAGCAGGATCCTGCCGGCCGCCTTGTAGGGCCCCGCCATGACGAACGTCGGGAACGTCAGGTCGAAGCTGTTGGTCTTCTCCTTCCAGCTCAGCCTGCAAACCGGCAATTTTTTAATTTTTTTTTGTTTTAAAAAAATAGAGGTCTGCTCGCTTAAACCCTTACGAAAGTATTTTGAGCATACATAGTACAAACTAATTTACTTTGTTATGCAAAGAAATAGTTCGTAAATTACACACGTTAAAAAACGGTTCCTGGTTTTCCCAGGAACTTTCTGGAAATCGCCTATGTTTCTCCCATAGACTTCCTGGGAAAACCAGGTACCGTTTTTACCGCGCAAAATATTTTCTTTGGTAGCTTATGTGTGCTTAAATTACTTTGCCACAACAAGCTGATTTGCTTTGTAAGGCCTAAAATAGTTTGTAAGGTTTCCCCAGTGTATTTCACATGTTTTTTCACACATTTTTCAAGCGACAGTTTAGAAATGTAGACATTACGTGCAGACAAAGATAGTAGTTTAGGATATGGGTGGCGTTAAGTCTGTGGCGGAGCCAGAGGAGAGGTCCGGTGTGTGTGGGGTGTGTGGGGAAGGGGGGGCAAACGTTTCAGGGGTACACCGCGACTCTTACGCCTCCCTTTAAGATGTGCACACACTGGTGAAACAAAGGCATAAAAATTATGCCCCTAAAGGGCGTAAACGATTTACGCCCTTAAAGGGCATAAATCGTTAATGCCTTTGGGAAGGGCATTAAAATTTTGCTTGAATTGCTATACCATTTACGCCGTCCCAAGGGCATAACGATTATGCCCTTGCAAGGGCGTAAAAGAGTATTAATGCCCTAAAGGGCGTAATTTTTATGCCTTTGTTTTACCAGTGCACACACACATTAAAGAAACAAACAAACTCAAACACACACACACACACAGTGCACCTGCACCTGGACAAAGTCGGGCGTCACTGCCAAGGCGAACCAGATCCGAGCGGAGCAGCGGGTCGGAGCGGGAGAGGCGCAGAGCGGTGCGCCGATGTATATATTCCCCTATTTTTAAACTCCCGCAATGAGTTGCGACGCACGCCAACGGCACGCGACGCGATGATTGCGATTCATCTATAAATTATGGAGGTGCGTTTCCTGACTCGCAGCCAATCGGATGGAAGAGACCGAGGGAGACACACCGCTTTCAGTGCCAGCCCTACCGGATGCGACGGCGAGGTGTTCGAATTTAGTCAAGCATGATGGTCCAGTGTTGACAGGGTCGCTAAATGGGACTCGAACCCAACGTGTGACCCCAACGATGGATTGCTCTTCGAACGAGGAATCCATTGGTGGGGTCACACATTCGGTTTGAGTCCTGTTCAGCGACTCTAGAGCTCAAAACGCGTCAAGAGTTTTACCCGCCTCCACCCCTCCACCGGTCTTCTGGCCCACTGAGCAATATCGACACCCTTCCGGATCAAGATACCAGGATTCGAACAGCCGATGCGCGCGACACGCTCGGTGGAGCGTTGGGCACCCCGGTGCCACACTGGGGACCTTGCCCCAAGGTGAGCCAGCCCACAACGACGAGTCGACTCTCTCCCTCTCTCTCCTTTCTCTCTCTCGCTCGCACGCGCGGTGCGCGGTCACCGGCCCGGTCACCGACTCCTCTCCTTGCCACACTTGCTACACACACACACACACACACACTGCTCTCCTTTCTTGACCTGGAGCGCAGCGTACAGTGTACTGTCTCTCTCGCACCTCTAGAGAATGCCCCACGAGTGCGAGAGAGATGGCAGGACGGAAACGAGTCTCGGAATCCGTCTGCAGAGCAACGCCGTCTGAACAGCGATTCCCACGGACCTGTTGCAATTGATGTGCCTTGGCTCCTTGCAAGGCCGCGCGCACAAGGCCCTCCGAACGAGGAATCCATTCGAGACGCGTTTTGAGCCCCAGAGTCGCTAAACAGGACTCGAACCGAACGTGTGACCCCACCAATGGATCGCTCTCCGAACGAGGAATCCATTGGTGGGGTCACACGTTCGGGTCGAGTCCCATTTAGCGACTATGGAGCTCAAAACGCGTCTAAAGATTTGGCCGCTTCCACCGGTCTTCTGGCCCACCGTGACTCACTTCATGTTGCTGATCTTGGCGTCCCGCAGCCCGTAGATCTCCAAGGGGGCCCACGTCAGGTTGAGGTTGATCTGCCCCGAGCCCTGCGCCAGCGACACTCGCGGCACCACGAGCGGGTTCATGTTAGGGATCTTGAGCTTCTTGTCGCCTGGGCGAGACACAAGCAATTGCACTCATCACAAACAACTTTGCAGCGCACGGCGGTACACTCTGTACCACTGTTATAAAACCCTATGAAGAAAATGAAAACAGTGTCACATTTGGCTTCACCTAACCTAAATGTGTGAATGTGACGTCACATTCGTTCAACATTCAATTGAATGTTGATCCACGTTCGAACGAATGTGACACCCTACTTTAACGGCCGAGTCACGTTCAAACGAATGTGACATCATATTCAAACGAACGTGACAAAATTTACACTATTTCCAACGAATGTGACGTCACATTCGTTGGCTACGAGTGACCGGTTTGTAATTTCAATGCCTTTCCCGCACGGTAAAAACGGTTCCTGGTTTTTCCAGGAACTCCCTGGAAATCGCCTATATCTCTAACATTGGCTTCCTGGGAAAACCAGGTACCGTTTTTACCGTGCGTACCATATTTCCTATACATTTTCCTTACCAAAATCAAGCATTTTTTGTTCTCCTGTTTACGCTTGCGTTACTCACCGTTGGTAAGTGCGGGGATCCCCGCGTTGGCCGCACTCTGCGCGCATTCGCTCATGGCAGGCTCCGGCAGCGACCGCGAGCACGGCTTGCCAAAGTAGGCCGCTGAGATGTAAACAAACAAAAACACAAACAAAAACAATAAGACTGTGAGTGGTTTTGTGAGGTTTTGGTTCACCGTAGTGAAGGTCCACTGTGTGGGCATGCCTGCCGGTCGGTGTCGACGCACAGTGGACCAGAAGACCGGTGGAGGCGGCCAAAATTCTAGACGCGTTTTGAGCCCCAGAGTCGCTAAATGGGACTCGAAACGAACGTGTTACCCCACCAATGGATTCCTCGTTCGGAGAGCGATCCATTGGTGGGGTCGCCACTCGTTTGGTTCGAGTCCTGTTTAGCGGCTCTGGAGCTCAAAACGCGTCTCGAATTTTGGCCGCCTCCACCGGTCTTCTGGCCCACTGTGCGACTGGCCCTCCGGATGGGGAAGGCCGCCCCGAGAGTAGCCCTATCGGAAGCGTCACTTCTTCAGTAAAGAGTCGCTAAGTGGGACTCTAACCGAACGTGTGACCCCACCAACGGATTGCTCTCCGAACGAGGAATCCATTGGTGGGGTCACACGTTCGGTTCGAGTCCCATTTAGCGACTCTGGAGCTCAAAACGCGTCCGGGATTTCGACCGCCTCAGCCGGTCTTCCGGCAAATCCACTGTGGACTCACGGAGCTTGGCGCCGTCGGCCGCGGCGAGCAGCGCGGCGAGCACCAGGGCGGCGGCCAGCGCGTCCATGGCGGTGTCTCGGTGCGCACTGCACTGGGCACCTCGGCGACTGCAATTTGTACCCCCGGAAGACGCGCCAAGAGTCCCGTCCCGAGTGCAAGACGCCGCGGTGCAGAACGCACCCGCCGCCGGAGCCGCTTTCGTCGCTCTGTCTCTCTCGCACTCGTGGTGCGTCCAGTTGAGGTGCGAGAGAGACAGAGCGACGACAACGACACTTGGAATCAGTCTGCTGGTGGGCCTGGCGGCGCGAGCGATCCACTGCTATCCGAGCGGGGTAGCAGGGGAGAGGAATGGGAAGGGAATGGGTGGGGGGAGTGGAGGCGTGGTGGACAACAACACCAAAAGAAACGAGAAAAAAACCGCAGGAGCGTTCGCTGAGTGGCGGTACGTTCATTTGATTGGATGCATGACGAGAGGGCGATTCGCTTTGTTGGGCCTAACCTAACCTAGCCGTCGTTGACAGGTATGCACAGCTATACAAGACGCCGTGTTATCTCCCTCTGGCCGCGAAGCTATAGTCACACAATCAACGCTGCGAACCGGCGACATCGGCAGACACCCCCTCAGGCTCCGAAAGGCAGACGATCATTTGTGGCCCAGCCGCTAATAGCAATAGCTGTGGTGGCAGGGGCAACGTAGCCAGTGCCACAGGCTTCACTCGGGCGTGTTGCAGGTCGGTTGGGTGGCCTACCTCCCAGGCGCTACACCGGTAAAACTGAAGCGTAGTTGTATGCTTGATTCAAGCATACAACTACGCTTGAAGACTTTACGCTTGACGTCAAGCGTAAAGAAGAAATTCTCCCATGCCTTTAGATAGGCGGGAGAGGGGCAAAATGGAGAACTATGCTTGAAGCCGAGCGTAGTTCTACTACGCTTGAAGAAAGGCGTAAAACTACGCCCGAGTTCTACCAGTGTATGCCGGCAGGGTAGGCCGCCGTCTCCAAGCTTTAGATTTACCAGTCAAGCAATAGTTCGTAAGTTACAAAGTTTGCACGCTTGCATTTTCGCATTTTCTTTGTAAGCTTGCACACGTTCAAAATACTTCGTTATGAGGCTAATTTTTCTTTATAGAACTGTGAGGCCTGAATTTTTTTTGTAAGGTTTCCAGGAGTGTGGGTAGTAAAAACAATTAATTTTCCAAGGAATGCATTTATTTATTCTAGTGTGCCCTGTTGATGGGTCCGTCACACTGGCTGCACGAAGCGGGCGTACTTGGTCGTCGCCACATCGCGGAAGAGACGTGCCGAGTTCTTGAGCACCCTGGGCCGGTTGGGGTCGTCGTAGTCGACGTGGGCCAGGCCGAACCTCAAGCTGCAAGGAACAAGAAGGCACGGTGTGCACTCTCAATTTGAATTGAATCTATATGCCAAACCTAAACTTGTTAACTTTCTACGAGACCTTACAGGCTCTTAAACGGACCACAGTGGGCCAGAAGACCGGTCAAGGGGAAATCACTGTGAAATTTCGGTGTGATGAATTTAAGTCGAATTCTGATGAATTTTAGTCAAATTAGCGTGAATTTCAGTCGAATTCTGAAAAAATTGAGTCGAATTTCGATGAGTTTTAGTGACTTTTACATGTTTTATGAATTTTGGTGAGCAAATTTGGATGGAGTTAGTTCCCTTTGCGACCGGTACATAAATGTGTAATTCCTTCTTTAAATAATAATAAACTACGAAAATTATCGAGTCAACTGCGGAGTCTCGTTCAAATTTGCACGCATTATTCGGTGTGTGTGAGAGTGTGTGTGGGGGGGGGGGGGTATTCTCCCAAGCAGCACCACTCTGAATGTATTGAAGTGAAATTTGAGAGCAATGTAATGGGATCGTACCCATATTACGTGACCGATTTTAGGCCACTTTTTGACCCCCTCCCCCCTCCTCGTGACCTGGATAACCTAACCTTCCCATGTTTTTAAGATAGGGCGTAGTATTTGGCTAGCCCCCCCCCAAAAAAAAATAAAAATAATAATAATAATCGGTCACGTAATATGGGTACGGCCAACTGAATTCGGTGCAAGCAATATTTCTCCATATCACGAATCTTGCATCGATATTCACTGCTGTAGGTAAAAAAGAAAAGCCCTAGTACTTACACCATTTAGTACCATTTGGAGTGGGGTGACTAAAAGGCACCTACCTGAATCCGTCGCTCCATTCCAGGTTGTCCTCCAGACACCACGCAGTGTAGCCGATGACGTTGCAGCCATCTTCGTTGATGGCCCTGGCTAAAGCTCGCATGTACGTCTGTGGAAGAGGGCAAGGTTAAGTCTCCAGCACGAAAGCAAGTCATGTGCGCTGTCAGGAAGCCACTTCATGACTAAATCAAAAATGATATTTTCATCACAAATTTGTAACATTTTCATCCCAAATTGACGACATTTTCATGAAAGCTCATTTCCCTATTGTCAAGTGACAATCAAAATTCTTACTGTCCCCTCAGGTCACAGTGAGTCAGCGGTCTGGTGGAGGCCGCCGAGCTCTAGAGTCGCTACACAGGACTCGAACCGAACGTGTGACCCCACCAATGGCTTGCTCTCCGAACGAGCAGTCCATTGGTGGGGTCACACGTTCGGTTCGAGAACCACTCAGCGACCTCGGAGCTTAAAACGCGTCCGGGATTCGGACCACTTCCACCGGTCTTCTGGCCCACTGTGCACGGCCTAGGGCCCACACTTACGCTGTAGTAGCCCTCTCGGCCAGGGTCAGAGGTGTACTCGTCATGAGCGCCGGCGTAGCCGTTCTCGGTGACCAGCACGGGGAAGTTGTCGTACCGGTCCTTGATCCAGTTGAGCACGGCCCTGAAGCCCCATGGCGCCACCTGCAACGAGAGGCGTCGTTCTTTGAACGTACTCAAAATAACCTTAACTCACCACGTGATCTTCAGATAGTACAGCAGTAGGAATCTTTGCGCCCCCAAAAGACACAATTTTTTTGCCTTTTTCTTTGCAGTGCGGCCGCACTGTGGGCAATAAGACCGCTGGTGGGGGCGGTAATAATCCCGGACGGGTTCTGAGCTCCAGAGTCGCTGAATCACTAACGCAAAAAGCTACGGAAAATTCTGTAAACAGCTTGTGGTAATTCTCCGTAGCCCCCTTACAAATATTCTCCGTAGGCTCTTACAGTATTCTCCGTAGGACCGTACAGTCATCTCTGTAGGACCTTACAGTGTTCTCCGTAGGCCTATAAAGTCTTCCAGGTCCTACGGAGACGGCTGTGCGGTCCTACGGAGAACACTGTACTGCCCTACGGAGAGTACTAAGAGCCTACGGAGAAAGGGCTACGGCGAGGGCTACGGAGAATCCTGGCAAAAAAAACTAACAGAATTTTCCGTACCTTTTTGCCACAGTGATGGCACTTGAAACGAACGTGTGACCCCACCGATGGATTGCACTCATAACGAGGAATCCATTGGTGGGGTCACACGTTCGGTTCGAGTCCCATTCAGCGACTCTGGAGCTCAAAACGCGTCTGGACGAGGGGGTATGCACTCGCGTAATAGTCGGTCCACTCTATCTGTAATAGCACGCGTAATAATACGCGTAATAGTCGCGTGATAGCCGAAATTGTCAAAATTTTGTCAATTTTGGTGTGTTTTAGGCCATTTTTAGCTAAATTCCGATTAATTTGTGGCGTAATAGAGCGTAATAGCGTAATAGTCGGTACAGAGGTTCAGAGAGCGCATACCCCCTCGCGTCTGGAGTTTCGGCCGCCTCCACCGGTCTTCTGGCCCACGGTGCACCCGAGTCCTCCGCTTGTCGCGCGCTCACCACAAAGCTTCCCCGGGCGGTCTTCAGCCACGAGGAGCGCGTGAACCCCCTCACGTTGGTGTCGTTCGTCATGGAGGGGGAGGTGACGGCGGCGGTGGCGGTGCCAGGGGTCGTCAGGCTGATGCTGTAGTGGTTGAGCCCGATGAAGTCCATGGTGTTGACGATGAGGGCCTTCTCCGCGGCGGTGAAGGTGGGCAGCCTGGACACGGTGAGGCCGTTGCCGAAGCTGTTCCTGTCGACGATCTCCCGCATGAGGGCGGGGTAGTCGCCCTTCATGACCGGGTCGGCGATCCAGGCGAAGGTGAAGACGTTGGACCTCTCGGCCGCCTCCACGTCCTCGGGGCTGTCGGAGGCCGGCACGTGGAACTGCAGGTCGAAGGAGCTGCCGACCTGGCCTGCCGAGCAACAGGAGCAGGAATGACACAGTGGGCCAGAAGACCGGCGGAGGCGGCCAACAGTCTAGACGCGTTTTGAGCTCCAGTGTCGCTAAATGGGACTAGAACCGAACGTGTGACCCCACCAATGGATTGCTCTCCGAATGAGGAATCCATTGGTGGGGTCACAAGCTTGGTTCGTGTCGTGTTTAGCGACTCTGGAGCTCAAAACGCGTTTAGAGATTTGGTCGCCTCCACCGGTCTTATGGCCCACAGTGCACAGTTAAAACCTTTTGGAGTATTTTTCGATCTGATGTACAAACTATATCGTTTGTTATACGCAATAATCGTTCGTAAATTACGAAGAACATATTTTCGTCGTAAGTTAATGCATGCTCAAAATACTTCGTTATGACAAGCTACTTTTCTGGGTAAGGCCTTAAATAATTTGTAAGGTTTGGAGGGTGAAGCAACGAACAGTGGCTGCCATTGCAGCTAGTTTGGCAGGAGGGGAGCTCAGGGGCATGGCCGCAAACTGTTTTTCTACTGATGTGCCGTCTCTTTCGTTGAAATGTCAATTTTGTCACGTTCATTTGAATACGATGTCTCATTCGTTTGAACTTCGATCAACATACGCATGTGACATCGCACTCAAACGAACCTGACCAAATTAACATATAAGCGAAAGGCGTCACATTCGTTTAACAAAAGTGGAGTGCCGCAGCGCCTTACACGTGAAATTTGTGTGGCATTCGTACATAAAAGCGTATCTACCGTGGGATTCCCTATGAAGATACGTCGTTCTGTCAGATGATCAGTCATTTAAGCCCTTTGGTGCACTGCGCTGTACCTCCTTGAGTCGCCCTGTAGGTGTCGTTGTACAGGTGGTAGGCCTTGGCGTGAGCCAGGATCATGTTGTGGACGCAGGTGTAGCCTCCAGTCCCAGCCAGGCCGAGGCCAGGTGCGTAACTGGAGCCCTCGTAGCCACCGTTGCAGAACACGTGGGGCTCGTTCAGGAGCAGCCACGTCTTAACCTGAACAGGGAGGCACACTGCTAGAAAAAGCCACTACAATTGTAGTTTGTAGATTTAAATCTACAAGAATTCCTGGCGATTTTTTTTCATCAGGAATGGATTGTTCTTTCAAAGTACAACGATTGATGTACTAAGTACAATGGAACCGGCATCACCAGTCCAGAGTCCAGGCCTTGTTCGCTTTCTAGAATTCTTCTTGTACATATTTTTTCACAGTTGTCGTTGTACTTTTGTTGGACTGTTCACACTTTTTCTTGGCGTGCAGAGAATGTGCCTTAGTTTCTCTGATGCTTTCATTACTTTACCATAACTCTCACGAGCCAAAATATTTTTCTCTCGAATTTCTCTCGGTTTCCCAGTAAAAGTCAACAACGATTTGAGATTTCTTAAATTTACAGTGGCATCCTTAAAAAGCTTCCCTACTTTCTCGTGACAGCTATGACAAAAAAAAACACTATTTACTCTGACCTTCTTTGACATTTCAGATTTGGCTTACCCTGTCACCGAAAGTCTTGAACGCAAAGTCGGCGTAGTCGAGGAAGCGGTCCTGAATGGCTTCCGTCATCCAACCGCCGTCGTCTTGGTAGAGTTGCGGGATGTCCCAGTGGTGCAGCGTGATCTGGCGGCGGACACAAGGGGAAATCACTGTGAATTTCGGTGTACAAGTCCAATGAATTTCAGGAAAATCTCAATAAATTTCAGTACAATTACGATGCATTTCAGTCGAATTTCGATGAATTTTAATGAATTTCCGTGAACTTTATATGTTTGATGAATTTTGGTGTAACAATTCGGCTTGAGTTAATTCCCCTTGGGCGGACATGAGTGCTTTGGACTGTCGCAACTTTGCTTTCCACTACGCGCTTAATGCCTTTTGTCTGTTTGTCCATTTCACCAGTGCATAGGTAAGTTATGTGCAAAGTCCGTCTATTTGGTACAATTGCATAAATACTTGTGCCAAAAACTCACATTATAACGAAAATGACAGAGTAGTGGCCAACTTACGACAGGTTCGATGTTTTGGCGCAGCAGTTCGTTGATGAGGTTGTCGTAGTAGGCCACTCCCTCGGGACTGGAGCCAGCCGCTTGGCTGCCACCGGGCAGCACTCTGGTCCAGGCCATGGAGAAGCGGTACATGTTGACCTGCAGCACACGCGGGGATCCATTGGTGGGGTCACACGTTCGGTTCGAGTCCCATTTAGCGACTCTGGAGCTCAAAACGCGTCTAGAGTTTTGGCCGCCTCCACCGGTCTTCTGGCCCACTATGTGCTGGTACTCACGCCGAGGTCCACGAGCAGTTGGACGTCCTCCTGCCACTTGTGGTACGAGTCGTCCGCGACGTCGCCGTTGTCCATCCCCGGCCGGCTGTGGAAGAACACGTCCCAGATGCTGGGGGACTTGCCTGCAACGAATGCCGAGGCGCCGGGTCCATGTCAGCACTACACACCGGGCCAGAAGACCGGTGGAGGCGGCCAAAATTCCAAACGCGTTTTGAGCTCCTGAGTCGCTGAATGGGCCTCGAACCGCACGTGTGACTCCACCAATAGATTGCTCTCCGAACGAGGAATCCATTGGTGGGGTCACACGTGCGGTTCGAGTCCCATTTAGCGACTCTGGAGCTCAAAACGCGTCTGGAGTTTTGGCCGCCTCCACCGGTCTTCTGCCTCTACTGTGCACTAGATAGACTCAGAGAAGCTGCAGACGAAAAGGAAACTCCTCTCTCGGCCCTCACCGTCCTCGTTCCAGGCCCCTTCGATCTGGTAGGCGGCGGAGGCCGTGCCGATTTTCAGGTCAGCCGGAAGCTGGTACATGGACTCCGGCACCGAGCTCCTCGGCTCGTACAGGTCTTCCTCGGGGTGGTCGCCGTCGTCATCGTCTAAGGCAGGGTGGGGCACAGTTACAGGGTGTATAGTTCCACATCAACACTGAGAATCCAAACGCTATGAATAAACACTGAAAAATCAAACGTGGTCTACACTGCAAGAAAAAGTGTGAAAAGTACGACAAAAACTGTACAATAAAAGTACAACAGGGATTGTAGAAAGTACAACGAGAATTGTACAAACCACAACGAGGCCTGGACTAAAAAGCACTCCTTTAATAATTCAAAGAACTGAGCAAACTGAAGGGTGTACAAGGTTTGTAGTTTAATAAGGTTTTCATAGAGCACACTTAACGAAATTTCGCCAAAAGTAAGTTGTGCAATGAGAAAAGCCAACGCGTTTGAGTCCACACAAGGTACAAGGCATGCCTTGCAAGTTTTGTGTTCATCGTGGGCCCTAGGTCACGTCCCAGAGCCCCCTATCTTCCCTGCAGAAATTTGAGCGCGCCCAGATAAGAACTGCTATAATCCGTGGTCCAATATTTTGAGCGCGCGGCCAAGATTTAAATACAAGAGATCGCGTGCCGAGTAAGGTGCTTGCTCTCGCTATGCACAGTGGGCTAGAAGACCGGATGAGGCGGCCAAAATTCTAGCAGCGTTTTGAGATCTAGAGTCGCTAAACAGGACTCGAACCGAACGTGTGACCCCACCAATGGATTGCTCTCCGAACGAGGAATCCATAGGTGGGGTCACACGTGCGGTTCGAGTTCCATTTAGCGACTCTGGAGCTCAAAACGCGTCTGGAGCTTTGGCCGCCTCCACCGGTCTTCTGGCCCACTGTGCTGCGTCATGCTGCTGCCGACGGCTTACCGGGAGTGCCGGTGCTGACGCAGCGCTCGGTGGAGACGTCGAAGGTGGTGCCGGCGGGGCAGGTGCCGGGGATGGGGTCGGTGAAGGTGTTGGTGGCCGTCTGGATGCACTCGAAGTACCTGTCCGGGCTGGACTCGTCGGGGAGGCGCCCCTCGCGCAGGCACGCCAGGGCGCAGTCCCCGTCCGCCGTGATGGCGTGGTTGGCGCCGCAGTCCGCCACGTAGGCGTGCGCGGCGTTGTTGTCGGTGCACACGAAGTACACGCTGTGCTCGCTGCGCCACTGCTGGTAGGTGCCCACGTTGTTGTTGTTGCAGGCCACCGTGTTGCACGTCGCCTCCGTGCTGCAGGGCAAGCCGTGGAGGTCAGAGCCGCGAGGGGGAGGCGTGCACAGTGGGCCAGAAGACCGGTGGAGGCGGCCAAAACTCAGGACGCGTTTTGAGCTCCAGAGTCGCTAAGCAGGACTTGAACCGAGCGTGTGACCCCACCAATGGATTCCTCGATCGGAGAGCAATCGATTGGAGGGGCCACACGTTTGGTTCGAACCCAATTTAACGGCTCGAGCTTCGAACGCGTCTTGAGTCTTGCCCACTGTGGGCCAGAAGACCGGTGGAGGCGGTCAAAATCCCGGACGCGTATTGAGCTCCAGAATCGCTTAATCGGACTCGAACCGAACGTGTGACCCCACCAATGGATTCCTCGATCGGAGAGCAATCCATTGGTGGGGTCACACGTTCGGTTCGAGCCCCATTTAGCGACTCTGGAGCTCAAAACGCGTCGAGAGGTTTGGTCTTCTGCGCCGCTCCTGTGGCCCACTGTGCCTCCGGCGAGAGGCATCAAGTGACGGGCCGCACCTGGGCACGCAGAGCGCCTTCTCGTAGCTGAAGACCGTGTTCTTGTACGGCGTGCAGTCGAAGGCGTAGGCCTGGTTGTTGGCGCACAGGTAGTACTTCTGGCAGCTGGAGGGCGACGGGAAGTAGCCGTCGCCGTTACACGTGAAGGTGGTGTCGGCGGTGGGCTCCGCGCTGCAGTCGTCGGGCAAGGTGGCCACGCACGCGCCGTTGGAGCAGTACGGCGTGGTGCCGGAGCAAGTGGTGGTCGTGAGCGGGCGGTACACTGCGCCGAGCCGCGTGCACGTCAGCAGCGTGGTGCAGTCGGTGCAGCGGGCGAGCTGGCTCTGGCAGTCCTGCGTGGCGTCGGCCGTGGCACCCAGGCTGGCGCCCAGCAGCGGGTGCGACTTGGGCTTCAGCGTGCGCGGGCTGGTGGTCACTGCGGCCTCCACCTGAAGGGCCAAACGCGCTTCAAACCTTGCCAAGAGCATGCACGCACCAAGGGGTCCACAACTCTGGTAATCGTGTGTATACACTCTAAATGTCTTACAATGAAATTTGACCTATGTTATTCGTATGTTGCAGTGAATTCGGCACAAGCATAATACGAAGCAATGTTCCTACGTAATACGAATCCTTTTAGCTTTTTCACTGTAAGATACAAAGAAAAACCACCTTCGTATCATGCTTGCGCCATTTCCATCGTATTATGGGAAATTTCTTCGTAAGACATTTAGAGTGTACTTCGTCCGGTAACCATTGGTAATCTCACGCCAAAACTGGCTATTTTCGCTGTTTTTATCGAATTTTTTTTTTGTAATGACTATAGGCCAAAAATGCTCCAAGCTGGCGAAAATTATAGACTTTTCTGGGTAGTTTTGTAGGCAATCGCTGGTAATCAGAAATCCTGTCCACACTCCTGAGCTGAGTGGTGGACGAAAACTGAAGGTTGAGAATCGCGACCAAAATTTGGCGCGAAACATTTCTCACCGTCTTGTGGTGAGCATAAAAATTTTCACCAAATTTTGGAATGAATTGTTCTTGCAAGATAACGAGTTAAGAATTCCTCACCACTTCATGGTCACCGCTAATGAGGCGAGAATTTCAATTCTCTTTCAATTTGATTCTCACCTCACAACGGTGAGATATTTTTTTTCTGACCCCTGCGATGGCTGAATTTCTCATCTTTGAGTTTTCAGTGTGCAATAAGGTACAAATTAGCTGAACAATAGCCAGTCTCACTGATGTGTGATCTTTTTATGGTCATGCATTTAAGTATTACCCTTTTTCGGTCATACATTTGTGTATGACCGTTTTTCGGTCATACATTTGTGTATGGCCGTTTTCCGGTCATACTTTTTGTATCACCGAAAATCGGTCAGATGTCTCACTCTTCGAATTTCAGTGTGTGGACCATCGTCAAGAATGACGTCTCCGCACGGCATCACACAGTGGACTCACCGCGACAGCGGCCACGGCGAGCAGGAGCACGATGTGGGTGGCCATGTTGGTGTCCTTCCCTTGCTTCCCGACTGACACGTCCTGCCACGCGCGCGCCCGCCTTTTAAGCGCCGCTTATAATCCTATTTGTCTCGCCTCTATGTTTGACTGGGCTCGGCACCCGCGTTGTGCAAATACCATCTTTACAGGAAGGTATCATAGCAAACTGTCGCATGACTTTACAGCATAAGTCGCCCTTGCCATTCATCTCGATAAACAGAGCAACCTTGTGTGGGCTGTGCTCATCACTACAAATCCAAAGGTCAGACTTCTCGCCACTCCAGAGGCGAGACAAAAAGTCTCGCAAAGTTTTGATCAGATCTAAACGTATCGCCAAAATTTATTCAGACAAAACAGTCTTGCCACAAAGTGGTACGTCGGACACAAAAGTCTCGCCACAAAATGGCGCGCCACCCAAAGGCCGTAATGCACCCGACGGTTACGGCCTAAATAAAGGCCGTGGTCAGACACTAAAGTCTCGCCATTTTAGGGCGAGACTTTTTTTGTCTGACCAAATTTTGGCGAGACTTTCAGACTTTAAAGTCTCGGCATATTTTGGTACTAAGTTACTATTGTTACAAATTTTTGAGATAAAACCGAGTTTACGGTTACCGCGATGCAATAATTCAGGAACTTTTTCTTTGAAGTAGCCACTTTTCAAGTTTCGTGATAAGAGACTATTTTCCAAACATTCATCGCAATTTTTTAAGCCATAAATTTTTATTGCTTTACATTGTGTATATTATTGCAAACATCGAGGGGTCCTATTCAAATGATCTTATCTGGACGTTTCCCCCAAGACAATCTTATCTTAAACGCAGGCGAATTTCACGTATTGATCATTTGGGACGGATACGAGATTGGTTTCTTTGGTCTTTCATCTTCAAGTTCAAGCGAATTCAATCCCAAATGACATTGTTTTGTAGCTGTATCAAATGATCAAACTGAGTGAAATTTGCGTGCGTTTAAGATAAGATTCTCTTGGGGGGAACGCCCAGATAAGATCTTTTGAATAGGACCCCTCGACATGTAATACCTATTTGCAAAAGTTAGCAACAACTTTGTAATTGTATAGATTTTTTGTATCATTACTGCAAAGCATTCTGTGATAAGTTTTTTTAAAAATTTTTTTAAAAAATATACACATTGGTTATTGCAGTTTGATTTAAAGTGGCGCGCGGGCCGAACGCGAGCCGAACGGTGTTCGGCTGGACTCGGTCACCCGCTCGGCGGGACCCGACTCGTCAAACATCGCCAGCTGCGGCGTGGCGGGGCGGTGGGGATTGCCCGGACACCGTCCCGGCTAAGCTGAGCCCTGTCCCGCGGCGAGAAGGGTGCGCGGCCCGGACCGCAGGTAGGCCGGACGGGTGTTCGAGTCAGCCGTCTGGCGTCGCGCGCGCCATCTCGCGAGCGGAAGGAAAACCCTATCTCGACCCAAAACATGCTTCACGCTAGGCAGCCTCGAGCCGCCACCGTATCTCCCTCCACCGTGATACACACTTCAGTTGGGAGAGTATGTCTTGGCAAAGCAGGCTTCGCACCCAGCTGCTTGATACGCTCCGTTATTTCAGATGAATTTTACACCGGAAGTGGAAACGGATTCACGCTTGGACTCGATTTCACTATTATTTGTGAGTGGGGGCGCTGCTGAAAGAAGAAGAAGGAAGATTTTCGACGCCTCTGGAGACCACTGCCGAATGCTACGGAACCCTGGCTGAAGGTAAATGTTTCCATTGTCTGGCGGTAAAAAAAAATTCTCTCGGTAAAAACGGTTTTTGGTTTCCTCAGGAAGGCTTCCTCGTAAAACCAGGTGCCGTTTTTCCCGTGCTGCCTCTATCTAGTTCCTACTATCGTCTGAAATGGCTCCTTCCGGTGCAGCTGAGCTACCTCCAGCATCATCACGAGTTGACCAAAACATAAATGCTAGACAGGAATGAGTGAACTGTCCTAAGCTGAACCGTCATCGACTACATTTTGACGAAGTTTACAGCAGTGGCCGCTACACGGTAAAAACGCTTCCTGGGAATACCAGGAATCTCCTGGAAACTCCTATACCTTGTAACATAGGGCTCCTGGGAATCCCAGGTATCGTTTTTACCGTGAGGGTGGCGCGCAGCTGGTTCCTGTTTCTCGGCATCTTCTGTTACGATTGAAAGGAACTTTATAAGAATGCCGGTTTTGGGACGCGCACACACCCCCATCTCTGCTCTCCTTAAGGTTGCGCTGATCTTCCGAAGTTCCTAGTCCGTTCTTCTGACTTCCGGTTCACGACTGCGTCGAAGCAATAATTGGGCATTCTGACAAATCCCTGATCTCCTTGAGCCACTTCCGGTTTACTTATCTGCGATTAAAATCTGTCAATGTCAGTCACAGGCGGTACGCGTTGTTATCCTTGACTGAGTAAACTTCACAAACTATTGTAAGCCTTTCAAAGAAGTGCAGCTTATTAAAACGAAGTATTTTGAGGACACACAAGCTCTCAAAGAAATTCTTCGTAATTTCCGAACGGTTTATCCGAATAACAATGTAAATTAGTATGTTATATGTAACTACACAAGTTTCTAGGCTAAGCGTGTAGGTAGGTGCAGCAGGGTTGCGCGGACTTCGGCCAGGTGCAGTCGTATCTTTTTAGAGAGCCCTGGGATCTTATCTTCGGTGGATGAAGTAGTTGCGAAGATCTCCTATATGAGGGGGAATAGCCGTCATCTAGGTCTCCCAACTGATGGATCAATTCAGAGGCTCACTGTGCCCAGGCTCGAGCCTAGGCTTGTTCGTAGTCTTTTGCCTTCACAACACCAGGTGAAAGAGAATATGAAGCACCGGAAGCAGAAATCGTTTTGTTTAGAAAATTCGGCGGGCTCAGATCATGCTACTTAGCTTCGTTTAGTTTTGACAAATTTTAAGTAACTGGATGACCACTATGCAAGGTAGGTGTACGCCAGACCGTGTCTTGTCGTAACAGGTTTCGTGATGTCGACACGACAATAGATGCTTTCGCTCGTCGCCGAGTGAAGAGCAAAAGCAATCTATAAAAGATCAAAAGTAATCTAAAAGCCAGGTACTGGTTCCTAGCTTTTTGACTACCTTTGTTCTTCACTCGGCCTCGAGCGAAAGCGTCTATCCACGCCTGGTGTTTTCACCCACCTTTGCTTGCGGACCAGGGCCAGACATTGTACTTGCACATCGATATAATCTTAAGTCGAAATAGCATTCAGTGTTAGGTTTTCTGTGTGTGTGTGGAGGGGGGGGGGTAGGGGGGGCTCGTAAGAAGGATTTAGAGTCAGTGTGCACACGGTAAAAACGGAACCTGGTTTCTCCAGGAAGCCAATGGTAAAGGCCTAGGCGGTTACCAGGAAATTCCTGGGAAAACCAGGAACCGTTTTTACCGTGCATGTGCATGACATAACTCACTTGGAAGTTCCAAATTCTTGAACGAAAAGCCGGGATGTTCTTCTGAAAATATCTTTCTTTTCGATTTTACAGAGGACAACGCGGTTCCTGACAACGAGCCTCCAGGCCTGCGACCCACGGATCCTCACTCCGCCTTGGTGCAATCGTGGTTGGCGTCGCGTCGTGCTGCAGCCTGCCCTCGATGGAGTGCCAAGTGTGCATGTTGGCGTTCGACGACAGAAAGCACCGCCCCAAGGTGCTGCCATGCGGCCATTCGTACTGCCTCTGCTGCCTGAAGCAGCTCCGGTCCCGGCGGTGCCCAGTGGACAGCAAGGTGGGTTCACTAGAAAATCAAATGTGTGCTTAGCATACAGCTGTGGGAGTGTATCCACTCCCACAAGTATACTTGCAATTACACATCTATAGGTGTGTACTTGACAAGCGTACATCTATAGATGTGTACTTGGGCAAGTAGGGTCAGGGCGGGGAAGAACTGGACAGGGGAAGAACTGGACACCCCATATTTAACTTCAAATACCGGAGGCACAGGAAAAACATCTATCAAAAGTTGTTCCGTGGCATCAGCGGTTCATTACATGACAGTTGTCAGGCCAGTACATACGGCATTTGAAGTAAAATGTGGGGTGTCCAGTTCTTCCCCTGTCCAGTTTTTCCCCGCACTGACCCTATGCATCTATAGATGTGTACTCGGACAAGCACACATACATGACACCCATTTGACAGCACACTCCTATTGATGCATGCTTGCCCAAGTACACATCTATAGATGTATGCTTGTCAAGTACACACCTCGTACTTGCAAGTATACTCCCACAGCTGTGTACTAAGCACACATTTGATTTTGTAGTGTTTGAAGGGAAACAGAAAGGGAAATAAGAAGGGAAACAGAAGATTCACACGCTCAAAACCTGACGGTGTATCTAGAGCATACATTGTGCAAACTAAATTACTGTGTTGCACGAAGAACTAGTTCGTTCATTACGAAGTACTTTCTTTGTAAGCTTTTGTGTGTTCAAATATACTTTGTTATGACTAGCTAATTTTCTTTGTAAGAGCGAAAATAGTTCGTAAGGTTTTCAGAGTACTCTACAAACCTAACTGTCTACTACTTACACACTTTCAAACGCATGCTTGCAAGTTCACACTTACAAACGTATGCTTGGCCAAGTTCACACTTACAAATGCATGCTTAGCATGGATTTATACGGCGGCAAGCATGCGTCTGTAAGTGTGTACTTGCAAGCATGCATTTGTCAGTGAGTACTTAGTAGACACTTAAGTTTGTAGTGTACCGCTCCTCGGCGGAGTAATCCCATTTCCGAACACCTCCGAGGGCTCCTGAAGCGTGCCATTGCGAACCGAATAGACACATTTTGTTTTTACGTCCAGGTATTCGAGGCAGCCCCAGATGACTTGCTGGACAACTTTATTGTACTTGAAGCCACCAACAAGTAAGTAAGCCCATCAGCTAACGTTCATGAGTTTTATCTTGTCAAAAGTTAGCGGCTGGTGCGGTGCGAACAACTTTTTTAAACGTTAACCATGTTTTCGCAAGCTTCCAAGTCTCGTTCCACGTTCTAAACACTATGAAAAGCAAGGCAAAATAACTCCAGCCAAATTTGCACACCAAAGTGTAACAAACTTGTAAATTTCACTAAAGCTAATTGAAATTCATCAAGATTTGTTAAAATTCATCGAAATTCTTTCTTCTCAAAATTCAGTTGTTTTTGCCTGAAATTCGTCAATATTCAACTGAAATTCATTGGATTTGTACACTGAAATTCACAGTGATTTCCCCTTGATGAAATGCTCCCCACTTTCTCATTCCAGGAACGTGACATCACGTTCAAACGCATGTGACAAAGTGTCACGTTCGTTTGAGCATTGTGTCACATTTCTTTCGATGTGAATCAGCCATTAATTAGCTTATTCACATTCCAACGAATGTGACACAATGCTCAAACGACCGTGACATTTTGTCACATTCGTTTGAACTTTTACTTTTTAAAGAGATTTATTTTTCCTTGTTACATTGTCTTACATTACACTTTACAGTTGTGGTAGGGGTTGCCTTCCGGCTTTTCCCTTAACTAGGTCTGGGTATTTCTTAATTTTTATTTTGGTTGCTATTACTAGATTACTAAGTTACGTTCGGGGGAGCCTTTGGAGGCTTCTTTGCTGTAACTAGGGGTGCGGTTCCGGCCTCTCTAACGCGTCGTTTGAACGTGATGTCACGTTCCTGGAATGAGAGTGCAGCCGGATTCTAACGAGCTGACTTTCCAGGCCCGTCGAGACTGCGGCCCCCCGCTTCTGGTGCCTGCGCTGCAAGAGGGATGCGACCCACCGCTGCGAAGAGGAGCACCCGGTGTGCAGCCTCAAGAAGGCGCGGGCCATGGACGCGGCCCCGCTCCTGGAGGCGCTGCAGGAAGGCGAGGCGGCCGTGGCCGAGCTGCGCGACACACTGGACGACGTAGTGCGAGAGCTGGGAGACTTCCGCGACGAGCTGGAGCAGGAGAGGACCAGCTTGGCCTCGGCCAGGGAGCGCCTGCAGGACGCGCTGACGGCGGCCGCCCACGGCGCCGCCTGGGAGCAGGTGAAGCAGGCTGCGGTGCTGAGCGGTGAGTACCGTCGCACAGCGGGCCAGAAGACCGGTGGAGGCGGTCAAGAACCCGGACTCGTTTTGAGCTCCAGAGTCGCTAAATGGGACTCGAAGCGAACGTGTGACCCCACCAATGGATTGCTCTCCGAACGAGCTGTATACTATTATGCAGCACCATGTACATTTCAGGCAAGAAGATGCATAAAATGTTCACAATGATGCATAATATTATGCACACCTGAACGTATTTGTGCATGCATAATTTTTCATAAGAATTCATAGCTATGTACCGTTTAAGTCCTCAGTGCACTCTAAATGTCTTACAATGAAATTTGACCTATGTTATTCGTATGTTACAGTGAATTCGGCGCAAGCATAATACGAAGCAATATTCCTTCGTCATACGAATCTTTTTAACTTTTTCATTGTAAGATACAGTGAAAAGCCTTCGTAATACGAAGAAAAACCACCTTCGTAATATGCTTGCGCCGTTTCCTTCGTATTATGGGAAATTTCTTCGTAAGACACTTAGAGTGTGTGTTGAAAATGTCTTTTGAGGTTTCTAGTCCCCATTTTTCGTACGCAGGCCTGTCCAGGACCGCGGCGCGTTTGGTGGCCGACCTGGGCGACCCCGGTGCGGCGTGCAGTCTTCAGGTGCGACGCGGCGCGGATGGCGGTGTGGCGTGGCGGGGCGAGGTGCTGCCCGCGGAGACGCCGCGTCGAGACTGCTGCTGTGCCGTCTGGCTTGCAGTGGAGGACTGAAGCAACAAGAGCAAGGTTAGTCGGCCGCCTCCGTGCTCTGCTCAGTGGGGCAGAAGATCTGTGGAGGCGGTCAAAAGCCCGGACGCGTTTTGTGCTACTCCAGAGTCGCTAAATGGTACTCGAACCGAACGTGTGACCCCACCAATGGATTCCTCGTTCGGAGAGCAATCCATTGGTGGGGTCACAAGCTCGGTTCGAGCCCCATTTCGAGGGGTCCTATTCAAAAGATCTTATCTGGGCGTTCCCCCCAAGACAATCTTATCTTAAACGCAGGTTAATTTTACATAGTTTGATCATTTGGTACAGCTACATATCAATATAATTTGCGAGTTTGTTCAAGTAATTCTAAAGGTGGAAGATCAAAGAAACCAAAAGTGCATTTAGAAATATGTTTCTCTTACCGTCGTATTTATTCTGATAGATCAAAATGAGTGAAATTTACCGGCGTTTAAGATAAGATTGTCTTGGGGGGAACGCCCAGATAAGATCTTTTGAATAGGACCCCTCGATTTAGCGACTCTGGAGCTCTAAACGCGTTCAGAGATTTGGCCGTCTCCACCAGTCCTCTGGCACTGTGACGGCTCTCTCTGCCGCAGGCTCACGCTCGCGGGAGGTCTCCAGCAAGGAGGAGTCCCTGACCGTGGAGGAGATGGCGACCTGGATGGAGGTGGGGTCTCGGGTGGCTCGCGGCAGGGACTGGCTGCCGACTTGCAGGGTGGACGGCTCGCCCCCCGGCCCCGGCACCGTCACGCGCAAGTGCAACAGCTCGGTGGACGTGAGGTGGGACAGCACCGGCGCCACGCACACGCACAGCATGGGCTACAAGGGCACCTACCGCCTCCGCTTGCTGCCGCCGGAGCCATCCTCGTCGCAGTGAAGGCGCTACGAGAACTCGAACATGTACCTACCAGTCATGTGCGAATCAAATGTTTTCTTACTACTCACAAGGTGATCTGCGAACTCAAATATGTACTCATTACTCACAAGGTGATCTGAGAACTCAAATATGTACTCACTACGCACAAGTTGATTTGCGCACTCAAATATGTACTTACTACACTCGCGGTGGTCTGTCTGCTAGCTCAAATTTGTACTCACGACACTTAAGGTGATCTGCCAACTTCAATATGTTCTTACTTCACGAAAGGTGACCTGTTAGCTATAATTTGTGCTCACGAGGCACAAGACGGTCCGTCGACTGAAACATGTACTTCCTACATGTAGAGTGATCTGCTAGCTTAAATTGCACTCTCTGAACTTACTAACTGGTCTATACTGTATCAATTGTACGCCAATTGTGGTTAAGCCAAAAGTAAACCCTGTATTTAAAACGAATCTTGTTTTTAATATTTTTACTGTGAAACTTCAATAAATGAAACGCTTGCTATGCAAAGAAAAAATTGTTGTATGTTAACATCCTTCTTTGAAAGAACTTTGTTTCTTCAATGGGTCATTAGGTCTCTCACTATGTCAAATGTGCGATTAAAACACACTGTTTATGCGATAAATGTGTTTTCAAAACACACTTTGATCCAGGAAGCCGAAGAAGGGGGTAAGTCGAGTTAAAACCGTGCACTTTTGCAAGGCCTTAACCTTGCAGGTGGGAGAACAGGTAGGGAATGTCATCTAAAAATAGATGCAAGAGAATGGGACTTGTCTCACCACACTGTTAAAAAAAGTGCTGTAAATTAACAGCACTTATGCTGTTAAGTTTGATAGCAGCACGACTTGTTTTATTACAAGCATGTTGTAGCCCTCGGTGCTGTTTTCTGACAGTTCGATTGTAATAAAACAATACTTCTTGGAGTCTTCGACGATGTATTCCCAACATTTGATTGATTTCATCGTGCTGTTATTAAACAAGACCCTTGTAACCTGAAAATATATGTTTTGAAGTGCAAAAGGCCGTTCTAAACATGAAACCTGTTCAACGCACACAACTGTTTTGAATCACGATTATATTATTGTTATGGACAAGGAAGTTGTATGAAACAGAAGTGCTGTTTCTGGATGGGTTTCCCGTTCAGATCAAAACAATAGTTGTGTTTGATCCAGGAAGCGGCCCGAGGGCAGCCAATTTGGGCATTTTTAGGAGAAACGGCAAACTGTTAGAGGGAAAACTAAAACAAAACAAATGTGTTGCAGGTTAATAATTTCAAAAGCATTAGTAAAATTTTGAAAAAAAACAAAATGTACGGTCACTCCGTAGAGGATTTCTGCGACTTGTCACTTTCCGTTGAAATGGCAAAACAGAGTCAGCTCACCTTATATTTCCTAACAAAGAGAATTTGGAGACAAGTCAGTGAACAATAGTCTGTAATAAGTTATGTTACCTCGGTATTTTTTGGACTTAGCTCTTTTTTCCAAATTGAAATTTAAAATTAAGGGGGGGTTAACGGGACTTTATAACACGAATCATCAAAACACAACTTGAGTTATATCCTTTTACCAATTTGTCAAACGGACTCATGTAGACTAAGGTTGAGTTATCTCCATTTTCCAATGAAATTTAGACCGAAAAGGGTTAAGTTGAGTTGACCTTTTCCATGTGGATTTCTCCTAAACTCTTGGATTGGGGAAAATTTATGAAATGATGGAACCATCTAAGGGGCAACACCAATAGTAAGACTCTTTTAAGTCAAGTTATTACTCCCGCTTCCTGGATCATTTAAAGCAAAAATTAGATTAAGTTAACATTACAGTTTGGGTTTCTACAGAGCACACTTATTTTTGGAGCGAATTCGCCATTACTGATAGAAATGATTTAAAAGGGAAATTAAAAAACTGCGAGCGAAGCGAGCTTGAAGCCAAAAATCAAAGAATTAGCCACTTTGCTGTATTTTTCTCCCCATTACGAGCTCAAAATGGCACTTTTGTGTCTAAAAATGGGGGGGGCGATGCCCCCCCCACCAGATTTTGGGGGGGGCAAGTCGCCCCCCCGCACCCCACTTCCGGCGCCCTTGAACGCAGTGGAAACACGGTTCCCGATCAAAATGAGTACCAAAATCATTTTATTTCAAAAATAAGGAAGAAAACGCAAGAAGTCTCAGTTTGAAGCTTGTATGGCCGTTTTTGAGTCCGGAACCGTGTACCCGGACGGTCGTCAGAGACATGTCCAGTCCGGGAACACCGTTCCCGTACGTAAAAGCGGCCCAGCAAACTAAATGAGAGTAATTTGGAATCAGCGGAGCGAGCCAGGCATTCGCACACTTTTCGACTGTTTTGAGATGTTACAACCATTTTCCGATTTCCACGCCCGCGGCCTTCTTGACATTAGCAGAATCGGGCCGGTCAAATCGAGTTGGTTGTAACAGCTCAAACCAAGTCGAAAAGTGTGCGAATGCCTTTGCTCGATCCGCTGATTCCGAAAATACCCTCATTTAGCTTGCTGGGCGCTTTTACGTACGGGAACGGTGTTCCCGGACTGGACATTCTCTGACGACAGTCGGGTAATCATGTACCCGTACCAAATTCATCGTACGAGGTCCGTTCAAAAGTAACTTGCGTCTTTCGTTGAGGGGTCCAAAAAAATTGTCTTATGATCGTGACAATTCTGTGAGGCGAAATCGGAAAATTGGATCTGTCCGAACGGTGTTCCCGGATGGTCGTCTGGACTTTTTCCCGTACGGGAACGCGTGTTCCCGGACGGTCGTAATGTGTTAAGTATGTTTCAAGTGTGAGGTATCATCTGCTAAAAATAGATGAAAGAGAATGGGACTTGACTTACCACACTTATTTTTGGACCAAATTTTCGCTCATGTTTACTTGATAGAACTGATTAGAGGTCACTGAATCAACTCGACTTGACCCCTTCATCCGCTTCCTGGATCAATTCAAGCATTGCGTTCCACTTCGCGGATTTCCCGCGGGTCGAAATAATTACCCTCCCATAGCCGAGCCAGCTCGCCATCGACCGCCTCCTCGAGCGTACCGATTAGTGTCCGCGCCGCCCCAGCGCGCCGCCTGCCGACGAGGCAGTGCTGCCAACGGCGTGGCGCGGCGAGGAGGCGATGGCCGACCGTCGGGGCGACGAACTGGCAGGTGCAAAGAGGAAAAGAGCTTTTAACTTTCAATTTGGGGACTAAGTGCAATACACTGCGCAGAAAAAACAACAACAAACCTACATCGATTTCTGTTTTTTTAAGATTAGGAATGGATGTACTTTGATAAGGTGCTACAATTGTGCAATGCACTCTCGGTCAAGGAACGTGACATCACGTTCAAACGAATGTGACGAAATGTCACGTTCCTTTGAACATTGTGGCACATTCATTTGAATGTGAATAATATAACTTCTGAGGGAATAAGCTAATCTATGGCTGATTCAACTTCAAACGAATTTGACACAATGCTCAAAACAACGTGATATTTTGTCACATTCATTTCGACGCGATGTCACGTCGCTGGAGTGAGAGTGTTATTCTTCAAATATTGGGCCGCTCCCATACTGCGCAACTGATTTGAGGGAGTGGAGGGGGTCTAGCCTTGATACTACGTCTTATCTTTAATTTATGAAAGTTAGGTTGTCCAGGTCACGAAGCGGTGGGAACGGGTGAAAGATGCATCTTTCCGTCTAGACCATGGTCTAAAATCAGCAAAGTATAGTATGCATACGACCGCTTAAGAGTCTGCAAGTCTTTTATCACGGCAGTTTCGTTTAGAAAACACGGTCAAGTTGTGACTAAACCATTCTCGTATAGAATACTGTCTAATGTGTTTGCCAAGAATACACTTAGTAATATTACGCAATCAAGTATAGAGAGAACGAGGGAGAGAAGGACACTTTGATAATGCTGGGTGTATCCACACTGCAAGAAAAAGTGTGGATAGTACAACAAAAGTACAACAGGGATTGCAGAAAGTAACGAGAATTGTACAAACCACAACGAGCCCTGGACTGCACAGCACTCGTCATGCCGGTTCCATTGTACTTTGTACAACAATTGTTGTACTTGAAAAGTACACTAGATTCCTGATAAAAAAATTTGCCAGAAATTTGTGTACTTTTGTTGTGGTTATTTCCTGCAGTGCATACAGTTTCCTGTGGTTCAATGCCCCGCGTTGCACGCTGACAAGCGTGAGCCAAACCGTGTCTCACCCTTGCAAACGTGGGACAAACGCGGATCACGCTAAATAGTGTGATACTGTCCCACACACTTGGATTTGCAGTGTGGAGTTGTTTGTGAGTGCTCCAGTGTTGTGCGTGCGCGCAGGCGGCTATTGGACCAAGCTGTGGACACTGCAGTGGCGTGCCGTTCTGCTGCTGCTTCGCCTCGGCGGCCGCAACTGCAGCTCGGGATGGCCGCCGACGGCCTCGGCGTGGTGGACGCGGTACGCCGTCGTCGTGCTGCTCCTGTCCATCGTGGTGGGCATCGTGAACGTGGGGAGGAACATCCTCGCCCCCCGCACAGTGTCCGAGACGGCGACGTACCTCGTGCTGCTCAACACGGCGGACATCGTGGTTAAGCAACTCGCCACCGTGGCGTCGCAGGTCAAGGACACGCTGCGCAAGCTGCGCAGTGGGCCACAAGACCGGCGGAGGCGGTCAACATCCCGGACGGGGTCTGACCTCCAGAGTCGCTAAATTGGACTCGAATCGAACGTTTGACCCCACCAATGGATTGCTCCCCGGACGAGGAATCCATTGGTGGGGTCACATGTTCGGTTCGAGTCCTGTTGAGCGACTCTGGAGCTCAAAACGCGTCTAGAGTTTCGGCCGCCTCCACGTGGGGCCCACTTGGGTAGATTATAAGCGTGAATGAATTTTGAAAGGTGGACCCTCTCGCGCCAGGTGATGACGATCGTGCGCCGGTCCGAGATCGCCCTCCTGGTGCAGGACGTCGCAAGCTACCTGTCGGCCTACCCGGCCACGTTGCCCTCGCTGCGAGGCATGAACGCAATCCTCGGGGTTTACGTGCTCAGCACGTTCCTGCCGGGCATCTTCTCCCAGGCGGTGAATTACGAGGTGCTGGCTCTGGCGCTTGACTCTGAGGGGGTATTCACTCAGGTAACCCACTTCACTGCAAGAAAAAGTGTCAGCCAAAATACATCAGGGATTGCAGAAAGTACAACGAGAATTGTACAAACCACAACGAGGCCCGGACTGCACAGCACTCGTCATGCTGGTTCTATTGTAATTTGTACAACAATTGTTGTACTTCGAAAGTGCGAAAAATTCCTGATAAAAAATTTGCCATGAATTTGTGTACTTTGGTTGTGGCGTTTTTTTCTTGCAGTGTAAATTCTTGCACTGTAAATGTCTCACGGTGAAAGGCTGCACCACCACATTATGGTGGAGATTTTCTCCTTAATGCAAACGAAATTCGTCATAATATCTGTAAGGATGGTGAATTCTCAATGATGGTATGTTATAAAGTCAGCTGCACCACCATAATATAGAACAGTTTAACCATAATACATAAATTATCTTCTAAATTTTCCGACGATCGGGAAATCTGGCATTCGACGTCTCTTCTGGTTATAAAAAGCCTCAAAAATATCAGGGAATTCGGAGGGAGTAGAGGAGTAGCTTTTCTTATTTGAGATTGCTTTTCATTTTCGCTCACCGGACCTCCTCAGTCCATGCTCTCCATGGCCGTCCTGCAAGACACCCTGGAGCACGTGCTGCCCTCGCTCTACCTGGCGTTGCTGGAGTGCGCGTTCGTCGGGGTCCTGGTGGCCGGGGTGTTCCTGGCGGCCGACGTGGCCGACGACGTGCAGGACCTGGTCGCCAAGCTGTCCTCCACGACGTGGGGGTCGTTGGCGTGGGACGGCGTGACCCTGGGCAGCGTCGAGGACAAGCGCGTCGCACTGCAGCTGCGCGAACTGCGCGCGCGGCAGCAGCGACTTCACGACGTGGTGGTGGCCACCAACTCCGCGCAGGGCGGCGTCATCCTCTGCTCGCTGCTGGTGACCGTCATGGAGGCGTGCGTGTGTGTGTACACTGGCGCCTCCCTGCTGACGAAGTTCGACTTCGAGGACGAGTCCCAGGGCTTGGTCAGCGTCGTGTGGGGTGTCAACCTCATACTCAGGTTCATCGTCAACTGCATCCTGGGTCAGCGACTGTGCAACAACGTGAGTGCCCTGGCGAAAATTGAGAGATGAGAACTTTGAAGGTGAGGTGTGGGCTAATCGCTTAAATTCATTCATTTATTCATTCAGTCATTTATTCATTCATTCATTTAATATTGAAAATGGTTGAATTGATAAACACCTGGACTAAGAGGGGTAAATTGGGGATGGAAAGTACAGGGGTAGAAAAGTCGAGGGGTGAATATTTCGGCGTTCTGGTATACGAGTACGAGTGAGTACACCTCACAAAACTCATCAATTTCACATTTTTTAAGTTTTTGGAGTTAGTTAAGCGTTCAATATGACACGTAGCACCCAACCGTGCCCTAAATTTGCAATTGTTTTTGTAACTTGTGAGTACATCGAGTACACGCTTATGGAGATGGAACCATGACTTTGAGCCATCCCTCGACCAAACTTACGTATGAGTGTGAAATACCTGTCAAGTGCCCACAGTGGGGCGTACTTTTCGTGCCCTATACTTTTCTCCCCCAACTTACTCCTAGTAACAAATTCACAAAAAGTATTTGGCGTGCTTTAGTCCGTTGTCTCCAAGAATTAGCTTAAAACTAGCTAATGCACCAGCTCCGATTGGAGGGGTTCTGGGGATCAGTCTTCCTCCCTTCCTCATCCTCTTCTGCGCTAAACAGATTTATTTTCACAGTGGTATTTGAAACGATGATCGTTGCTCTACAGCACACGAGAATATCCGTTACGCTGCAGGAGTTCCTGGCAGACAGTCCAATCCTTCCCATCCGAACGAAACAAGAGGTACTCTTCGTCGTGGCCTGTACACTGTTATTCAGCGAATGTGACAACGTTACATTGTTTAGAACGCGAACTTCGCCACTTTCGTTTGAATACCATGTTCATTGCAATGTGACACGGCCGTACCAAGAGGATGTCAGTCGTTTGGACACGAATCAACAGGCAAACGGATGTGACTTCATATTCAAACGAACGCGACTAAATTCACATTCTTACGAACATGACGTCACATTCGGTGAACACTAGTTCATTTTCATCAGTAACTTCAGTCTCAGTGTCCTTAAACTGTGTCATCTTGCAGGTCCAGGGATTCCTGCACCAGGTTCAGATGCTGGACAATCGGTGTGGCGTCTACGACCTCTTGTATTTCGATTTGACTACTATGAGTACGGTGAGCACATGATTAGCCCCTTCTCAATTCCCAACCATCGATCCCTCTTCTCCAAGGGGAAATCACTGTGAATTTCGGTGCACAAATATAATGTATTTCATTCAAAATTCGATGTATTTCAGTCAAAACTCGATGAATTTCAGTAAAATTTCGATGAATTTTAATGAATATCAGTTAATTTTACATATTTGATGAATTTCGGTGTACAGATCTGGCTGGAGTTATTTCCCCTTGCTCTTCTCCCTCCTATCTAAAACCGAAATGTTAGACCCCTCCCCTGTCGGTGTGCATATTTGTTTTGTATTACCTCGAAACTGAAATACTTCTATTGCTTTTTTTTATGGTCGCACAGGTCATTGCGTCCTTTGCAACGTTTTTGGTGATGCTGTTCCAGTTCGATAAGAAGAAGGCCATCTAAGTTGCATCTAAAAGAGCCAAGTGAACTCTCGTCAACCGGAGACTCCAGTGACTCAGTAAAGCTCATTCGTCATACCCACCAAAAATTCAAACTAAAGTTGAGGAACATCTTTTTTCGTGCCACATGTCACTGGCATCACGCCAGTCTCTCATGCGCGCACCTTTAACTTAGTAGTCCACTGGTGTTCAAAAGGAGGTAAATCAACGTCATCGAGAGTTAAACATTAAACCCAACCCTACTGCTTTCAGCGTCTACATTCGCGATCAAAATACTTCAACAATACCGTAAACCGGGGTAACTTGAGACAGCAAGGGTAACTTGAGACACTTCTGCTTTTCCACCTATTTGGAGCTGCCGCCTGGCTCGGCACGTTCAGAGGTCAAAACTGCCCTAGCACTTTTTTTCATACTTGTTTGGAAAGACGATTAAGCGTGTGAACGGCGGGTTGGGACCAAGCTGGTCAGATCTAAAACGATTTTTCAATTTTAGTAAATTTAACAATTTTAGAGAAGTGTTACAAGTCTCCCTTGGTACTCGAAACACGTCTTGCTGAGACCCAAATGACTGTAGTACCTTCCAACCCTATTATTTCAACATTCTAAATGCAGCATTGGTTTTGAGGGAAACCCATCATTCATCGGGTAATACTGACTTTTATAGAAAATGGTAACAGTGCGGGGTAACTTGAGACACCAAATTTCATTGAATTTGACGGAAGTTGAGTGGCGTTACTTGACACTGGCACCTCTTTGTACTACAGGGTGGTTTTAAGTAACGGACCTCTCCGTTCTAAGATCAAAACTAAGCCGCATTTGATCAGGAATCACTTTTTTAGACAGTGTAGAGGGTCCCAAGTGGATATGCAGCTTCAAGTTGGAGTGTTTTCTCAACTACACACGGACCAGATGAGATATAATAAATCTTGAAGTCTCATAAGATGAGGAATTTAATTACCTTTCCAACGAGCTAAATGTCATTGAAATCGGACAACTTACAGCCCAAGAACCGTCGATTTTTGAAGAAAAACAACTGTAAAGATAGTTTAAGGATTTTGAGTAAATTTTAAAAATTGACTAAGACTATATACATTTGCAGGAATGGACTTGTGTACGTAGAAATAAAGAAAAATGTCTTAGCAGGTGTGAGGGTTGGATGTGAGTTGAGAGAATCGCAGTACTTAGTTGACAGAGTTGGATGTGAAATGGGAGAATCACTGCGCTTCTGAAGTGCCGTTATCCCTCAAATTACCAAATGTAACTTTGATGAAAAAATCTTAATATAAGGATCAAAAATCTTCTAATACATTCCACAAGTAGTAATTTTCATTGAAAATGGGTTAAATGTCTCAGAAAATCAGTATGGACTGGCTAAAACCCCACTTCCGTGAAAAGGCAAAGTAAAAACTAGGTGTGTCTCAAGTTACCCCATATGACGGGGTAACTTGAGACAACTTTAGAGGCCCATTACTCTCATTTTAGGAGACCCCCAAAAAATTCGTTGGGTCCAAACCGAATTTAATCATGTGAAATAAAACATAGTTGGGATTCGGGTTGGTGAGAGAAGTTTTGTGGACACACGGTCCAAAAAACGTGAAATATTGTCTCAAGTTACCCCGGTTTACGGTACTAATTTTTACTGTTTCAAAGAGGATCTTCGCTATCACTGATCAAAACGACTTCCAAACGCCTTTCCTGTATGTCTGCGTCGGTAATGAAGGTTATCTTAGTGTTTATCTGAGTGCTCTCGTTGGAGCTGTCGCTATTATCGTTCGTATAAATGAGAACTCCTTTTCCTGTAACTCATTTCTGCGTTGGAAGACCAGAAGAAACGTTCACAATGGCGCGAGTCTTAGATGTTGTTCCTCTGATGCTTCTCCTGGCAGGTGAGCTCATAAGTTTTATGTCACAAAATCCATGTTACACAGCAAAATTTGAATCTATTATGATAAAAATTTCTGTGACTGTTGTTAATGAAAACTCTAGGCAACCATGTCACAAAACGTCTGGATTGATTTTTCTCAATTGTTACGCCACATTCGTTCGAACCTGAATAAGTAAACTCCCACGTCCAAATGAATGTAACACGACGAGTCTGACATGGTTCAAGTCGTCACAAATGCGTCTACTGCTGCGACGACACTCTACTTCTGGAATTTAACGATGAATACTGTTTCTGTCACACAGCTACCAGTGCGCAGCCATCAACTTTGGGGGAACCCGGGTATAACTTCACTTCCATAGAATGCTTCCACACTGTGCGAAAAAACCACAGTGAATCTTGGTTATTTCTTTGCCACGATTTACTGCAGTTCAGAATACAGGATTTACTGTACCTGGCTGCAGGATTTATTGCACCTTGTACAGAATTTTCCGTGCTCCACCTCTGTTGCACAGTAAATCCCGTAGAAGTACAGTAGATCCTGTAAAAAGTACAGCAAATCCTGTATTCTGAACTACAGCGACAGCTGTACTAATCGGTACAGGAATTACTGTAGTTTTTTCGCATAGTGCAAAGACATGGCAGTCGCTGCCATGACCCTGGAAATCTGAGAATGTAACATCACAGTCGTTGCAACGTGAAAACTGCCATGGCCATGCATGATTAAGATACTAAAGCAGCAAACGCAAATGTCACTTAAACCTACTAGCATATGGGTCACGTAAGTTAGTCATGCCACATTAAAATGAAGGCGCCAGTTGTGTTTTTCTTGGGTGTAGTGTTGATCCACGGCCGTTTTGACGTTGAAACAAATGTGACGTCTCCACCATAGTCAAAGAACTTATTTACAGTGCTGCAAGCATAAGTCGCGTTGGCACCAACACGGTGCAGTTCGCCTCGCCCGCCACGTACCAGTTCATCATTGTCACCATCTCGACCAAGTTTGGCGCTGCGGATGGTGGCCACACCAACTCTGCCCGCTTCAGTGTGGAGGTCAACGGCCAGCGCCTCGAGACGATCACCAACTCGCTCTCCATCCAGAAGGGAGGCAACAGCGGCCATTACTGGGGATACGAGACTTACGCCGTCTCTCAGAAGATGCTGACGTACGGAGTGTTTGCTGGCAACAGTGTGAGAGTCAATTTCCTTGACGGAAACTTGCACATTGCCAGTGATATCCGTGTGGACCTCTCTAACTAGATTTAATGTGGCCCCAGGCCACCGTTGCAAAAAAAATTATAGTATATTTTTATTCAATTGAAGTGAAGCTATAATCCTCATTGCAAAAATAATTAAAGTGTTAACTATGTTATTAAAATTCTCAACCATGCGAAAGAAAATTCATACAGCTTCTCGTATACTTTATTGTATTGTATTATGGCACTCGTGTGTATGCCACCCATGCTTTTAAAAATAAACATTCTTTTAATATCTTAAGCTTACGCTTGCTGATGATTTCTATAAAATAAAGTGTTTAGGATACACTGAGAATGAAAGAGTCATAATTACGACTATATTTTTGGGTGAGATATTCTTTCGAATTTGGGTGAAGAAACCATCCTTACCATACCCAAATTTGCGAGATAGACCATGTAGGCGTCTAACAAACCCGTTGTCGCCAAATTCAGGCAAGAAAACCTTACTCAACCAAATTTTGGCAAACTTTTCATTCAAACATATCGAAGTGTGCGGAACAAGGGGAATACTTTGCACGTGGTGAATAGCGTCGGCTATCTTTCGGACAGTCAGCCGTCAGCCTGTCGGCCAACTTTTCATTCAAACACATCAAAGTGTGCGGAACAAGGGGAATACTTTGCACGTGGTGAATAGCGTCGGCTATCTTTCGGACAGTCAGCCGTCAGCCTGTCGGCCAACTTTTCATTCAAACACATCAAAGTGTGCGGAACAAGGGGAATACTTTGCACGTGGTGAATAGCGTCGGCTATCTTTCGGACAGTCAGCCGTCAGCCTGTCGGCCAACTTTTCATTCAAACACATCAAAGTGTGCGGAACAAGGGGAATACTTTGCACGTGGTGAATAGCGTCGGCTATCTTTCGGACAGTCAGCCGTCAGCCTGTCGGCCAACTTTTCATTCAAACACATCAAAGTGTGCGGAACAAGGGGAATACTTTGCACGTGGTGAATAGCGTCGGCTATCTTTCGGACAGTCAGCCGTCAGCCTGTCGGCCAACTTTTCATTCAAACACATCAAAGTGTGCGGAACAAGGGGAATACTTTGCACGTGGTGAATAGCGTCGGCTATCTTTCGGACAGTCAGCCGTCAGCCTGTCGGCCAACTTTTCATTCAAACACATCAAAGTGTGCGGAACAAGGGGAATACTTTGCACGAGGTGAATAGCGCCGGCCGAGGGGGAAATCACTCTTAAAAACTGTGACCCGACTACTCCCTATTACGTTCTATTACGCTATTACAGAAGGCTTATTACGCTCGAAAATATCCAGATTTAGGCTAAAATTGGACCCCGAAAAGGGAAAATTTTAAAAAATTTGGCTATTACGCTATTACTATTACGCGTAATACTAAGAATTGGTGACCCGACTATTACGCGAGTGATTTCCCCCTCGGCGCCGGCTATCTTTCGGACAGTCCGCCTGTCGGGCACGCGGTGCTTGGCTCGCGTGCTGCTGGATGGGTTGCCTACTGAGCAGGCGCTAAGTCTCACGATTTTTCAAATTGTTACTGAGACTTAGTCTAGCTCAATAAGAAGGTGTATGTGTATTAACATCTAGAGGAAATAAAAACCTTTTAAAACTTGAACTTGCAGCGTTTGTGTGTATGTTTTTTTTTTTTTTTAGGGTAGGGTTGGAGGTTAAAACCAGTTCGTGTAGGTTGCAATAATCACAGACTTTATTCGTCCTTGTCTACACTGTCCATTCAAGCATGGCAGCTCTCGGGGATGTTGACCTTGAGGGACTTGTTGGCGCCCTTCTGGCTGAAGTCGGGGTTGGCACCCTTCTTGATCATCTCGACCCAGTGGCGGGAAGCGGAGCTGTCAGACACGCAGTGGAAGTCGATCTTCTTCTCGACCTTCTGGGTGGGCTGGCACTGGGCGTTGCAGGCGGGCTGGGGGCGGAGGGAGAAGCAGATCTGGCCGTTCTCCTGGATGACCTTGACGCGGTGGGTGGTGCAGCCGGCGGCGGACTTGGGGGAGTAGTTGCGGCTGTTGGACTTGTGGCTGGAGTGGCTGGAGGACTTGCCAGAGCTGCGGCTGTGGCGGGGCTGGTAGCGGCCGGCCTCGTTGTCGCTGATGACGTCACCGTAGAGGATGTTCTGGGGGAAGCAGGCTGCCTGGTTGGCCTTCTGCTGCTGCTCCTTGACGGCGCCGGAGGGGTTCAGGGCCCAGGAGGCGGCGAACTGCTGAGCGTTCTTGAGGACGCAGTTGCGGGGGGCGGTGAAGTCGGTGGTCTTCTCGCCGTCGAAGGTGCCGCAGAGACCGCGGACCTCACCACGGTAGGACTGGCTGACGAAGAGGGTGACGCGGGCACCGTCGTACAGGATGGTGAGCTGCTGCTGGGGGAACCAGGCGCGGACGACGCCGGAGGGCATGGGGTACAGCTGGGCGAGGATCTCGTTGTTCTGGTCGCGGAGCTGGGCGCCCTGGCTGGCGGAGAAGGACACGGAGTGGCCGTTCTGCTTGATGTTGGCGTAGTTGGAGCTGGGGGTGAACTCGATGACGTCATCGCCGAAGATGACCTTCAGGTCCTTCTTGTCGTGGGAGCTGGAGGCGTCGCGGACGAGCACGGAGACGTTGTCGGTGGCGTCCTCCTGGCTGGAGGAGCTGGAGCTGGAGTCGGCGGAGTCCTTGGGGACGGACTGCATCATGACGTGCCAGTTGTTGCCGAGGTTCAGGGGGTAGGTCTTGTTGTCGAAGGTGTTGGCGGCGGAGCGGTCAACGACGCACATGGCTGCAAGCAGAAGTTAACAAAGTTATGTTCTGGCCACCTCCACCGGCCCTCTGGCCCTCGGTGTTCTTAAAAATACGCACTAGCTTTACCAGTGCACTTTTAATCTGCAGGACACTTACGGAAACCACCACGGAGAGCGTTGTAGGCGACGATGCCGGACTGGGGGATCATGGGGTGGACGGCGGCGGCGCGGGCAACCCAGGGGTTGAGGCGGACGTTGTTGAACTCGGCGGCCATGATGGGGGTCTCGATGGAGAGGTTGGCGGACTTGAGGTTGGGGGCGAAGCGGAGCTCGGCCTCAATCTTGTTGTTGTGGGCGTTCTTGGGGTTGACGAAGTTCTCGGAGTTGTACTGCCAGCCGAAGTAGCGGGCGGCGGCGTAGGCCTTGTAGGTGGCGTTCTTGACGCGCTGGGAGATCTTGTCGAACTGGATGTTGGCGGTGTAGAGGTCCATGATGTTGGCCTGGAGGGTGGCGTTCTGGCAGGCGGGCAGGAAGTTGTTGCCCTTCTCCATCTGCTGCTCGCAGAGCTGGCTCATGGGCTGGCGGCGGACGTAGTCGCGGCGGGCGGAGGTCTGCTTCATCTGGGCCTGGATGTTGACCTGGGAGGCGGAGGAGTCGAGCTTCTCGCCGAAGGCGATCTGGGCCTGGATCTGGCTCTTGGGCTCGGCGTTGAGGGCCTTCTGGAAGTTCATGAGGGGCACGTTGGGCATCTGGGCGGTGGCGGTCATGGCCAGCTGCTGCTCCTTGTTGTTCTCGGAGGAGCGGGCGGGGGACTTGCGCAGGTAGACCAGGACGCGGGCCTTGTCGTCGACCTGGGAGTTGGCGTAGGCGGCGGTGGCGACGAAGACGGCCTTGTGCTCGCCGTTGAACTGGGCGGACAGGTCGATGACGGAGGCGTTGCTGGCCTTGATGCCGGCGGCGGCGCGGCGCAGGAACTGCTCCTGACGGGCCTGGCTGTTGGCCTGGGTGTTGCCGGGGTTGGCGGCGTTCTGGCTGGGGCTCTTGGACTCGGCGTCCAAGTTCTCCTCGGAGTTGTGGGCGGAGCGCTTGCTCTTCTTGTGCTCGCTGCTGCAGTTGGTGCCGTAGCACTCGTCCTCGGAGTCGTTGTCGTAGGAGGCGGTGAGGGTCACGGACTTGGCGGAGGTCTTCTGGTGGTCGTAGGTGATGGCGACCTCGTAGGCCTTGATGGTCTGCTCGCTGGTGGCGAACAGCAGGGCGGAGACGCCGTCGTAGTTCTTGGCCTGGTTGTAGATGGTGGCGAAGTCAGCGAAGTCGTTCTCGCAGGCGGCGTCGACGCGGAAAGCCATGCCGGTCATGTCCTGGCCGACGGTGAAGTTGGCCTGGTGGGGCTTGCGGACGTGGATGGGCTTCTGCTCGGCGTTGAAGAGGTCCAGGATGTTGTGCTGGGCGGTGTAGGGGCGGCTGCGGATCATGGCGATCTTGGCGTCCTTGTTGGCGTTGATGGGCTGCAGCTTGACGCGCATCTCGGCGTTCTCGAGGTCCAGGTCGACGTTGGCGCGGATGGGCAGGTTGACGAGGACGTCCTTGTCGAGACCGGCGATGTAGCGCTGGTGGTCGAAGGGGGTGACGAAGCCGATCTTGGCCTGGGTGCGGGTGGCGAACACGAAGTGCACGTCGGCGGAGGCGTTGACGGCGCTGGGGATGCGGACGGCGTCCTTGGGGCCGTTGGCCATGTCGGGCTGGGTGCGGACACGGATCTCGCCGCCGACCTGGACGACGGTGGGGGCCTTGAGGGTGTAGACGAGGGGCAGACCCATCTCAGTGGGGAAGCCCATGGTCAGGGAGTAGCGCTCGTACAGCTTGGTGTAGTTGAAGGTCTCGCCGGAGCGGAGAGCGTTGGCGGCGTGCTTCACGAACTCGGGGATCTGCTCGATGGTGTGGTTGTCCAGGGTGAAGAAGCGCTGCTGGGACAGGGCGTTGAAGAGGAAGTTAGCCTCGACCTGCTCCTGCTGGTCGGCCTGGATGTTGAGCATGTTGGCGATCTGGTCGACGGTCCAGCTGCCGGAGTTGGAGCTGGAGGACTGCTTGCCGGACTTCTTGTGGGAGCGGGAGTTGGAGTTGGAGGAGCCGGTCTGGAACTGCTCGACGAAGAGGTCGAGGAGGTCGCTCACGCTGGAGGCCATGGCACCGGCCTGCAGGAAAAAACACGGTAAGTAGAGAAACAAGAACCCAAGCAGAGCGTAAGCTCCCAGAATGGACCAGCGTGAATCGGTTATGTCCTTGGTAGGGACGCACAGTGGGCCAGAAGTCCAGTGGAGGTGGCTGAAACTCAAGCGTGTTTTGAGCTCTGAAGTCGCTAAATATGACGCGAACCGAACAAGTGATCCTACCAATGAATTGCTCTCCGAACGCGGAATCCATTGGTGGGGTTACACGTTCGGTTCGAGCCCTATTAAGCGACACTGGAGCTCAAAACGCGTCAGGGATTCTGACCGCCTCCACCGGTCCTCTGGCCCACTGTGCTGAAACGAAGTGCGACTTACGCGGAAGTAGTTGGCCTGGAAGCCACCGAGGTTGGCGCGAGCGCTGACGAAGGCGGCG